TCAGAGGTTTGTTGCTAGATTCCAAAGGCAACTGATGCCTTCCCCTTCTGGTGTTTTGTCAAATACTGGGGTGCCACATGATCAATCTCCAGTGCCTCCCCCTTCTGGGGTATTGCGAAGTACTGAGGCTTCACATGAGCAACTTTTGTGAAGGCTTAATCCTGTTTGTTTGTTCTAACTCATGTGTATACACATATCTATAATTTCTTGGAGATATCAATATATAAGCTTTATTTCATTCAATGTATTGTGCCAAATACAATAAAGCATATACTTTACTAAGATGTGGTACTTCTGGACCAAATATCAATTTATCTTTACCCTCACGAAGATAAATGATCATTCTTAGTGTCTAAATCATTTGAGTATTCAACTCATAATCTTTAATCCATATGATTCTTCAATATCATAAACATTATGGATAAGATTCGTGTTGGCATATTGTTCGATCTGTAGTTCGAGATAATATTTCTCTCAACACTTTATAATCTTTCTTGACTCTTCAGGAGTTCCAATTTAATATCATCAACTCTTGCAAGAGATTTTAGTATGTTGCAACAATACCATAATGAAAGTACTCACTAAGGCAATTTATACAATCCATTAGTATTGAGTACATATTTTATGCTTTACCCTTCGGGGCTTACTTCAAGCAATTTGAATCCTTCAGGGATTTTCTACACTTCATGACACATTTTCCTTTGGAATTTATACAGAGCAATTTGCTTCCATGTATATTTGAGGGATTTACTTATGGAGATATGATGTGAGCGACTCATAACCCTTCTTATATAATTCTCCATTCATATGAACTTGTTTATAACCTTGTGTCATATCAAGTGAGTGTGTTTCATGGTATTACAAATGCTCACATGTAACCTTCTAGGTTCAACATCCTTTGGCTAATTGTATTGTATTCAAGTATATAGGTCCATTTTTCCACGTTCTTACAAAATTGTAATGGAATTACCTTTCTCCATTTTTGGCCAATAATTTTGTTGACGGAAAAAGAACGGGACTCAATATCAACACAGCTCATTGATGAATTTAGTAGCTACTTGTAGAAACCAAAATTACCATTGGTTATCATCAATTCTTGATCTCATATTTTCAAGTGCATGCGCATGCATAAATTATTTATTTTTTTTTTTTTTACATATTTGGATATCCATTGCCTCTTCAAGGGCATTACACTATCTCTTCCAGGACAGTCATACTTTAGAGAATGCGGATCATAACCTCTTCTTGAGCGTTATAGAGCTTGGATTGTAATCTCCATTTCCGGGAGTTAAGTCATTGGAACCTATATGTCTATCATGCTTAATGCATGAGACATCAACATTCCTATATCCGCGGATTATCCTTTCTGGGACGTATATCCATGCAGCGACTGTCATGCTTCTGGCATGCAACAGTTATGCTTCGAGAATGCAATAGTTCAGTAGTGCCATATTCTTCTTTTTTCAAATGACTGAACCTTTTGAGTCTGAAGGTTTGCCACGCTTCAGGCGTGCAACAGATAAATCATTTACTACTTCATTATATTGTCCAATAGGAACATTAATTCTTGTAGGCACATTTGCAGCAAGTATATGTGAATTCATCACTTTCATTGCATCATTAAATGCATCTGGTATTTGATTTGCATATCGTTGCATCATTCAATTATTCTCACTTCGTTTTTATATTGATTGCTTCATGAATCAAAATAAGACAAATTCTCTTCGTTCTTCTGGAATGGTCTTTTCTCATCATTCTTCTGGAATGATATTTTCTCATCGTTCTTCTGAAACGAAGTTATATTCTCCCCCTAACGGCGAGAAAATTGTCTTATCAAAATGACAATCCGCAAACCACGCGGTAAACATATCCTCAGTCAAGGGTTCCAAATATTGAATGATAGATGGTGTTCAACGTCAAAGCCTAACCGCGTTAATGCCTTATTTCAGTACGTTGTGGCAGTGCAATAGGCGCAAAGATAATACAAGCAAAAACTCGTAGATGTGTAATGTTTAGTTAATGCCCAAACACAAGTTGTATTGAAAAATATTGATGGTTGGCAACATGTCTCAACCGAATTAATATTGCATCATGTAAAATGACATGTCCCCATGTAGAAACTTGGCAATTTCACTTTCATTAGCAGAGCGCGGGTAATTAATTTTATCCGCTTAATAAATACTTCTGCTAAACTATTTTGAGTATGAACATAAGGAACTTCTGTTCCTTATTTAATAATTTGTAGACTGAGACTCTAATGGCTTTTATTGCAATTAAATTGTGGCACTTTGGCTCTTCAAACTTAAGGTACTCATCAAGGAACTTCATGTCCTGATCTTGAGGATCTACGGACTTTTTGCCCGATCTTTTTGCATGATGGAACTTCAGGTCCAATCATTTTTATATGATGAAGATCAAGAAACTGCAGGTTCTGATCTGATCAAGGAACTTCAAATCCTGTATATACTCATCGTAACAAAAGATAAGTACAATAAATAAATTAAAGTAATATGCGGTAATTCTAGCCATAGGAAATAAATTGCATTTAAGTAAATAAAGCTTGTGACAAGGGCTTTTATTCAGCACCATTCACATAAATCAAAACTTAAAGCAGTAGGCGGTAAAACCGTCCATGATAAATAAATTGCTTTAAAGTAAATAGAACTTGTGAAAATGTTTTAAACCAACACCATTCACATAAATAAATATGTATATATTTTTCTTCTTTCTTTTCAGATGGAACAACACCATCCAAAAGCCTTTATCTTTTTTTATTATTATTATTTTTTCTTATTCATTCATATGGTGCAACAATCCAAAAAACCTTTGTTTTTTTTTTCTTAGTTTTCACATGGTGTCAGACGCACCATCATTTTTCCTTTTATTTTATTATTTTGTCTTATGCTTTTTCAAAATGTGTTGATGCATCATTCCATTGCTTTTGCCCATTTTTCTTTCTGCAAAAACCCACAGACTGTTACTTTTTGCATGGGAGAGGCCAGATAAGGAATACCATTTCCCATCCCCGTGTTTTCTTCAATTTTCCTTGCATGGTCTAGAGAACATGGCATCACGAAGCAAGAACTTCCATACAGGAACATAGATGACATCGGGGTTGATGGAGGTACAAGAGAGGGAGGCCTATGTGGAGTCAATGTTGCCATCACCATCTCAGACAACCGAGTATTCATAGGAGTTCTTGAGATCCGTCGAAAATGACGCGATCTGGGTTTCCAAGTCTGATGAGATTCTTCTGGATCTCTGGAAACCAGTTGTCAGGTACGAGTTTTCTTATCTCGTGATGACTACAGAAAACTCGTACCTGACAACAGGTTGTTGTAAATTTCAATTCTCACTGGAATTCGGTGGGGCGCTTTTGGCGCGGTGGGAGAGACGAAAAAATGGACATACCTTTACTTGTTTTGATGTACCTTTGTTTGTCCGAATTTATGGCGTTATACTTTCCACTGACATGAGTGCTTCTCGTGCTGATAACGTGTTGTAAAATCGATGTTGTGTGCAGTGGAATAAATAAAACAAGACACAAAATTTACGAGGTTCCTCTATAGTCAGTGTGACTAGAGTACGTCCTCAGAGTAGCAATGGTGCTTCTATTATAATTTAGAATAATAAGAGTACAAAATAACTCTCTTTATTATCCCCTCTCCTCTTCCTCTCTTTTCTCTCATCCTCTTCTTCTCTTTTCTCTCTTCCTCTTCTTCTCTTTTATCTCTTCCTCTTCTGTGAGCCTCTCTGTCTTCTATATCCTCATTCGTTTTACAAGCAAAGAGAACACTATTCATTTTGCCAATTTTCCACAAATGAATAGTGAAAATATTGTGCATAAATAGTAACAAACAATTTATGTGAGCCATCCACATATTATTCACAACACTTTTAGATTTGTCTGGCACTTTACCTAAGCAAATAAATAAGTTAGATTACAAGGTATCTTTATGTCAACAATATTTCAGATTTGGCCACCTGACCAATACCAGTCAAAAAGACATTATTACCATTAAGTGACATGTGTCGTCATTTGGTATGTTGGATGCAATGGAGAGATGGCATCATTTAATGTATTGAGTTGTTAGCTCTGTTAGAAGTTTGTTAGGTTGTTAAGTGTGTTAGATTATGGATATATAGCTAGACTATTGTAACAGATAATCATTTTCTTTTACAATCTCTTCTGTTTCTCTCTATCATCTTCCTCTTCTTTTGTGCCAATTCTTCATCTTTTACAATGTAGTTAATAATTACAACTTAATTATCTATATAACTTAATGGATGTTTAGTTTTATTACCAAAAAATGTCGATGCAATTAAAACGTAGTTGTTTCATATAATTAAGTTAGAATTTATTTATTAAGCTTCCGACATATAATTACATTTTTCAAATCTTATATCTCAAGATTCTCCAAATATAAATGGAACTCATAATTTTGTTTTTATGTTTTTGGTGAGAGGGGCCGGGGAATCTAATCCCCTGAATGCTACGTGAGTGGAGTGGACTGGAGAGCCTTCTTTATCAATAAAAAGTCATTCCATCAGCTGTCATCATTCTTCCTGTATTATATAGTTTACAAATACTGGAATTTAAACTAATTACGTGCAGCATCGTGAACCAGTGTAGCTAGGTTACATACAATATCCAGCTGGCATCTATGTGACAAATGTGTATTTTTATGGTTCAGTCCCATTTTATTCCACGTTCAATAAACATTTGGGTACTAATATTTGATAAGTTCTTGTAAATCTTTAATGCATGATGACAAATGTAGGATCCAGGACAATTATAGGGAAGGAAACTATGTTGCAGACAAATTAGCAGAATTTCGTCCTTCTTTGAAGTATAACTGTCATATTTCTTAGGCTCCTCCCGTTAGTGTTAGTGGTTTAGCTCAGAGACATGTATGAAGGATTGCTATATCCATATTTGTTGAGTTGTTTCCCTCATGCAGCTGTAGGTATTCAATTGTAAAAATAAATAAAAATTGTGATTTGATACCCCAATGTGTATGTATATATAATGAATGGTCCCTCGATGCTTCCAAACTATATCGCTATTGCATATTTGGAATCATATGTTTATTTGATTTGATGTGAAATCACCATGCATGGTCCACCTCATCTCTTAAATTCTCCTGTACTTCAACCGCCTTCCACATTTAATCGCAGCAAGCCATCGATCGAATCTGGTCAAGAAAATGTTTTTGTCATTGCGGTCATGCATGTATGGACCATACGTTATAACCATCATGAACTCCATTTTTCGTAAAGGTTAAATATGTCAAAGCATATTGACGTCCGAGATTAGAAATGCCAACAAAGAAGAAAGGAACCCAAGAGGCGTGTGTGTGTAAATATCTTGATTTAAGTTTTAAAAGTCTGGGCAGGTAAGATCGTAGAAATAGTACTACTGTTTAAATATTATAGATCCACAACATTGAAACTTGTTGACATATTTTCAGATAAAAGTTGTCTTACGTAGTACAATTTAAACCACAAACTAGACATACTGCTAACCCTCTCTTCTATATGTAGTTCTCGCCTACAATTGTAGGACATACATTTATTCAATAGTGTTAATTTTTGTGTATCTAAATATTATGATTAGTCTTAACATTGTAACGTAGGACCTTACAAATACAAGAGTGTCAACAAGCGCGGGTCTTGCATTCCACATCTTTCAAATAAGCCACCCAAGTTAGTATACCGGTTAGTGTAAATAATTAAGGTGGTACGTAAGAGTAGGCTAAGTGTGGTTCAAAACCTCGGAATGTTAAAAAAATAAGTACAAAAAAAGTAATACTACGTATTTGTATTATCATTTATATCATCTCTTTAATTTAAATGTAATTTACCTGTGTTGGTGTTCTTTACCACTATTAGAGATGATACAAATAATTGTACAAATATATGGTAATAACACAACATCGTGTACATATCTCAGAACATAAATTAAAGTTTAATTTCGAGAAAAAACCTTTTGTGCATAAAGGATTGAAGATTATATAAATCAATTTAACCAAAAGCTATGGCTTTGCCTTGATTAACTAGTTCCAAATAACATAATCGATTCATGAAGTATAATTTGCAAAAAGAATTAGCGCTACTTAGTACTTACATGCTGCAAGCTCATCAGTTCTATATACCCTCAGAAATTGATCTCGATCGCACTCGCTCTGCTGTTTTCCAGAACATCATCCTGTTTGTTTCATGAACCTGCAGTACGTCCACGATGTTAAAAATATTGATAAAAAGATATACATAACACTTACAAACTTGATTAACTACTTCTGCAAAAGAGAAAAAAGGAAGTGGAATTTACGACGAACGAAGAGACATGAGTCAGCATGTCAGATGGGGATGGGGCTTGTTTATCCCACGTAAAAACTTAGAGCGACACATACCAAACACGGTGGACACTCTAATCACACACCAAACGCTATGTGTCACGGAAGTACAAGGAACCTGACAGAAACCTAACAGAGGTTACGCGCTTAACGACAATGCAATGCACAACACCCAACGGCGTTTAACGGGACGCTAACGGAAAACAGCCATGGAAAGAACTCTAGTGCAGAAGCAACGGCTATAGAAAGACTAGAACAAAAGAAAAAGAAAATGAAAAAGAGAGAAAAAGGGAAGGATTGCAAAGGAAAAAGAGCACTCACCATGTACGTATTTGTGTGCACACTGAAAAAACGAAATAGGACCGAAGTTCATTAATCGCCACGGATATTCAAAAGCAGTCCATCTGATGAACGATTACAGCTCCATATTTCCAATTACATCATGATTGATCAGATATTTTATATATCTGATATATTTTTTTTTTGTGTTTTTAAATTTTAGGGTTTTGTAGTATTTAACTTGTTTTAATCGGCCGTGGCATATTTGTAATTTTGTAGCCCGGAACTCCGACCATGCAAAGGATGCTATTGCCAGTGATTGCCGTTGTGAACGAGGTAGGGACGACTACCGGTAGTACTTGCACGTCTGTTGCTTCCGTGGCCTTGGCGAGCATGGTAAATATTAGCACAGTGAGGAACCTTGGAGGGGGGTCTCTGAAACGGCACCGTTGACGGGGATGGCTGGGGCGGCATTTGACGGAGGCAACGGTCAACGGGAGTGGAGGACGGCATGGGAAATCTTGGGGTGGACCCGGAAGCAGCACTGAAGTAGTTATTTGACGACGAGGAGTTGCCGGAGGACGACGTCGTGGAGGCGGCGGAGGCCGAGGAAGTTGAAGGGGATGAAATGCTTTTGGGTGTCCTGGCGGTGGGGATGAGTGAGAGGAATGCTCTGATCTTCATATTAGCGGAAGAGGCTGCTCTGTCGTATTCCTCGATGAGATTAACGAGATCCTCATCGGACTTGATGGACACGAGGGCGTCGAGATCTTCGGTGGGTAGTTGACAGCGGAGACTAACCGCCGTCACTGATGGCCCACACAACTCAGTCAGCTTGGACGACAGCTCTGTTACACAACCACACCCCTAAATTCAATACAACATCCTCCGAACAAAAGTCTAGAAAAAATGGGGGAATTTATATATAAACTGACCGGAAAAGGAAATAGAGCGGGGAACGGCGAGTACACGGGTTTCGCCGCCAAGGTAACGGAGCTTGCCGTCGGGGTAACGGGGGAGGATTTTGCCGCCGTAGCTGCAGAGGAATTTGATGATGGTGACCTTGGTGAGGTCAGGCGAGGGTCCGACCATGATTTTAATACTAGGGTTTTGCTTCGACTACTAACTGGGAGATGAGGATAGCTTAGGAGAGAGAGAGTGATTATAAGATGGGGCTGGAGTTGTGTGCTCAAGCCTATGTATGGTACCCTTTGGCCCTTATTTATAGACTTGGAGTCTTCAAAGGGAAAGGAGCAGGGGAAGTGAAACTAACATAGAATTGATTTGGTTGGTCAGCTTACGTCGGTCATTAGATTTACACTCGGAGTAAACTGTAAACTTTACGTTTACTTCTTTTCTTCTTCCAACAAAGATGATATTCTAAATTACTCTCGTTTGAGAGAACGAGGGTCTAAATTTGAGTATAAGAGGATTGACATGTTACTTGACCAACTGGTTAAATAATTTACGAACTCTATGTTAACTAATTCAGGTATGAAAATAATGTAAAAAAAAAAATTGATACCTTATTGTTTAGAACGAAACAAACAACTCCCCTTTATGGCACAATTTACATAATTTACAAACTTTATGTTTAGACAAAAAATGTTGAATGATACCTATACATACAAACTCATTCCTCGTAAGTATAAATCACTTACATTACAAGTGCAGTATCACTTCCCCATCTCTCTCTCCTTATTTTATTTCAAAACAAATTATAATGGTTTGTCGTTGTGTTCTACTTTTTTTTTTCTTCTCTCTTTCGATTGTTCCTTTTGATCTTTGGATTATTAGACAAGATGGTGTTTTATTGGTAAAAAATAATAATATTTGTCCATTTTGGTACATGTTCGATCTCATCAATCTTTTTATCTTTAATATTTAATAATTTAACCTACTAATATCATTGTTTGTTAAAAAGAAAAAACTATAGGATTACCGGAAAAGAGAATGTTCAAAGCATGGCCACTAGCTAGCTAATTACAAAACCAGGAAATGAAACTATCGTGTGTGTGAACAAAAGAAGAATATTTTCGCACAAGCTCTAAGATAATTATCTTGATACCAACCAAAAAGTTCATATTTTGAACATGACGGTACCTGAAATTTATCGTTGTTTGACCTTTATTATTGGTTAAGATGAAGACATGAATTTAACTAAGTTGTTATATTACGTAATATGTATTATGATCTACGTTTAAGTTAGGATCTCCATCTCTGTAGTTTAAATGAACTTCGTGTTATAATTCCTATCATTTATCAAAAATACAGATTCAAAAGAATTGTTGAAAAAAAAAAAATCATGCTTAAACTCGTTCATGATGCATACATAGAAGTAGTCAGGTTCATAGTCATTAATCATTGATGCAAACGGGAAGGTAGGGAAAAGGCATATGGGATCCACAGACACTGTTTTGCTTTTACTTTTTAGAGGAGAAGCCGACTTGAGTTTGGGTAGATCATGCCGTCGCTAAGTTTTGTTCCCGCTAACATATGGCAGCATATGACATGTACACACAAATAAATAGCTCTCAGTCATGACTCACTGCAGCATATATATCTTCTTTCACAATTATATCCCATCGGTTTTTCAAATATAAATACAAAATATTATGTGGTGGAGAATTTGGGATTAGGTTAGCGATTCTAATTTGATAATCAATTATGAGATTTAATTTTATTTATAAGTGAAGAAAAGTGCTATGAAATCGTATAATGAAATAACTATAATTCACCGCTTTAATTTGACATATATATATGTTGGATAGGTCATGTGGTCCTGCGATGTCCACGACCCACCAATTTCTTGGAGACTAACAATACACTTAAACAAACAAAAGATATTTGAGAAAAGGAAATCACCTTTCCTATTCTTTCCCCAAACAAAAGATATTTGAGAAAAGGGAGGGGGGAGGAAGGAGGAGGAGGGGGTGGTTTTCTGAAAATTACCAAACAAATGAAGTGTTACGCTCAAATAATGCTGCCTCGTTATTAATTAAGGTTGTTCGAAATAATCTTTGGGTCTCCCATCTAGGCACGAAATTATTAAATTATGAGGTAGTTAGGTGCATTATATATATTTTCCAACATTGTGTAAGCCAACTAATATGCACAATAGGCCCACATTCCATCCCTTGTAAACAGTTGTTAACGTTGGATCAAATTTGGATTATTCTACCAACCAATTGCTATAGACTCGAAAGAATCATGCATCGTCTTTAATCTCCTAGAAGTTTACAGTAAAGTGATTTGGAAACCAAATAACATGCGTATGATCATCACATTTCAGTTGCTATTTACTAAAAAAATCTCTGTCAAAGTAAGTGCTTGGATTATGAAATAGTAATGGCAAATCCAAAAGATATGCATCATTGACAAGTGACAACTTGATCAAAAGGTCATGAATTCCTTATCCGGTCGACCTCTATCTCTTCTTTTTGGATAACTTCTCTCAACACTAAATAATATTAAACTAAAAGTCCTCTAATCCTTTGTCATTATGTAAAAGATGAACATGTCAAGGGGTCCTACTTTAGCCATGATCGACCAAATCCTATCTCGCACCTTCCCTCTAACCCTTTATACGCTCTATCCTATTTGTCTCCAAATTCTAATCAATAGTAAAGGCTTTTTACTTGGCTCTATACCTATAAGAAGTCATCCTTCTTTTGTCTTTGCAGAATTTAATATGCATGCATAAACCTTTCTGGTTGCGATTGTAATAATATGAAAAGTTTTGAATAGGTGTGATTTATAAATAAATGACCTTAAATGTGAGAGCCAAATGGTGGGTTTCATATTGATTCTTCCACATTCTAATCTTTTGGTATCTAAAGTTCAAATGAAGACTATTATTAAGCACCATTAAGTGATATCCGAGAGTTTAAATCTCATATCAGGAAAATTGACTTTTGCATGTACTTATAAGATATTGATTATGGAACTATTATTAACATTCCAAAAATCTCATTCTACACTCTTCACAAGTGTATTTTTCTTTCTAATTATAGAAAGTTTGGAGTGTCAAATGAGATTTTTAGAATGTTAATAACAATTCCCTATTGATTATTTCTCATATTTTTATTTATGGTGAAATTTCAATTTTCTTCAGTGTTGTTTTGTTGCCTAAACAACATCGTACGCGGATGAACCGTGTCTAAGCATCAATGCGCACACTTTAAAAACAATGTGTATTGATGAGATTTCTAGTGGTGCAAGTAGTCTTGTAATAATTATTTTGCATAACATTTCAAATGCTGAGGATATCCACCTTTATCTCCTTATCCTTTACGAGAGAATCATACACTTTGCTTGGTTTATTCACATTTATGCATCATACATAAGCCACTAGAATATTAATATATAGTATAAGCAGGTCCCAATTCCCAAATACATAGTGGAGGACATAAAAAGCCCTAGAAACGCAACTCCTTGCAATTCCATTTTTGCATCTCATACAGTCCTCCTGGTGGGAAGGTGTGGATTTAGCAACATCCTTGTGGAGAATAATAAGCATTTTCCTGTTCTTTTGTGATGCTCTTTTTACCTTTTCCTTATTCCGTTAGTTACACACTTTTTATTTGCCTTTTGTGGTATATATTTGGGATCGGATATTCATATAAACACAATTGAAAAATCCTGACCTTGCAAAGTCTCTTTTTACGCCTGGCAAGGACCCATGCACAGAGGACACTTGTAAATGGATGCTGACGCCTCGTTGTCCAACCCTAACAAGTCACCATCCAACTTGGAGTGTTAAGATAGCTAGTGGGCTGTCGTTTTGGAATGAGGATCCTCTCCGGATCCTCTTTGTGAGGATTTGGGAATCCTTCAATCACGTTCATTCATCATACATCGTGCGATCAGTTTTTGTTAGGTACTATTTATATTCAATTTTAAATAAAAAAATTACAATGATTTTTTATCACACAATGTGCGATAAACAAACATAAGTGGAGGATCCTCATTTGTCGTTTGTATCAATTTCCAAAGCGTGAGTCACTCGTGTCATCTCCAAGCTCGAAGGTGATGAGAGTATTAAACCCTCCTCGATGAAAAATTTATGCTTCCGTAAACTGTAATATTAGGCAAGAACGGTGACTGATGAAATGATTAGATCAGATATACGGTGGAAACTTTGTTGTGTGTGACATATATATGTACCTAAAAATTTGGTAAGTGAGGTCTCCATACATGCATGATGAATGATGATCACCTTACACAATTTTGTGCCGGCATATTGAAATAGGATAGGACCCATATTGGACCCTACTTACCAACTTACTATTAAAATTGATTCACATGAGTAGAGTTTTTAACATACAAACTGTTGATACCATACGAATTTCACAATTAAGATCAATTAAAACATAAAAATGGATAGATAAGAAGTTTTTTGTGCCAGTTTTGATCTTTAGTGGTGCATTTGGATGAGGGTAAAAGTTAAACAAAAGTTAGACCACATTTAGGAGGAATACCCTAAAAACTTGATTGACTGACAACGACTAGAAGCAACACATTAGTACTGCATTTGTAGTGTTTAATTTAGTAGTAGCTTTTCTAGTTTAAGTAGTTCATTGCTAGTCTTCGTTTAATACATATTTAAAAGGAATTGAGTTAAAGTACTTTAGTATTTATAAATTTCTCTTCTAAGAATAGTACAAGTATTTTTGTATAAACTTACAGTAGATGTGATTTGTTTCTTACTAATTTACTGATATTCCTGTAGCCAAACAATTTAAACTTTTCGAGTTTGAGATCCATGACAATATAGTTCATGTCATTCAAGTATTGCAAAAAGAACATTAAAGTTATCAATCAGTACAGTATTGGCTCACAATTAATTTAAACCGTCAAGTACTTAACCCTTGTTTTAGTAAGATGTAACACACTTATACTTTCTTTTTCTTACATATATACACGTGAGTTGTTGAATGCTACATGAACAACAAATAAGTGTTTCTTTTATAAATAGAAAGAAAAAAAAAAAAAAAAAAAAAACCCTTTCCTTCTACACATATGGTATGGAGATGAAATGTACATCAATATATAGTACTGTGCATGCAAAAATAAATAATTAAATCTATCAAATTCCCTCTGAGACTGCCGTGCGTATGTGCCACGTACCCAGTCTGGTAGTATGGAGTGAATTCGATATTGTTCGATTCCTACTGTGGCAGATGGTGAATGGATTGGCTGCATGCATTGTGGAGGGTTTTGGATGTGGAATTGGTAAAAGTGATGGGCGGGGGCCGCCGGCTGGGACGTCGATAATTGGGACCCAGTGGACCTTGAGCTTTAGGTCTTGAAGCCTTGGGACTTTCTTATGATTTCTGAGCTCAGTGGGGGACCACACGGTTCAGTGAATGTGTGGATGGTCCTCCTCTCCCAATTGGACTTTTGAACATTTTGATTCTTTGTGGGTTGAACATGGCGAGTCACTGAATTGAGAGCATTGAACGGATACAAAGTTCACAGAGAAGAATATGTGAAGGTTGAAACTCAAGTCTCCATTATAAAGTATATTACCAAAACGATTTATTCTTTATTCTTTTTTTTATTAGACTCGAATCCATGTATTTTTATTAGGGTTAGTAGTTTTATGCTAGTTCATCCAAGTCTAGAAAAGTTGCCTCCTCCTAATTAGACACCTCTTCCACCAACGTATATAATGAATATATATGCTTGACTAATTTCTTGTTAAATGGTTGATTAGATTTTGAGAAGTTAATTGGTGTACAAATGGACCAAGATTCCAAGGGTCACGTGGGAAGAGATTCTTAGGTGCCCATCGTCGATCGTGTACAACTATGGATCCTAATTATGTAACGAGAGATATACACATGGTTGTATACAACTAATGATATGTTATCCCAAATTAGAGAAGATGCAAAAAATCAACCAGACTAATTTTTGTTACATGAGTAGTGTATAACGATATTGAGTCTTCATCCTAAACTTTAAACTCTATACAAATAAAGTTCTGCTTGATTGTTTGCATTTAGAGAGTCAATCTATATGATCTTTTGATATGCATCGTAAGTTCAAAAAACTAAAAATAAAAAAAATAAATAAATAAAAAATCTTAGATAGCTTTGTGAGAGGTCCGCGGGAATCATGATTTCGTCGTGGCCTACAAAATATTACTTTTAGGTTGAACACTCTAATTTTGATACCATCTTCTATACAATGTAAAAGCGTTGGGAGTATATGCAAGTCGAGGTCGGCAAGGAATCTAGTTTCGTAGAGAAAACTACATCTTTGAAGTTTGAAGTTGGAAAAATGAGTAGAAAAAGTGTTCGATGATAATAGCATAAGCCATAAAGGGTTGAAAACCGTCCAATGTCTAGGAAGCTCTATAATGATTGGCATTCCCGAACTTTTTTAACCCAAGAGACCGACCTAATTATCCAATATTGTTTTTAAATCACTTTTTTTTTTTTTTAATCTAAATTTTGGAGAAGGAAAATTGAACATGAGACCTCCGATGCAAGAGACTACATTCTTAATAAATTGAGCAACAAAGCAATTGCACCTAATTGTCCAGTATACAGTATACTTGGTATGTTGCAGTACTCAGTACTGTGTGAGTACGTGTAAAATTATATTGCACTTAACCACGTAATACTACAATATAGAAGTAATTTTATTTTGTTATTTGAAAAAAAAAAAGAGGTCTGATATTTGACTCTCATAGATATAAGATATGAGTATGACACTAAAAACTTAGGGGACGTTTGTTTGCCCTTCTTAGCCTTTACTGGATTGGATTGGATTAAGTATGAATGTAGTCTTGTGTTTGGTGGCTTGCGGGACTAACATTAATGGCACTAGGTGGGACTCACTTTCACAAACAGCTTCACTAGCTGGTCTTAACGAGAGACCCCGAAACCCACGAGGCTAGCTAAGACCTTCCATTGTCCTCTCTTGCCTTCATCCACTCTCGCTGCATCCTTTATCACCTTCGTCTGCTTCGTTGCCTTGGGTTCATTGACCTCAATTTTCGACGGCTAGGTTCATCCATCTCTGTCTCCAATTTTTTACGGGATCGACCTCGACCTTGATTTTTGACGGCTGGGTTCATCCATCTCTGTCTCCAATTTTTGACGGCATTGACCTCGACCTTGATTTTCGACGACTGGGTTCATCTATCTTTGTCTCCAATTTTCCATTTCTTAAATCTAATTCGCAATTTATCCCAAATTTTCATTAGGAAAATAGAAAATTTTGATCTGCATTTCTTGTCAAGTTTTAGAATTTTTTGGTCAAGCATCAAGAGTTAACTCAAATTTGGGGATTAGATTAGGGAGAAAATTGAGATTTTCTCACAATTGAAGAAGTAGATTACGTAGGAAATTTGTTTGTGATTGTGGGAAGAAAATTGCAATTGGCTGTTGCTGCTTGTAATTTCCAACAAAGAAGAAGAAGAAGAAGAAAGAGTCCTTGTTTGGGCCCAATTTGAGTCGTTTGTGCTAATTTGGTGTCGGATTTGTGAATTGCATGTTGAAAATTTCCTATCATACTTCTTAGTCCGACACTGCACCAAACGCTTCACTAAGTTAATCCAGCTTAGTTTAGTTTAAGCCAGTCCAACTTAGTTTCTGAAGTTAGTTCAGTTCAAGATAGTCGTATGCAACAAACGCATCCTTAAACTCACTTGAAGTATGGCTTGGCCCAAAATCTTTACCTTTAAACAAAATATCGTTATGTCAAGGAAAGAAATTATTTAACGTTGGGTCTATTCCCGCCCTGCACAATTGGGGAGCTATTGGGCTGGAGCTGTCAGTTGTTTGGAGGCCTAACTAATCATGGGTTCAGCCTAGGAAAAATGAATAGCATTTCATCTTGGGCTAATTAATAGAAATTTAGCCTGTACTACTTTAACGAGTGCTTCTCTATTGTACATGCCAAAATACACATGTTTATCGGGGCGCGAAATTGTGTTGCTGATCAGATGGGGAACTAGAGTTTCAATTGTGCTTTGGCAAACCTTGTTTTCCATGGTCCTTCTTCTTGGATTACATCTGCTCTTATGGATGATGTGCTTGGTATTTGTAAAATGAGATATGTTGGTTCAGATGATTTGAGTTTGGTGCATAATATATCCGGTTTGGTTTTTTAATGGTAAAATCGAAAACCGAGTTGGTTTAACCCAAAATGAACTTTTCGGCGGCACTTAGATATGATGGCCACACCTATCTTAAAGTCGAGAGATTATTATGTTTTTAAAAGCTATCGATGGTGAGTTGATATTCATTTATTCGTTTTACATAAAGTTAGAAGCTCACTTCTCGGATGAAAAATTATTCTATTTGTCTTAATTTAATTTTACCCAGCCTTTACTCGCTAGAAGTTATAGAAACTATTACAGCTGATCAATTCCCCAGCACTCCACCTCATTATGTCATGCAGAGGATAACATATTATATAGAACGAGTTTTTTTTCCAAACGATAACGTTGCTAGGTTAAATTATTAGTTGCTAAGTGGGAGGAAGATTAGTGGAGATCGAACCCACACTTGAGTGCTTAGGCATGATTGCTTTCTAATATTGCAGTAAAGCATCATTTGCAACTCACATAGAACGAGTTAATTGTCATGTGACGGTCTGATCTAATAACACAATTTCATATATTAAAAAACTTGCACATTTAATTATTTTACTGAAATAGAATGCCACAATAAAGAAGAACACATTCTATATAATCATTCCTCACAATAAAATCCTCACAAGTCGCAAACACAATAAAAATCATCAGGATCATCTCTTTTGGATATGGTGCTTGAAATATTCTCTCTTTTTTCTCCTCCTTTTTCGTAATCTCAATTTTTCTGAATATTTGACCAATAGAATATATGAATGAATGGTGAGAAGTCCCTCAAGAAACACGCCCACCACTCGTTCCAATCGAACCAAGGAGCTGCCAAATCCACTCCCACCTCCCTTTCTTTCCACCAAAAAAATTTAAAACAAAAAATAATAATCATATCCAAATAAAAAAAATGCATTCTCCTCCTCTCCCTCACCAAATTCCATGGCCATTGGCCAAGAATCTACCTGAATAATTCCCTCTGGATTCTCAACCCTCTTTCTTCCTCCTCCTCCCCTCTCAGCCGCTGCCATCTCTCTCCACCTAAGACATGATTCCTTCTTACTGCCTATCTTCTGTAAGAACCACATCCAGACCAGAAGCATTCCTCCTCCACAATCCTCACCTCTACCTTCCAAAGCACCGCTCCATTTTCCTCCCAACAGAACCCCACTTTCCCAAGAAGGGCACAAACTTTCTCAGCTCCCAAACACCACTTCCCAAGTCTTTTCTCCCCACTTTGGGGCTCAACAACTCCAAACTCTCACAACCCTTTGCCAGTTTATCCTCTTTCGCCGATGCCGAAGGCAAAAACGAAGAACAAAACCAAGATGTCAAAGCCGAACAACATCACGAAATCGCTGAAACAGGGGAGCAAGCTGAGTCGCCTGGAATGGCGCAGGCCTTCCACATATCTTCCAGCACGGCCTCCGCCATTTCCATCTGCATAGCGTTTGCGGCTCTGAGCCTTCCGTTTTTCATGAAGTCTCTGGGGCAAGGGCTGACCTTGAAGACCAAGATGCTGTCTTATGCTACTCTGCTATTCGGGTTTTACATGGCGTGGAACATCGGAGCCAACGACGTGGCCAATGCCATGGGGACTTCGGTGGGTTCGGGAGCGCTGTCGCTGCGGCAGGCGGTGCTGACGGCGGCAGTGTTGGAATTCTCGGGGGCGTTTCTGATGGGGACTCACGTGACGAGCACAATGCAAAAGGGAATTCTTGTGGCAAATGTGTTTCAGGGGAAGGATACTCTGCTTTTTGCTGGTCTGATTGGCTCTCTTGCTGCTGCTGGTACTTGGTTGCAGGTATATTTGTGTTAATCTTATGTTTTCATTTGTTTTATGTTTTCATTTGTTGTAAAAATGTGTTTTTTTTGTTAAAGTAAACAGTACTATCTTTTCGTTAAAATTCTTTTGATTGCATGATGTTTTATTGGAAAACAAAATATTTTTTTTTGAAATGCCTCTAAAGAGGAAGAGAGATTTTTTCACTGTGATTGGTAAACGGAATGGTACATCACGTGTCATTATACAAATAGTGAGATATATGTGTTAAAAAGTTAGTAACTTAAAAAATAAAATTTCTCACAAGTTCTATAAAAACATATGGTGTATCATTCATGTACCGGTCACAATGAAAATTTTCTCTTCAACGACAGTGTTGCCCAAGTTTTCAATTTAGTTTTGAGTCTCTATACTTCCAATTCGTGTCAATCTCCCCCGACGTTAGATTTGAATTACTGCAAATGTATAAGTTTTCCGATTCTTCTTAATTTTATGTCACAACTCGATTATCAGAATTTTCATCTAATTATTTGTTCACTTAATAAAAGCATTTTGTGGACGTACATGCCCCTAAAATTTACTTGCATGCATTGCATGGGATGAAAAACAATAGTTGAAAGAAATAAAATAAACAGAACTACATAGTCGACTAATTCACATGTGCTATTCAGTTGAGAGAAAGAGAAGATGACTTAACATAACATTGTAACAAAATTGATAGTTAGCGGGACATTGGCGTGAAAATTTAGAGGGCTGAAAACTAAATTGAAAGTTCAGAGGGTAAAATGAAACGTGGTCTACAACTTAGGGGAGTTAGCATGTCAGTATCCTTATTGTTTTCAAAATTCCTTCTCTTCATTTCCCAACTTATGGGATTAAATACTAAAATTTCCATGAGACAAAAGGGGAGATGGTTACAAGAACCTTTGGTGGACTTGGTACTAATCTCGTTTCCTCTTGGGAGACATGAAATTCAAGGATATTCCTCTTAGCCTAGTTGTGCACGATTTATTATTCGTTTCATAAGTTTATGTACTACGTTGCCATGTTCTTTCTTCCATCCACTAGTGATTGTTTTCTGCTAGTCAGGTTGCATCATCTTATGGCTGGCCGGTCTCGACAACGCACTGTATAGTTGGATCCATGGTCGGATTTGGACTTGTCTATGGCGGCCCAGGTGCTGTCTTCTGGAGTTCGTTGGCGAGGGTGATTTCATCTTGGGTTATCTCGCCGTTCATCGGAGCACTGGTGTCCTTTCTTGTGTACAAATTCATTCGTAGGGTATGTTCTACTTCTTTGGAGATGCAACTAAACCGACTCTGTGCAGGACGTCTTGTTTTAATGAAAGATTGAGAAAACGTCACTTCTACTCAATTTTCTTCGACTTTGTTCTCTTCTATCGACGTGACTGAATGTTTTAGTGCTTAGAACCTGATTTTCTGTTTGAATTTGCGAATACAATGCTTAGTTCTTACTTCTTACAACCCTTATTTTTCTCTATTCCTTTCAGTATGTGTACAGCGCTCCAAATCCAGGACAAGCTGCGGCTGCAGCAGCACCAATTGCTGTACTAGTCGGCGTAACTGGAATCTCATTCGCAGTCTTTCCTCTTGGAAAAAGCTTGCCTTTGGCTCTTGCCAAGGCTTTAGCATGTGGAGTTGCAGGTGCGGTCCTCGTGTATAGAATTATCCATAGGCAGCTAGGGCATCTCCTCGTCAAGTCCATGTCATCGGAAGCAGAGCAAACGGAGGGTACCATCCAGCAAAAAAATATCGGGTTTCTCTCTGATATTGCAGGTCCAACCGGTACACAGTTGGAAATAGTATATGGAGTTTTCGGATACATGCAAGTCCTCTCAGCCTGCTTCATGGCATTTGCTCATGGCGGGAATGATGTCTCAAACGCAATAGGTCCTTTGGCTGGTGCATTATCCATTCTTCATGGCTGCGCTAGTGGTCCGGAGATTGTAATTCCGACTGATGTTCTGGCATGGGGAGGATTCGGAATTGTAGCAGGTCTCACAATGTGGGGGTACAGTGTGATAGCAACGATCGGGAAGAAGATTACAGAACTGACACCAACGAGAGGATTTGCGGCTGAGTTTGCAGCAGCCTCGGTGGTTCTATTTGCTTCAAAGCTGGGACTGCCAATCTCCGCCACGCATACTCTGGTGGGCGCAGTCATGGGGGTGGGATTTGCAAGGGGGCTTAATAGAGTTAGAGCAGAAACTGTGAGGGAAATTGTGGCTTCTTGGGCTGTGACAATTCCTGCTGGTGCTTTCTTTTCAGTTTTATACACATGGATCTTTACCAAGTTTTTGTCTTATATTTTATGAGTCTACATTTGAAGATTGAAGTGATGGACATCTAATGTAAGTCATTAATTAAAAACAATCACTTCTTTTCCGAATTTGATTTATCGAACTAATGATCCTGCTTGTTCTCAAAGCCTTTTTATTCTCAAATTTCTTTCATCGGGCGTTTCTTCTGTTTCAGTTTAAGAATTATTAAAGACATGTATGTTCTTTGCGGCTGAATCTACCTACAAAATCTCTTGTGACAAAACTGATCTTCTATTTCCAGGGAAACATCAATATATTCAACGAATCTGACAGTGGAAAGTTGTTCAAAGAAACTGCTAGGATTATCGTACACGAGTAGTCTGATATAGAAAATAGAATATATTGCTGGAAAACGGTACATTACTTATTACGTTGTATAAATTTTTTGATAAATCTCTCTCAGAATTTTCATGGAACCAAAAACATACTTGCAGTAGCAATATAACCACGCAGCAGAATCCGAACGCCAGGTTAACAGCATACAGAAAATCATGGAGAAAGCTCTTGCACAGAAGTGAGACTTGGCTCCCAATTTATTCCTCTACATGATCTTGTCCTCGGAAGTGGGGGAACAAAAGGCTTCTTTCCTCTGAAACCTTTTCTCTGTAAACATTTTGACCATCTTTCCTTGGAGACATAATATTCTTTATCGGAGCAAACAGAATCATCTGTGTCGGAACCTCCTGAATCCACGGTGATCTTCCCATCCGGAGCCTCAGCCTTTCCTTCAGCAGCTTCTTTGGCCTGCAATTTGTTTTGGTGTTTTTTCTTAATTTTCTGCGCTGTTGTACATGGGATCATATAATACTTGTTACCAATCAACAGAATTTCATCTGGCCGTAGAAGGGCCTCATGCGGATTTTTGAACACTTCTGGGCGGGCGACGCACAAACCAGGATACTTTTCCATCAACTGAGATGCAGGAACTACATTCTGGTACAGCTCCTCTCGACCGCCTGCATGAACTATCCTCACGAAAATATCCTTCGACTGCATGCTCAAGTCTAATGATATGGAAGCAGCATCTACTTCCTTTCTTTTGGATTTGTCATCCACGGAAGGTCCTGTCAACTGATTTCTGCCAGGATTCCGGCCTAGGCCTAACAACTGGAGGCACCACTTCAGCATAGCCGCAGTTAAAAGTAGCCCGATCAAAACGCTTTAGCATGGTCCATCGGTGGAAAGTGTGAGCATTATATTGCCTTGATATTATTGAGCATTGGCCACACTGCATAGTTCCTGGTTTCTGGTTTTTCGTGGCCGGCTTTCCTTCATATAATATTCTCTTCCACAAGAAGCTGTGATGAAACCAAGGCTCCCATAGTTGTAAAATATGGGGAACAATTTTGTTGTCACTGTCGGATGTGAAAAGTTGAAAACCAAAGCAGATGCTAATGAATATAATAAACCACCAATTAGGAATTAAACTTTGTTTGCTAAGTTGAACTCGCGCCGGCACATCCTTGTGCTGGTATCATATTCCCATAGGCCTGATAAAACCTGCCTTTCTAACTTCTTCAGTCTCCCGCTGATCCAGTTGTTATGGAGAACTAAACAACCCTGCTTCGCACAGGCTGCCCTCACGTTTTTCCTCTGCCACAGCTCCAGATATGCACCATTTGGGAAGAGATCTCTATCCAAGAAATGGACAGTCAGATTTGTTTCAGGTTCCAAGCATCTATCGTCACCCACACGATTGGAACCCCCTTCTCCACATAGCGTGTCATAGAAGCTTGGCTGCTCAGATAGACCCGAAGTTGCTGCATGTGCCACCACCTTCCTCATAGCATTGATTGTTGAACTATCAGAACGGGCAAAGTAAAAGCCAGAGTTCAAGCGCCTAGGTACGTTGATTGGTCCTTCATACAGAAAATACCACATAGGGGTTTTAGGTTGCTCGATTTAATAGCTAAGCAGTCGCACAGAACATTTATTCAGTTATATTCCAAACATCAAGGGAAATCTATCATTTTTTTTCTCCTCCATGCTGAGTGATTATATAACATAAAAAAAAAAGACTACCTGTTTTGTTGAATTCATCGGACTGTGCTGCAAGAATAGCAGGGCCAAAGGAGTAGAGCAATGGCAGCGGATTTCCAAACCAATAAACATCCACGTCGCTAAGAAGCACGTTGTAACCCAGCGTCAGTATCTTCAAAACCATTCGGGACTTCACTTTGGTCACCTTTTGAAAGCATTTTGTTCCAAAGTGGCAATCGCTGCTGATCTCACTCGGAGCTAATGGATCCCTGAAAACAGGGAGGCCCTAACAATAATACAAAATAGACAATCAAAACTACAACACATTTGATGTGGAGATCAATCTACAATACAGACTAGCTTCAACATTGAATTTCCATTTACCGAAATTTCACAAAATAAATATAAAGATACCTGCAAGACAGCAAACTCATATATTTCCTTGTCGAGGGCACAAATGATAAAATTTGTGATCTGCAGTTGGCGCAATCTGCACACCCAGCTCATGAGCATGTCCTTGTAACTATATCCAGCAGCAGCAAGCACAATTGTGTTATTTTTGTCTGCATTTAATGGTAGTAGTGTCTCCAAGGAGAACGGAAGGTCTAATAGTTTCGAACGCTTTAGTGGAACCATCAGATTGCAATCTGACAACCAGCCTAGTGATTTAACACCGTCAACCAAACCCAAAGTTTTCTTCTTCCACCAGGAACGCAATATCCTTCCTTTTCGTAATCCCCCTGCACTTTGGTATTCCATTGGACAAACAATGTTTTCTGCTGTGTTTACGAAAGTATATTGCCCGTCACACTTCAAAAGCTTTGCTAGGCTAGAATAGTTAGTTTCATGATGAGAAAATGATCCATATAGTACCCCAAGGTGAGAATTTCCAGCATATTCCCAGTTTCTTTCAAGATTTGAAGCATTGGAAGCTCCAACAGGCCAGCTAATCTGACGGTCCTGATCAATCAGATAGCAGCTTGAGACTGTCCAACTGGTATCAAATACAAACCTCAGTTCAGACGACAAGGCCTCATTAACGATCCAACTGTTGTGCACCCCTCTACCGTATAAGAAAGGAGGAAGGACCCCTGAATGTAGTGGCGTATCTCCGTTATTCCATGCCATAAGCAACTTCCCTTCACAAGGAGTCCATTGCCAACTCTGACCAAAAATCTCCTGCAACTGATGGAAGAGAGCACAATATTAATGGAGTTGTCCTGACTTGTCGATCAAATATCAGACCGGAATAAGTTACTTCATACCTCTTGTGTTCCCATCAATTTGCCACCCTCTCTTTGCCAATTTTTTCCATCCTCGTCCAAGTAGAATGGGAAGTAGGACGCATTTCGTGATGAAGCAACTAGAAGCCAATCTCGGTCAAGTGTGTAAGCATAGTTCAGGGTGGAAATGAAGTCAGGTAAAACAATGGTTTCAGGATCAACCAGAACAGAAATGTCTGTTGAAAAGGACTGTGATCTTGCCATCATCGAATGAAAAAATGGTGTACCAAGGAACCTAGACCGACACAGATTACAGACACAAATCAGATGGCAATAAATATACGCCAGTTCTAGCTCCAACTACATTACTCGTCGAGGATTTCCTGAAGCCTGAACTAGTCATCAAAATCCATCTTTTGGAGTAAACCGCCTTACAGGCACGTTCGATGACCATTTCGATTTTTTTTTTCTTCCTTTATTTATTCAATCATCAGAAATTCACTACAAACATTTATGTTCAACTAAATGGGTTTTATTTGAATAAAGTAAAGAGCAAGAAATGAATGAAAAAGTAATAGGCTTACGTGAAATCGATGTTAGGATCGACCAAAACCCGCAAACCAAACGCTCCGGCAAAGGAAACAACAGAAGGGTCGCTGCTGAAGAGCACAACTGTAATCTGTGGAGACAATGCAAGCCACGAGCGAACAGCCAAACTCTGCCTACCCCCAACAGAACCAGCAAAAGGCGCAGGCGCCGAGAATATAGTAATCCTGGGTGTGTCCAAACCGCCGCCAGCCCGTTGACCGAGCTGGGGCCTCGTGATCTGATCCTTAAGGGAAGGAAAGCATTGAGTGGCATACAGGGAGAGGGCAATTAGCCCCAACCCAGTTAGCCAAATCGACCATAAACTCCCTACTCCAGCTTGAAATGCCTGCAAAACCCAAAAACGAAAACAAGAACAAGATTTGATGTTTTTGTTTGTGAAACAATGGCAGAGAGAATGAAACATTGTAAGAAGCAGGGGAGTTTGTGACCTTCATTCGACGTGGAGTTGTCGACAACAACGTAAGAAAATGATGATTTTGTTTTGCTTGTATGAATCGCGAGCTGAGCTGAATATAAATGTAGAGAGAGAGAGAGAGAGAGAGAGAGAGAGAGAGAGAATGGAACTTTAACTGAAGAAGAAGAAGAAGAAGAAGAAGAGGGGAGAGAGAGAGATAGAGAGAGAGAGGAGAGGTGGGAGAGTAACGAACGCACCAGTCGGGCAGGCAGCGTCGCTCGCACCAAGGACAAAGGCCGTGAGGGATCCATGTGAGTTGTGCGACTTGTCGTATTCCGCACGTCAGATTCCAATCTAAGCCACCTTTTTCTCCATTTGATTTTGATGTGCTTCTTTGAATCTGGAACTCATCAGAGTCAACGATATCAGGCCCCAAAGCCTGCGGCGTCGTTTCGCTTCATTTCATTTTTGTGACAATATTTATTACGCACGCGGCACGTCAACCCAATTGTGGTTAACGAATTTTTAGATGCATACGTGGCATAATCAAAACCGTTCACTTTTTTATTTGTCACTTAAAATTATCTTGGCAAGAATCAATTAAAGATGAGTGATGCAATTGATATAAATATGACCAGATGATTTAAATTTAATGGAAAATTAATGAAAAATGTTCGAAAACTTTAAATTTTAATAATAAAGATAAAATAAATAGTACCAAGATTGATTTTTCATTAAAGTAAACAGTACCAGATGTTTTTTCATTAAAGTTCACTAAATTTAATTGATTTTCTTTGAACGATTGTCATTATAATATTATACGATTTAAAATCCATTAATCACAACGCATTTATTTTCTTCTACAAAAAAACTATGATTACACATCATCTGGGTCGAATCATAAAAACACATCATATTTCTGATCCTTGAGTCACAATCCGGGGGTAGGAACATTGGAGCAATACATATGACCCGAAACCACAAATCGCTATGCCACAGAACTGTGATTATAATTCCTACGAAACCAGCAGCAGTTCACACACATTACCAACCGGACTCAAGCTGTCGTGCATGCTGTGCCATACCTGCCATTATCCTCGGTACTAAATGGAACCATTGAACAAAGTACACCGATTTCGTAATTGGAACAATACCCAACTGCGGTGGCTGAACATGGTGCACCGGCTTTGTTGCGAAACTCTGTTCCACCGCTTGTCTGATTCTTCAGTATTGGACATAATTCTGGCTCTCTATCGCTGTAGGATCCTTCCCCCAATCATCTCTGCCGCCACACAGGTGATCTGGATCTTGACCTTCTTCCCCTGCATATTGATTAGAACAGTTAAGACAGACCAGACGGTGATTAGAGTTGTAGAAGCGGAAGCCTGGCAATATCACCTGAGTTGTTGCTTATTGATAGAGCTGTATATGTCTGAAAAACAATACACAACAAAGATTTCATGGCAACATACATACCTGCTCGTCTCAAGAGAAGAATAAGGAGAATGCCTGCGCTGAGAATGCTTGCTATGTGGAGACCGCGAAACTTGTCTAGAAACGAAAACATCCATGATACTTATTTGGTGAGTTTAAACATGCATTGTTCAGAAGACAAATGCTCAGCCTTTTGCAGAGCCATACTTGATAAGGAGTGACCCATTAGAACATATTTTTCAGCTTTAATGACCATGTAAAGAACCTATATGAACAAGTCATAATTCTCAAAAGGGTTTAGAAAACAAAGGTTTAAAGCTTTTCTCTGCACATTACTATGTGTCAACTGTAACTAGACATAAAACAAGTTCCAAATGGTAAAACGGACAAAGACATCCAGGATACTGACTCTCATTACTACAATTATGTTTTTGCTGCAGCATTGCATACAAGGTTACCAAGATCCAAAGGATTGATCGCTATTCATATAGGCAATACAACAATATCCAAATGAAATCGATTTCAACAACAGTACTAGACAATATACAATGAAACCATGTATACCCTTTCACTCTTCATTCTGAATTTTAGTTTTTATTTCTGACCTTGTAAATCAATTCAAAATGAAAGAGCTAAACATATTAGACGTTTCATAACCTCAAAATGTTAAGTCAGTAAAATCATTCACAAAAGCAAAAGAGAATGCTGAAAGATTTACACATTCTAATACAAAAAAAGGGTAGTGCAATGTAGTTGCAAAAAAATAAAAAAATAAAAAATAAAAACACTGATTTACGGCTAAGTATAAAAAATAAACCATCACAATAAAGTTCCAATCTCACACAACAGTCACATTGGAGCCACAAAAGTACCTCAGATGAATAGATTTAATATCAGTTCATTTTGTATCTTATAGCTTTTGAATTAACCTGCTAATGGCATTATTTTTAGTTTACATTGATTTCTCTGTATAAAACTTTGACACAAGAGGACAGCAGTCCAAAACATATTATCAATTTCGATTTATCGGATCTTTGTAAAACTCAATGGTATGAACCTTACGATGCAACAAAGAACAAAAAATGAAGAAAAAAAAACTCATAAATGGTACCTTCTCCTAGACCTGACAGGTGATGGTGATAAGTTACGTCTCCTTGAATGCCGCTTCCTGCCACATTATATTATATATGAATCACAGCGTAATATAAGTTGAACTGAAAAAGAAATAATCAGATGATCAAAATGGAGAACCTTTTAGAATCATCAGAAGCTTCATCGCTTGAATCATCCTTGCTGTTTCTTCCTCTACTGCCAACAGAAGAGGAGCGCCTTCTCTTGTGCCTGCTTGAGTCAGTAGAATGTTTGTGTCTTGATCTATCACCCTCCTTATCCTTTGTCCGTTCTCTTTTCCTTTCCTTATCTTCTTTACCACTTGCCCTATGGAGTCGCTCTGTTTCTCTTCTACCCTCCTTGGCATCAGCATGGGAAGACCTTTTTCTTGACTCAGATTCCTTTACATTTTGCTCTTTCACCTTTTCTTTTGAGCCATTCCGATCATCTGCCCTTTCCTTTCTAGGATACTGCCCCTTACGATTCTCATCACCCTTATCATCTGTCCTAATCTTACCACTTTCTACCTCCTTATTGATGTCTTTCACAGAACTCTTTTTATTCTCGTCTCGATCATGCTTATCAGGTTTCATCCTGGACTCCGTAACTTGTGGGTCATCTTTTGATGTGGTTTTCACATTGACATTTTCTTTAGGTAGTTCAGGTTTGAATATTCCTACGGTATCCTTCAACCTAGAGGCAGTAGTTCCATCTGGCAGATTTCTATCACCATTACTATCATCATCCTTGTGTCTATTATAGGACTCAAGTGAACTGGTTTTACCCCGTCCGCTCTCCAAAATTGTCTGACTTTTACTATGCTCCTGAAGCTCTACAGAAGAACGGCCATTTACAGTGGCATCAAGCCTATCATTGGAAGGCTTTTTGACAGTTGACTGCTGCAGCATAGCATCTTTCCCAGAATTTGGCATACCAGAACTTTGAATATCACTATCTTCATCCTCGTCATCTGTAGCATAATCTGCAAGACCCAATACATCACCAGGTAAAGTAGGACTGGATTTGACATCTTCAGTCTCATGTTCCTTAGACTTGGCCGCAATTAGAACTTTTGCAGAAGCCTTGGGAGCTGTAACTGCTGGCAGAGATGGCAACACCTTATGATTTGAAGTGAGTGTGCTCTGTTCAACTGTAACAAATGACACAATTGGTTAAGTTCTTTCCTTTTTTGAGAAAAGAAAAAGAAAGAATGCTAGACTAAACAAACAACATTAAATATATAAGCACAAATCTAAGGAGCAATTATGGTACAATTACCTTCAACTGTCAGATCATCTTCAGTAAGAACTTTTGTAGCAATTTCATCAAACAGCTCATCAGTAACCTGTACAGAAACAAATTAGTTAAAGATACAGTATAATGGAGTCAAATAGGCAATCTACACTCCTAAACACTGCAACCTTCAGGAAAACTTCAGTTAGGATACACTTTATTTCCTGGTTAATTGCTGCAGTCCTAGCAGCATCCACTTGATCCTACAAAACAAAAAGATATGGCATGTCAATCCCACAATGAAAATGAAAAGCATGAAATAGCTATTATTATGGGATGTATATATGGATAAAGAAAAAAAAACTGCACTTTTTTAGAAAGTACAGTTTCACCAGAGGTGAGTGGGACTTCAGATGCAAAATGAATCATCTTCGGGTGAGAAAAAAACCTCATCATCCTCTTCTTCTGTTGATCTAGAAGAATCGATGCTCTTGCTGTCTGCTTGGTCACCCTTCGCAGAAGATCTATCAAAACCTTCATCCTCAACAGATTGAGTTTCCTCCTTAGGATGGCCCATAGACGTACTTGTGATGACTGCTTTCTTAATTTCATCTCTAAGCCAACTAGGCACTGGAGCCTGGCATAAATTTCAGGAGCAGATTGAATAACAATCATGTAACTCACCATAAAGTATAAGCATATGTTAACAATGGCAAAGTTTTACCTTTTTGGGGCGCTCAGTAACTGTGGAAACTCCATATGCATCACCAGGGAAGGCTGCAGTAGGGTGAACTGTGGTTCCTGCAGTGAGAGCAAAGGGCATTGCAGCAGATGGGAAACTTCCAAACGAATGTGGAGCATGCCCAGGAACAGGAGAGGGTATTGCATTAGAGGGATCATGCTGCAGAATTAAACAAATGTCAGCACACATTCATACGAAGGACTTAGAACTGAAGAAAGACACATGAAACCAGAATTAACACCTGTAGTCCTGATGGAACTGGAACATTATGAGGATAACCTACACCAGGTGCAACAGAACTAGGCCAGGTATTCATGGAGGGTGCTGTGGTCGCTGGGTCGACACCTCTTATTGTTCCATGTGAATCAGGATAAGCATAGCTCGACTGCATGTGTGGACCATGATCAGAGCTAAACCCGGGTGCAAATTCCAAAGGCTGGTCAGCAACATTGGTTGTTGGATCAGCAGACTGACTGTCATAGGCAAAAGGAAAGGGCTGCGATGGCTGCATGTGATGTTGTCCTTCTTGAGCTGCAGTCCCTTCATTGCCTGCCATTCAAGTAAAGAGTCAAACAGCAAATCAAAAGACTTTTTAGGGGTGAAATATCCTTGGCACAAATAAGGGTACAAATTTGCTACTAGGAATTGGATCTTTCCAGTTACACAAGCAAAGCTCATCTCTTTTGTATGAATTCTTAAGACACATTGTCAACAACAACAACAAAAAATCCTTTTCCCACTAAGTGGGGTTGGCTAGATGAATCCTAGAACGCCATTGCGCTCGGTTCTGAATTCTTAAGACACATGCACCATAAAAATCCGATGAAAATGTGAGAACAAAGATGTAACCAGACTCTAAAATCTTATTCCATTTCAACTATGAGTATTAGAATAGGATAATTATTCTCTTTCTAATCTCAACAGAAGCTGATTAAGGTAGGCATATTATGTCCCAAAACCCATTTATATTACCACGAATCCAACTCGGAGAATCTGTACAGGGAAGATGGGGTTCTTGACAATTAATATTGCTCTTTAATGGAGATGGTCAGCACTAAATCAAATGGAAAATGCATTCTTTCTCTACATGGTAAGACTCCTCCAGCTTAAAAAGAGAACATAATTTAATTGCCAACGTACTATAACAGTGTATCTGATTGGGTATGAGTCAATTACTCTAACCTCCTTTGAACTTTGCACCAATTGCTTGCTAAGGTGTCTCTTGCAATTAAAAGAAATTTAATTTACAACTATTCCCAAAAAAAAAAAAAATATGTTGTTAGGATGTTGGCCAACAATTATTTTATACTCCAACACTCCCCGACTAATGTGGGTCTCAGCACACTTCTTGCTTAAAACAACATGTGAAATTCGTAAATTACAACGGCTTGCAAGGATTCACACATAATAAGCTTTGTTATATTCTACCAATTTGTAGTCATACTATATATTAGAGAGGTAGTAACGAGTCTTGCAAGGGAGTTTGGAGTAATATACTCTGTCCCTTTTTTAGCATTAATTCAGCCACAGAAAAAGATTCTAATGTTGTAATTTCCTGTCAGATTCTCCTTGTTATAATTATTATTTTAAAAGTATCCAGATGGAGGCCTACACCTGCACAAAGAGTGTCAAGTTTATGCATTTCATTGCATTACATCTCATAACCAACTGCAAAAAATGGTATTAGGATTACGAAAATGAAACTCAGCATCCATTCAACATAGATAATTAATGAATGAGAACAGTTATCTCAAACCAAAAAGAGGGAGAAGAAGGAAAGCCACGTAACCAATAAGTATAAACCACCTACTTGTACCAAGATTAATATTAATTTGGTTGAAATAATCACAGCTAAAAAGAAGCAACGTCCAACTAACATTTTAAAGATACTTTAAGGGAACTTTAACGAAAAACTCCCAGTACTGTTCACTTTAAAAAACCACATTGTTACACTAAAAAGTCAATCCTGGTACTATTCACTTTACCCTTTATTTTGTCCTTATCGTTAAAACTCAAAGTTTTCAAGCCCTTTTCATTAGTTTTCTTATACTTTAATGATCTGAATGGAAGGTCTTATTTGGTAATATTGAAAAAAATCCAGAATGTCGAACTAAATACTAAAATTGAGTTCCATAACAGCAGTTGTGGAACACAAGCTTCACATGCAAAGCCAATACCATTTGAATTATTACCTGTAACAGAAGAATAACTATAAGGTACCTCCTGCTGATGGACAGATGGACTTGTAGATAGGCTTCCTTGATGGTGAAACACAGCAATCGAGTCCCCAGCTGGCGTTCCATCTCCAACAGTGTGATGAGCATAAGAAGATAGTTCGGAGCCAATAGATGAAGTCTCCTGGGAATGAATTCCCGGTGGGTAGTGTGTTGGAGCGCCTGAAACTGGAACCTGTTGATAGCTAGATGTAGAAAATGACTGATGGTGACTTCCAGAATAATGCAGGTCACCATTGTGGGGATATTGTTCGTGATAATGACGTTGTTCTTCTAATCTCCCCACCGGTGGAAACTGCACCTGTTGATGTTGATTCTCCATTGCCGTTCTGGCATCTGCCCATGCCTTAGCCTTGGCTTCCCAATCTTGATTATTTTGGGCTACCATTACAAAAAAAAAAAAAAAAACAAAATTAATTCATTGCCATTAACCCGCAAAAAGCAGAAACTCCTATTCCCAGCAACATTTTGTCTTTACACTAGATCAAATAAGCAATTGGATAGTTGCACAAATAGGACCTTGAATTTGTTTTACTGCACAAAGGAACTAATTCCGCTGAACAGATTAAGCGGATGACAGAGATATAACGGGGAACATGGTGTTTTGCTGCATATTCAACAAATAAAATTGTGGTTTACATAAAATGTGATGTAAACAGAACTCACCTGCGTAATTCGGCCAACTCGGAGGAGCGGCTCCCCACTCCTGCAAAGGTTTATGCTTTGCGTTAGAACATCAGCATTACACTATGCCAAATAACTTTTACCCCAAATATTGATACAGCGATTTTATTAATCATAATAACGTCAAGATTCAAGCATACCCAACAAGTTCAAACTACCAAAAATAATCAATTTATCAACATCAGAGATCAGACCCACATGCATACATATACATATACAAATATATATATATATAGAGAGAGAGAGAGAGAGAGAGAGAGAGAGAGAGAGAGAGAGTTGAGGGGATACCTGGGTGTGTTGAGGATAAGAATGGGGAGGAGGGCGGGGCGGAGGGGGAGGCAGGTGAGGGTGAGATTGATGAGGAGGAGGGGGAGGGGGAGGAGGGAAGTGGGCGTGATTCGGGGGATGCGCAGGATAAGGGTGAGGGGGCTGAGGATAAGAGCCCGGGGGAGGGAGATGCTCGGCGTAAGGTGCTGGTGGTGGAGGTGCTGGGTACTGGTACTGATTGGGGTACCACTGTGGCCTCGGCTGCTGCTGTTGCTGCTGGTGGTGATAGGGATCCGACGTGGCAGGTGGTTGCGGCAGCGGGGGCGGTCTCAGGTACCGCTGCTGCGCTTGGTACGAATCCATTGCGTTTCCTTTTGGATTTTTGGCCTCCTTTTTCCTTCTTTTTTCTTATTAATTCGCCTTTTTCTTTTTTTTTGGTTATTTATTGCTTTTGACAAATGGGGGGCTGAAGGGGGTTTCGATTTCGATTTGCAGCGAGGGTTTTACACCAAGTGCAGTGTAATTGAATGAAGGCGGAGGAGGAACGTTTTCCACTCCCGCGGGCCCGCGGGGGTTTCTATAACTTGGGCCTTTTGTGGGCCTGTTTTTGAGCCCATAACCGAATCAGATGAAAGTTAAAAAAATTACATGTTTCATTCTATTTTCCGGTTCGCTGGGCAATGTTTTTTCACACAATTTTTTTTTTGCTTCTCATGCACATTTTATTTTTATTTTTTATATCAGATTGAATAAATCAAACAGTTTGTATTTATTATTTCTCTATAGGATAATGATAGAAGATCAAATTTTTAAACCAAATGATGTGGTTATTGATCATTGAATTGTTAATCAAGTATCGATTAATGTGCCAATTTCTTACTGGTGACATATTATTTAGTATGAAAATTTAATCTTTCTAGCATTACTCATTTACCATTTCTCTATCATAAATTGTTCTCGAGAAGCACTTCTAGGTTTTTTTTTTTTTTTTTTTGGGTCAAAGCACTTGTAGGTTAAAAGCGTTTACTACCAAGATTCTGTGTTCAAGTTCCCCAATATCCATTGTATCACAGATTCGAAAAAAGCTTGACTTCACACAAAGAAAGTGAGTGAGTCACAAAAATGTGGTAGGATTAAGCAATTTTACCCAGAGCCAAACAAGGTAGTAAAATCACAATTAATAACTCAAAATATTTGATATAATTGTCTGTTCGTTTTACTCGACTCCAACGGTCAGTACATACACAAATTCTAGTTGATGTACAAGTCTATTTCCGGTCACTGGATTCAATCCATACATCTGTGCTTTTTCTAATTATACTTCGGACGTCCCAAAAAGAGGTAAATCCGATGTTGCAGATTCCGTTTGTAGCGGCATTTGCATACCTTATGGAGATGGCAAAGCATCACTACTACACCAGCCAGCTTCTGTGCTGCATGATCTATTGACCTTGCTTCACAGCCTTACACCCAGTGCGACTTCTCTTTCATGTGTTGTATGAGTCACCAGTACGAAATTTGGTTGCACCTCCGTGGTCCATGATGCATCTCATATACATTGATCGAACAAATACGAGTTAAACTTGTGGTGTCATGATCCTCTTAGATCATGCCACAGCATCAGCTTGTCTTCTCGTCAGTCGTGCATAGAGGCCACCATCAACGAGAAGCTCCCTGTGACTGCCAGTCTGTGTAGCACAAAAGTTGTATTCAGGTTACATAATCAAATAGCAGGTGCAAAAGACACTAAGCCTCCTGGTTGGGTGGGTGCCTACATCATGCACCCGAACTTCAACCCCGAAAAAGAAAAAAGAAACTGAATAAAGCTCTAGTACGAGAGATCAATCGATAGTAATAGTATCCTACAAGGTTTTCTCTATGCAGGGATATCTGTGAGGGATAGACAAAGTTTCTAACCTCAACAATTCTACCAGCATCCATTACCACTATCCTGTCAGCAGCTTGTATGGTCGATAGCCTGTATAAAAGCAAACTTTCAGAATCACCTAATCGGACAATAAAATAGAGCAGTTATTAGACAACCAACCTGTGGGCAATAATGATGACAGTTCTCCTCGTTGTCTTATCACTTCTGACAGCACGAAGAACACCCTGGATATGAGGGAATGCCACATCAAATTACTTATCCTTTTAATCCCTTGTGGTTCAGGGTGTGGGGAGCTTATTGCCAATAAATGCTTACCTTCACGTTGTGTTCACTCTCTGCATCCAGTGCGCTTGTGGCTTCATCAAGGATCAAAACGGTTGGGTCCCTAAGGATAGCCCTGGCAATAGCAATTCGTTGCTTTTGTCCCCCACTAAGCAAATCGTCATCGACAAGCGTACGATATCCATTGGGCAGGGATAAGATGAAATCATGTGCATATGCCTGCTTTGCAGCCCATTCTATATCTTCCTGTGTTATATCTCTAGTGCATCCATATCTAATATTTGAGCTAATGTCCATACGGAAAAGTTTGGGTTCCTGTTTAGAATGAAATGTAAGAAGACAAGGTCTACTTAATAATCTGCTCATCTTCATGCTGAAAGTAAAATAAGAACCTGTCCAACAAATCCGATTCTTTCCCTCCACCACATGACATCTAAACCTTGTATAGGAAAGCCATCAATCAAAATCTGCAATTAAAGCAACGTATATTTCAACTACCGAATCTCAGCATCACAGATCCTTCCTCTTTTCTTTTTTCTTTTTCTTTTTGTTGAAACACATATATGGAAAGCTTTAACTTGTTCTACCTGACCATTTGTTGGCTCATAAAGACGGAGCAAAAGATTCACTAGTGTGCTTTTTCCACTCCCACTAAGACCAACCTAAGAAAATGAGAAGATTGCAAAGTTGAGTACTTAACTTTAGCAGGGAGAATAAGAAATAAATAAAGAGAGTCAGCGATACTCACAATAGCAACCACTTCATTAGGTTTCACCGATAAGCTGACGTTTTGCAGTACAGATACCTATTCAAATGTCTAGTTGCATCAGCAATTTTAACAATTTTAAGCAACGAAGAATTATATAAATATTTCAAATCAGCTACAGCCTAGTCAAATGAAACAGGTGACAATAAAATGTTGTCATTAGGAATTTGGTGGTGTAAATTTTAATGCTACATAAACTTAAATTAGTAATTTTTATACCCCTAAAGGCATAGAAACCAAAAACAAAACTAAAAAACAAACTCGGTAGAAGATGAGAAACTTTAGTGGGAAAGACAAAAAAACCAAAGTAAGCAGCTTCTAGTTAAAAAATATCCCAGGAATGTAAGAAACCCGGCTGTCATAAACAGAACCCAGATGCAGTATTTGTATAGGGAATATACCGTTGGTCTTGTAGGATAGTGAAAAGACACATTTACAAACTCAACATGTCCAACCAGCCTTTGCAACTTTGATCCTGCCACACAAACATAAAAAATTCAATCAAATAAAATATAAAAAAAAGTTACTAGAAGAAAAAAATAAAGCAGACGTGCTGAATAGTCACTACTGACAAAGAACATCAACAAAAAAAATTTAAGGCACGTCAATAGTGCGAAACAAAACAAATAAACTACAGAAAGCACCAAAAAACAATTAACCTAATTTTAGCGGGAAACAACATATTGATGTAAAATGTTCATGAAATTTATAAATTCCTTGCCTTTCGATATAAATTGGTCACTGGGCAATAGATCCATCAATTGGAACACTTTTTCACTTGCCCCAACAGATTGCATCAGAGAGGATATATTGTCCCCCACCAACCATGTTGAATAAATTAGCCACTCGCTGTACAATATAAACTTTGTAAGTTTCTCAGCTGTAATATGGCCAGCAAGAATAGACATTCCTCCCATCAGCACGGCAATGACCTAGAAAATTGTGTGCGCCAATAAACGAAGTCAACTACAAGGAATAGCAGGATGAAGAAAATAAAAATGAAACTTGTATTGATCATGAATGCCAGAATGTGCCTATTTTGAAACTAAATCATCTCTCTGAAACATTGAAAAAGCTAGACCTGTGTTGAGTGATAAAGAGCGTTGAAGCTCAAGTTCCAGAAACCATATGCAGCACTTTGCCGCACACTTATATCAGCTAGTTTCCCCAGCCAGAGTTTGTACCTATACAGCATACATAGATGTAAACATCTCAGTCAACCACTAAGAAACATCTCTACACTTGTCAAATCTCAAACTGGTAAAAGGTTCAATTCTAGAGCATCTCTCACCTTCCAAGTTCTTGTTCTTCTGTTCCATAAACACGAACAGTTCTCACCAAAGAGAATGTCTCTTGTGCAACCTACATTATACGAAGAAAAATCAGGTAAACTATAATCACTTAAGAAACCACAAGCTTCAACAAAACAATTATATCTAACATTTTCAATTCTACCTCATTGGCAGAAGCAGTGAACTCCTGAGTTAGCTTCGCTGCCTTCTTTTGGTACCTATAAGAAAGGAAAGGTTTTAAGCCTCAACCTTTTTAAATTAACAATGAAAAGAAAGATCAGGACTCAGTAACAACAAGCGTGTGACACAGACATTTCTGTCCGTTTCTCCCCAATAAAGATTAATATCTGATGTGAAGTCATAGGGCATCTTGATGTTCTGAAACGACAACAACATTTTTTTCCCCAACGTTATTCCTTACTTGTCTTTGTAAAGCGACACAGACCAAACTACAACAAATCATTCACCTCCAACGGCATACAGACTTCTATTGTTACCCATTCTTCTATTGAAAAGTTTATAACACACCCAAATCATATTAACAGATAAATTTTACAGTAATATAGCAAGGCAGTTCTACATATAGAGGAAGAATTACTGACAAAACTGTGAAAAGTTTTACCGGCCATATATCAGCATAATTGCTGCTAAAGTAGAGCATATCGCCAATATGCATAAACCAAGAGGCCGTGACAAAATTAGTAAATAGATCATCGCGCCTGTCCCCTGAAAAAGAACCATGGGAAGGACAAAATAAATCTCAAGAGCATAGGCAAACTCAGAATCAATTGATAAAGTAGTGGATAAACCAGAATATGATGATTGAAGTAGTAAAACTACCTGAAGAACATTGCGTAATATCATATTGAGATCATTCCCAATAACTCGAGATACTTGCTGACAATCTGCCCCAAGCCTACTCGTCAAATCACCAACTGTTTCAGTGTCAAAAAAGAATGTATCCTACAATGGGAATACTGTGTAATAAGTCACAGAATAAACCAGCATATCTACAAAGTTAAAGCTTGACGGATACAAGAAATGAAAAATCTAAGAATTTCAGAACCTGAACAAGAAGCGAAGAGTATAGTGTTTCCCTCATTCTCTTGACCTAAAATATGACATGAAATGATCCAAGTAAGTAATTGAGAAAAAAGAAAAAAGCATGAGAGACGACGGGACAGAATTGAACAGGGGGGAAAATCATGACAAAGACTCACAAGAAGCATATTTGCAATGCCGAAACAGCATCCTCGTATACCACTGAAGTCCAGAAACAGATTATGAGGTCAGCCGCTGTGTCAAATTACTGACCACCCAAGAAGTATACAAATTCCAAATATCAAGTGTGAAAAGTTCAGTGATTGCACATAAAAACAACTTAATCAAGATTTCTTCCAGAAAAGCGGTAATTTCGATATTAATGGTTATTAAACAGGTTGAATTGCAGCGGCAGGGCGGGGCAGTGCGCCACCGCATTGCACCGGAAATTGAATGCTCGCCGGAAAATTATAGTAGTGTCTCAAAAAATTAAAGAAGAAGGGAACTTTGTCCATACAAGATTTTGACCTGCAAATTCCCGAAACAACACAAAGAAGCACCAACAGCCGCACGTTTTGATGGAACACCGCGACTTCGCTGCTCTGCGCCGTGAAGATTGACGCCGTCAAGTAATGCGGTATGGATATCTCCGAAAGCTGAAGCAGCAGCAGCAGCAGCAATGCCAAACAATTCAGTATACAAAAAACAAAATTGACAGAAAAAGTTACAAGCTTTCAAGTTTGAAATGAAGAAAAAACGACGAACCGCAGCGACAATTAGGGCAGAGAAAGCGGCAAACATGACCCAACGGTCACGAGCAACCAAGCCCCACATCCGAGTGAGAGCGCGCGCAACAGTCACCGGCTTCGCGAAGATTCTAATCTCTGCCTCATCGGAGAAGCTCCACCAAGTCCCTCCCGGTAATATCGAGCGGAGAAACGCGAAGAGTTGCCGGAGCTTCTCTGACAGCTGGACATCGGCTTCTTCGGCGCCGTTTTTGTACTCTTCGGTGGTCGCGTAGCCGTTGACGGAGGTCGATTTCGGGGGAGAGAAGTGGAAGCGTGTGGAATTGGAGGAATGGGTGGAGAGAGAAAGGCGAGGGTTGGGGGTGGTGGTTCGGGTTGCGGAGGTGAAATGGCGGAGTTTGCGATGGGTTATTGTGATGAGAGGTTGTTTGTGGCGGAAGGAGGAGAGGAGAGGAGGGTGGAAGTTGCAGAGGGGCTTGGCCATGGTTGAAGGAGCATTGGATGGAGAAAAAGCTATGGCTCTGGTATATATCCTCTCTCTATCTCTCTCTCTCTGTGGCTCTGTGGTACGTTTGAGTCGAGGAGACGAAGATGTGGACGTCGAGAGTTCACACATCAGGTCAGCTGTTGCGGGTACTCAAGACTACAGTTGCCCAAAAAAATAGAAAACTACAAAATTTAATTGCAAATTTACCCTCGGAAATTTGCGGTCGTTCCACTTTGATCTTTTAAGTTTTAGTTTGGTTCCCGATTGGTCCATGAAGTTTTAAAAATGAGTTTTGTGTTTTTTTTTTTCTTTTCAGAGAAGGACTATGAGATATTAGTTCTTTGTCAACAATCATGTATGAGACATCAACTCTTCTTCGAGAGAGAAAGAACATTGCACTCATAAAACCCCTTGTTCATCCCCTTTTTACTAGATTTTATTAATAATATGAAGACAAAGGAAAAGTAAAACAAGAGGAGGACTAGACCAATATCCATTGAAAACAATTAATGAAAGCAATATGTTTTGGTTCCAGAAATCTTTAGCTTTAGTCGTTTGAAATTGTTTTTCCGTAATTCAACTGCTCATATTTCATTACCAATATCTGCTTCCTCATTTAGGCTATTTTTAATGTTTCGGTGTAAAGTTAAAAAGTCATAGTTGACTTTAAAAGTTATATCATCGCAAATGCACATTTTGGCTTTGAACTAATAACTTTTAACTATTGTGCAATGAAAATAGTTGAACTTAAAACTTTTTTTTTTTTATTTTATATTATAAATCACAATAACATGTATAATTTATTCCGTACATAAAAAATATTATTGGTGTTCTCCTTGTTAATTCCACAATAAAGTATCTTGAGGTGCAAGATTGGAACATTTTTAATGGAGAGGTGCAAACATCACATTTACATTTCATTTTACATTTTTTGAAGCGTAAGGGTGAGTTGTGCTCCAATAATAAAGATACAAACTTAGAATCCCATTTATTTTTCTCTATTTGTTTAGTGAAGCCCACCTCCAAAAGAGGTAAAAAAAATGCAAATTTTCATTTCTACTTACATTTTTCAATCAAGATGTAAATTTTACTTTTTTTTTTATTATTATTATAGAACTTTTCTAGCAACCGAAAGTATAAAATGCTCATTTCAAGACAGTTACCTCTTTCATTGGATATCCCCTAAAATTATAGTTAAGCAAACCAAACCAAATCACAGTTAAGCCTGTACTAATATATCAAAAAATTTGAAGGATGAAATGTAAAGAAGCGAAAACTTTATGGGGCATATCTGAAATTCCGGCGAAAGTATTGACTCGTGTGCGCCTGTCGTAAAACGACGGCGTAAGTAACGTGTTTGCCCGAGACAAGTCGAGGCTGCTATAGTTGCCACACGTCTCTCGCCTGTGACGCGCCACGTTCACATGCTTTCCAACAATATTGCCCTCGCCAAACACAGAATCTATTTTCCATGGCGCCCAGATTAAAAACGTAATTACGTGTAAATTTAAGGGTATTTTCGTCTAAATAAATCAACGACCCAAATATCTCTCTCGCCGTCACTTTTTCAGCGGGAATCCCATACCTTACTCCTCTCTCTCTTCCGCTCTGACTCTTCCCGGGACACGATGGCCGTGGTTATCGGAAACCTAGCTCTGCTACTAGACGTCACGTCGCCCAGGACCGTAATTCCAGACCGGAAGACTCGTCCGGTGGCGCTCGACACCCTTTTGAACCTGAGTCTGATCTTGCCGAAGCGGGACCCGCACAGTAACTCACACAACGGTTTTATCGCGGTAAAGGGGTTTGAATCGGACGGGGAGACTCGGAGCCAGCGAGTCGTGGCTCGGGGGAAGGCGAATTCGAAGGTAAACGGCGTGAACTTCGACAGGGACGAGGAGGGGAACGGGAATGGGTACGGGGACGGGGACGATCAGGAGCCGTTGGATTGGGAGAAGAAAATGCGGAAGAGGGTGAAGGAGATCGAGGAGAGGAGGGAGCTGGAGAAGAAGGCGGAGGAGATACAGAGCCGGATGGAGGAGGATTTTGAAGACGACGGCAGGGAGGAGACGGAGCAGGAGAAGCGGATGAGAGTGAGGAAAGAGCTGGAGAAGGTCAGTCTTTTGAGCTAATTTATGTTTAGTAGTAAAGTTTCCGATTTTACGTTGATAACTGACAAGTGATTTGCGCATACCCTCTTTCCCTTGCACTCCCGGTTTATTTCTGGCTTTTAGATTGAATAAAACGAGGCACATAACTTATGTGACATGTATACAACGTGTGATGAAGGTGTGCATAAGGAGAAAAGAGTTGCGCGGAAATTATTTCCCGAATAAATTTATATACCAAATTGAAGCTCGATTCTCGAAAAGTTCACTGCTTTGGGTGTATATCTGGTTATTCGATTTCACGATTGGTGGTTAATTTACTGGTAGCTCCAATTGTAGTTGTAATGAGATTGATTGATTTTGTTTGTTGTTATGGTACGAGGGCAGGTGGCTAAGGAGCAGGCGGAGCGGAGGGCCACGGCACAGTTGATGTTTGATTTGGGGCAGAAGGCGTATGGAAGGGGCATGTACGGCCGTGCCATTGAGTTTTTAGAAGGCGCGCTCACGATCATTCCTAGGCCCACGTTATTCGGTGGTGAGGTTGGTTTAAGTCCCATTGAGTCATTGACTATGATGATCTCCTTTTGACAATCGTGTTAATGCCACTACATGTTTGATCAATGCTAATGGAAATTTTGGCGGTATACTTTTCAGATACAAATTTGGCTTGCTATGGCCTACGAGGCTAATAACCGCCATACCGATTGCATTGAACTTTACCATCAATTGGAGAAGAAGCATCCGAGTGTCAGCATCCGGCGCCAAGCTGCAGAGCTTCGTTACATTTTGCAAGCGCCAAAGCTCAAGATATCCCAAGAGGAGATGGTAACCATACCACTCATTGGTTCCAGTTATGACAGGTATTGGTCCTTTTGACTCAACAAAAGCGTTGTAATTGCCTAATTGTTCCTTTAGCATATGGTTAGTACTTAGTGTAGTATTATATGTGGGTAGTTTGTGTTTCCTCTGACCTGCATAGGGCAATCCCTGTGTTACCTGCATAGGGCTTTCCAGTTCTCAGTGTATCAATTATAAAGCCACCACATTTGGTGCCCTCGTCGTTGAGCATTAGATCCTTCCAAAGTAATGGATGCATTGTTGATCCCTAAATCTTTGTTTAAGATGGTCAAACCGAAAATTAACCTCTTGACAAACATTTGGTAATCTTGAAGTTCTCTCATTTAACATTTGGAGTCTGTCTGAAATCAGTGCATTGAGTTGGTGTCACCCTTATCTTAGTCTTTACTAGTTCTAGAGAAGCAGGGCTGCAAATAAACATATTGAACTAAAACCGTTGGTCGTATTTTCTTCACAATTCAGTGACTTAGTTCTGAATAACTTGGAGGCCGTTTGATGACCATATCGCTTTTGGTCTTGAGCACCCATTTACGTCTCAGTGTTTTATCATTTCCTGCAATTCATCTCAAATCCTCCTTGACTAATGCGGTTTATGATGCTTGAGCAATGCAGCTATGCTGGAACGTGGAGTGATAAATACAAAGACAAGGAACCGATTAGCAGCGGAACAGTGACCAATCAGCTCTCTTCGTCTAAAGACTATTTCGGAGACTTTATGGTATGGCGGCCTCCAATCGGTCTGGAGAAAAACCAAGCCTTTTGGATAGGTTTGATATTGTGGTTGGGTTTAGTTGGAGCTGCCCTCTTTATTCAAAACTGAATTGTACAAACCCTTTTGTTGTATTTGTGTATCATTGAGGTGTTCATCATCTTGTTCATGTAATTTTAGGTTGTTCTTGTAATATATGTACATTTCAGGGCTAAATATATTGAATTTCTCTACTTCTTTCTCAAGGTTGCAATTTGTCACCGATTTGAAATTGTATCAATTCATACATGAAGTCAACATTTGAACCGGACACACCAAGAGTCACCAAACTCATCTTGTGCTACATGTCGCTGGGTTTGCTCCATTCCTCACGTTGTTGCAGAGAGCGTGTTATCTGCTTGTACAGGACGAAAGACACTACAGACTCCGTAGGGTACTTCTTCATGCGAGATCCAATTGGTTAATAAGGGGTCGTCCCGGTGAGTCTACCAAACGAAGTCATGATGGAGCTTCCCCTTCTTCTCGATCAGCGAATCGTATTCCGAAACAACGATGAATCGTTTAATGTTTAAGTGTGGTCTCTATACAGTCTAGAAGTCAGTTCAACATGATAGAAGACGAAATGATATGATTCTAAAACCTTACGGTGCAATATGAGAAAATTAAAACACCGGTGGACTTAGGTCTAAACATGTTTCTTGTGTGGGCCGGATTATTGGGCTATGGCAAAGAGTACAGATTATGGGCTGAGAAACAATCTAACCTAACTCAGGGCGAAATCGTAAACTCACATAAATTCCCACCAAATAAATATCCCAATTCCCTACCGCCCTCAATCTTCAGTGCCGCCGAAACCCTAGCTAGGTGAGTGGGAGAAGGAGGTGCAGACTCGGGGAACAGAGAGAAATGACGACGCGATTCAAGAAGAACCGCAAGAAGAGAGGCCACGTCAGCGCCGGTCACGGTCGTATCGGCAAGCACCGCAAGCATCCCGGAGGTCGCGGTAACGCCGGAGGCATGCACCACCACCGGATCCTCTTCGACAAGTACCATCCTGGGTATTTCGGTAAAGTCGGTATGAGGTACTTTCACAAGCTCCGCAACAAGTTCTACTGCCCCATCGTCAACGTCGACAAGCTCTGGTCGCTCCTCCCTCAGGAGGCCAAGGACAAGGCCACCAAGGACAACGCCCCGCTCATCGATGTGACTCAGTACGGCTTCTTCAAGGTCCTCGGCAAGGGCGTGTTGCCGCAGAACCAGCCCGTCGTGGTCAAGGCCAAGCTCATCTCCAAGACCGCAGAGAAGAAAATTAAGGAGGCCGGTGGCGCCGTCGTGCTCACCGCTTAGGTTTGGGTTGCTTTGTTTTTTTGAGCATTAGGGTTTCGGATTAAAGTATCTGTTTTTTGGATTTGAATTTTCAGTTTAGACTGCTGAGCTACAGTTTATGTTATATTTTGGAAGTTTAATGAGCGGATATTTATATGCATTTCTGTTTTTCCAAATGAATGGTTTTTCTGTGAATGTATGACTATGTTTTGTTATGGTGATGGGTTTGTTTGGATTTCTGTTTGCTACATTTTGGTTGGCATTATGATTCAGGATTATCCGTTTTCGAAAATTTGTGATCGTTGCTCTGTATGCTTTGCGAATGCAGTATTGAAATTCATGCCGATTCGACACCACTTGTACGTGTGAGATCAAATTTTTGCATTTGTGCATTTCATTTCTTTTAGACAACATTTGTGCAGGGTGTATGTCTTAACTTTATCTTGTTAGTCCAATGCACAGGATGTATGGCCGCAAATGCTTTTTGCCGGTCTCTATGGTTGTGGCAATGTGCAAGTTTGGGTAGAGGTCATCCGACTGCATAACAGTTTTATCATTGTTTTGCATATTATATCCTCTTAAGATTCACATTCATTTTCGTTTGTCATGCGTTTTTGTGTTAGTTACATGTTCAACGAATGCTATAGAGGAAGAGTAAACTTGAATAGAACTTCTGTCGTTCTTTTTAATCCGATAAGTATTTAGTAACTATCACGTCAGATGTTCTTAGGCTCTACATATAGCTGCATTTGATCATTTGTTCACCTAGGCTATATAAGCATATGATGCGAGTTGTAGTAATTCAGGCGGTGTTCTAATTGCACAGTTTTATGTCGATAGGGTTGGGCTATCGCCATTTTGGCATTCCAGTTCATGCAACAATATAAAACATTAAGGAATATCAACATAAGATTTCATTTATCGACTATTTTCATTGTCGACTTCCGTTGCCATACAAGGATTCACAAGATCTATGTTACTTTCAGCCCTCCTTTGTGTTCAATCTTTCTTTTATTGTATGAGTCGGGCATGTTCAAAACTCGATTTTATTTATAACTCAATCTTTGGGAGGGACTTTGTTGTCTTTCCATTGTGATTGAGCGGGCCATCTTTATCAATTTCTGAATGCTGTTTAATCGTTCAACTTCAAAATTCTATGCCCTTTCCTTTTGAATCTGTATGGTCTCTGTTCTGTTTCTATACTATTTGCCCTCCCTATTTCCTTATCCCATCTTCAACTACGGCTGCCCGCAATTTCGTTACATATACGTCTGGGCTTATGTTTTATTATTGGACAGACCAGAATATGCGCCGTTACGTCTTTGTTTCAGCTGGTTTTACAAATCATCGGAAAAAGGACACTAGTTCGAAGCAAATGTTGGTTAGGTTAGTTTGCGAGAACTCACCTCAGCAACCCGTCGAGCTTGTAACCCGTGATTAGGCCCAAGGGAACCACAAATACATAGCATACTATATTCACATAACCCATTACAGCAGGATGGCCTGTGAGAAGCACACTGTGTTCACATAACCCACTACAGTTTACCATCATGCTCCAGTGGCGACCCCTGAGAGAACTGGTGAAAGTTGTTTACAACAATGCAGGTCGCCAGCAATGGAGTGAGCTGCTTCACCAGAGCTTTTACCTCTGCACCGCTCGAAAACAAAGACGGATATATGTCTCGGGTGACGATGACTTAGAACTTTGCCGTTCTTGGGTGAGCAGCGCCTAGTTCATTAGACGCTTAAGATCTTTTTAAGAATTTTGAAAAGTTAGAAGTTTGTTATGTTTTCGTATGGATGTGGGACTGAACGACTGACCTTATAGCTGTGTTCATGCCAAGAGCTACCATGAACGTCCATCCAAATATGTTGGGAAGAGATCTGGTCCGGATCTCTCCAATCAAAGGCTCAGGATCAAGTGATATGGGCCGTTGAAAATTGATCTAATGACTACAAACAAGGGGCCTTCTAAAAGTTATAATAATTATAGTTGTTGGATCTTATTTGAACGGTCCGGTTCACTTGATCCTGGGCCTTTAATGGGAGAGATCTGGACCGGATCTCCTCCCAAATATGTTCACACTGCTAATTGGGCTTGGAAAAAGGGGATTCGGATTCAGAACTTTAAATCTCTGGTTTTTTCCTTCTTTTCAATATGCTCAAATTGGAAGCAAGATCTCTTTTTTTTTAATTTCTGAATCAAACCTTCTTTCTAATTGCGAAGTTTCAAAACATTTGGAGTTTTTGGAAATTTTGGAGTTGGTGTTATCTTGGAGTTTTCAAAGCATAGTTAAAGATTTCTATATTTCTACCCTAGATGCCATGCAAACAAGGCGTGCCAATTTAAACTGACCCGAATGCAAGGCCAGAGCTAATGAAGGCTCACTAGGGGCATATGTCCCCTCTCAAGTGATTCGTTTGTTAAGTTGCAAACTACAATTATATAATACACACGCGTTATGTTTGAAGAAAATATATGTACCTAGTATTCAACATACTTTCATACTGCGTATACTCCATATCAAATATTATATGAGCAAAAGTGCTCTTATTTTGTCATTCAAACCTAAAAACCTCACTCTTGTGTAATTATATATTAATATTTTTCTTATCACTTTGCCATTTTCCACTACTACATTGAAATTTTTGTAACATTTGAATTGTGATACATTATCATTTGAAACCATCCCTATTTTCATATTGGTTATAAGCCATACTATAATAAGATCTTCTTAATTGATTTTCAGGTTGCCCCCACTAAAAAAAAATTCTAGCTCTGTCCCTGCATGAATGCGTAACAAATTAGCAGAAGAAGAAACAACTCACCATATGGTTAGGCCATACATACAAACCTTTGCATTCTTCAGATACCCTGCAAAAATAATCAGTGCCATAACGTAAACAAAAAAAATCAGTACTATTATAATTGTGGATGGCATTATTTGGTTTGAACGTACTTTCATTTATGGACAAATTCGAGAAAAGTGGCCATCCCCTCTCCAGCAACAGGACTTGGATGGACAGCAACATGGACTGAAAACCTATTTAAGTTGCTGTCCCAGAGGCCATGAGGGGCATGTGAGGCAGCAATCCCCTCTCCAGCAGGACTTAGATGGACAGCAATATGCACAGAAACCCCATTTAAGTTGCTGTCCCAACCGAGGCCATGAGGGGCATGTGTTCGTATACCAAACGGTTGCAGAGATTATAGATTGCATTAAAACTGCATGGTCCCTCAGAGGCGTATGTGGTTGTAATCGTCATGGCGTTTCTGTCCATATAAGTTGCTCTGTCGACCGAAGTGCCAAGGGCATCTGTTCATGTACCACACGGTCGGGGCATTTTAATATAAGTGTCTCGTTTTTTAATTTTGCTAATTAAACATCTGTTTCTTTTAAGAATTTGGTTGAACATTTTTTTCTACAATTTTATTAGAGGTACATTTGATTATATTGGTAATTTTTATTACCTATGGGTACATTTGAATTTTTGATACATTTTATTTCTTGGTACATTTTTATATCAATATACGTAAAATTTTAACAAATTAATCAAGTTTTCTTATGAAAATATTAATGACTTTGTTTTAACGAAGGAAGAGACAATTAAATATAAGAACATAAATAAAAAGTTCTCTCTTCTTTTTTAGAGATAAGGAAGAATTAGTTAAAAAATCAAAATAAAGGATTTGACAGTGCTGCCTATTTTGACGCCAAGAGCTTGATGCCAAAGTCTAACTCAGCTTCAGCAGACCGGTAACATTGGAGCTCCAACTGTGAAATTATAGCCTCAGATGGAGATGCTCTAAATTAGCATTTTGCTCGTCATATGTTTGGATATGAAAACTTTTTCGTCGTAATTAATTTTGGCCTAATTGTGGACGATGATCAATCTTCTGGATTCAATTTTCCATCCTCTTTTGAACTTTTCACCGTTGCCCCTCCCCATTTCTTTATCCTGTCTTCAGCTTTGGATGCCTGCATGGTTAATGTACATAAATTACATCAGTCTCTTTTAGCCAATAGCTTAAAAGTGCAACTTCGGTATACTCTTTTGTGTAAATCGATCTCCCTCTTTTCACGTCGCCCATCACGTCATTTTGACATATTGCACACGAAATGGGAGTAAATTGAAACCCTTACCTCCTTGTTCCAGTTGGTTTTATAAACCATTATGAAAAGGACACAAGTCTGAAGGATCGTCCCTAACAACATTCCAATCCATATGCCCTGAAAATGATCGTCGTATAAATGTTAATTTTAACAATTGAAGTGCTAATAAAATCTCTCGATGTAAAAACTAAAACCAACGAAATGTTGGGAGGTGGGATTGTGGGAATATGAATGAAAACTTACCTTAACACCCCAATCAAGCTTGTAGCCGAAAATTAGGCCCAAGGGCACCCCAATGACATAGTAACAGGCTATGTTCACATAAGCTACTGCAGCCTGCCATCCTGCTCCAATTGCAACCCCAGAAAGAACTGGTTGAACGTTGTTAATAACAATGCAGGTTGCCAGCAATGGTGTAAGCTGCTTCACGAGAGCTTTAACCTCCGAATCACTTGAGAACAGGGCTGGATATTTGTCCCGGGTGATGATGAGGATGAGCGAGAGGATAGCCCCGATCAAAAAGGAAGTTATTACCGCTACTACCAGTGAGAACTTTGCTGTTCTTGGGTGAGCTGCTCCTAGTTCATTTGACACTCTCACGCTGCAAAATGTTTGAGTTCATTACGACAGACATTTTTGTGTGTTCTAAAGTTTGTGGACTTTGATATGAATTAAAAATTGACCTTATTGCTGCGTTCATGCCCATAGCCAACATGACCGTCCATCCCAATATGTTCATGCTACAAATTCAACAATGCATATATAAAAAAACTAGTCAATTCAATCCAGTTTTTCATAAACCAGAAGAAAAAAATTGTTTATAATGTCTACATTGACAATATTCAAAAGCTATATTATGTTGAACAAATTAAGGACACTAGATAATTTTTACTACAAGCGATATTTCTACTTTGAATTAGACTAAAGAAAGAAGAGAGAACTCCAACGCGATAGTCTATGATGAAGAGGAAGAACATATCTAAATTAGAAAATAGAGATAACTAAGTGTACGTAGTAATAAGGAATGAGGATTCTCTCTAAATCCTCTTTGTGAAGATCTTGAGGATCCTCCAATCACATCTGTTTATCGTACATTGTGTGGCCAGTTTCGTCAGGTATTGTTTATATTTAATTTTAAATAAAAAGATTTACAATGATTTCTTACCACATGATTTACGATGAATGAATACGATTGGATCCAGAGAGGAACCTCACTCAGTAATCCAAATGATGCAAGCTTCCAATACAAATTTGTCAAGGACTTCTGATGACTAGAAGCATGAAATCAAAAGAGAAAAGTGATTTGACCCAAAAAAACAGAGGGGAAAAGTGCTTTTACAGAAAGAAGTTTTTCCAATTCGTGAGTCCAAAAGTATGGGGAAAAAAAAAACAAAATTGATTTTATCTTTTTCTTTATGTGGACCCGCAAAATGGGATAAAATATTGGTAATCATAAAAAGTTATATATATATATATATATATATATATATATATATATATATATATATATTATGCGCAATCAGGCAATTTTAGATTAAAGGGACGGTTTCTTAATCATATCATTTCTTTGTTTAATTAATTTATAGATTTCATGTTTTAAATGAAGTGTGGTCTATGCTAAAAAAAAAAAAACAAAAAAAAATCCAATTTCTTAAACGATAAATTTGTTAGGTTAGATGTTAAATTAAGGAACAAACGAGGTTCAAATTCACGTCGTGATGCAAGTGCAATACTCGTCTGTGGAGCAAAAAATAATCAAGAATAATATGCATGCGACACATGGATTTTAGGGTTAAAAGGATAAAATTACCCTCAATGAACACCGGAACTCCTATGCGCAAGCAGTGTGCAATCATCCCACAATCAAGTCAAAAGTGCCCAAAATAGGTATTTGTTCAAAACTTATTTCATCCATCCTCATCAAATCTTCTTCACAAGGTAACCCCTAAAACATTCTTTTCAAATTATATTAATTAGATAATTAATTGATTTATTACCTAATTAATCTATTAATTAGTTAATTAATTACAAATTACACCCAAAAATGCCACAAAGGGCTGATCACCATCTTTCCAAAGGGGACCGGCCATGCCCTATATATACTACCCCATTTTCTCTAAAAACTGAAGTTCTACACTCTTGCTAAATCCTCTAAATTCTCTAAACATTTTTCCCTCAATATTCTAACTTTGGCATCGGAGGTTCTTCGGTCAAAGCCCGCCTCATTCATAAACGATCAATTTGTTAGGTTAGATGTTAAATTAAGGAACCAACGAGGTTCAAACTCACGTCGTGATGCAAGTGCAATACTCCTCTGTGGAACAAAAAATAATCAAGAATAATATGCAGGCGACACGTGGATTTTAGGATTAAAAGGACAAAATTACCCTCAATGAACAACGGAATTCCTACGCGCAAGCAGTGTGCAATCATCCCACAATCAAGTCAAAAGTGCCCAAAATAGGTACTTGTTCAAAACTTATTTCATCCATCCTCATCAAATCTTCTCCACAAGATAACCCCCAAAACATTCTCTTCAAATTATATTAATTAGCTAATTAATTGATTTATTACCTAATTAATCTATTAATTGGCTAATTAATTACAAATTACACCCAAAAATGCCACAAAGGGCCGGTCACCATCTCTCCAAAGGGGACCGGCCATGCCCTATATATACTACCCCATTTTCCCTAAAAACTGAAGTTCTACACTCTTGCTAAATTCTCTAAATTCTCTAAATACTTTTCCCTCAAAATTCTAACTTTGGCATTAGAGGTTCTTCGGCCAAAGCCCCCCTCATTCATCGTGGGCGCATGAGGCTCTTGGCCTTGACCTAAGGTGTTGTTTGTTTTGTAGGTGCAATTTTATCCAAGAAAAAGAAGGAATAAGCTTTCATCAGCAAATTGGTGCCTTCATTAAGAGTTGAGTCACACACTCATAGAAGACTCTCGCATTTAAGGTTTTTCGTTTTCTTGTTCATTTGTAAATTTTTCGTACGTTCTTATTCTTAGAATTTTTATTTCTAAAAATAAAGTACAATGGCAAGGGATTTGGAAACCTTGACGAACAAAACTTCCTATGTTCAAAGATCCGGATCGAATGATGGAAGACGAGACGTAGCCCCACCAAGATGATCCACGAAGCTCAACACGATGGCAATAGGAACAACTTTACCACCAAGGAGCACCACCGAGCCATGGAGACTACAATGGCAGTGGGGAGTAGACCAGCTCCATAGCAGTGAGCCCACGATGAGTAGGGGGCTGCGAGGCAGCCACCAGCTCAGGCCCACGCCACTTTGCAGCAGGAAGCCCAAGCACTAAAAGCAGCCCAAACCGCTGCCCTAACAACGTAAGCCCTAGCCTCGCACCCACGTGCGCCACACGCCGAGTAGCCTACTCCCGTGGCCCAGCTTGCTCCTACGGTCTAGTCTGCTCCAGTGGCCCAACCCACTCCCGTGGCCTAGCCTGCTCCTATGGCCCAGCCTGCTCCCACGGTTCAGTCTACTCCCATGGCCTAACCTGCTCCCATAGCTTTCTAAGCAACCCAAATCAGTCTAATATTAGTTCAACCATCTCGACTTCAAATTTCTGGGCCTAAGATTGAGCCGGGGGCATTTTCATCACATTTCTCTGCGGATTTGACATTTCCCAACTCAAATCTCGTGCCCAGAGTCTATCACATTGCTCAAGCAAACGCATTTCTTCCAAGCTTTTCCAACCCAAATGGAGAACAATACTTGTCTCGACAAGGTATAGAGTCGACGAGCGCCTTCGCACAGCAGACAACCTTGGTGAATCAGCTCTTGCAGCACACCGAGATGCAACGTGCCCCTGATGAGGTGTCCCGAAGTAGGATAAGGGCAGACGAAGAACCTCTCCAGCAGCGTCTCAGCAAGCAGCCTTTCAACTAGCCATTATCCGAGCGTTCTAGCAGCTTACCCTCCCTCCTGAGTCCTTGGGATAGCATATACTTTCATCTTAGCGCGCGGAAGAGCATGCATTCCTGATCAAGCCCACGGACGAGCATACGTTCATGGTTGAGGCCATACTTCGATTATCAACATGGACAACCTTTTAGGCGAAGTGTTCATTCACAACTCAAAATGAGCATTCTCCACCTCACATTGGAGTAGGCAGCACGACGGATGGAGAGAAGCAATCACTCAATCTGACTCAAGTTCAACCGACAGCATGCAAACAGCCTGCTCGCTCGCCAGAAACATCATACATACACCACAGCCATGATATAGATGAGTTGAGCATAAGGAAGAGTGGCCTAGACCAATAGGTCATGACTAGGGTGTGAGATCCCGTATTTTAAAATTAAAAAAAATATTTATTTAGAGTTTTAGATGCCAATTTTATATGTAATTAATGGTGCAACATGGAAAATAGAGGTGGCAGGGGTGGATATGTTTAAGTGCTTAGTCACTTATATTTCTTACACGTGTGATTATAGGTTTGATGAATAAGCAGTATAGGTTGCTTAGTCTTCATCAAAAAGTGGCTGCGTGGAAAGATTTTAGGACACCAGATTATCCTTGCCTTTAAGACCTCCAAAACCATCCAATTGCAACTAAGTTGTTGTCGGTTTCCCTAACCTATAAATAGGAGCCTTGCTCTTTTGTTTTTGGAAAGGAGGCGGTGTGTAGTTTGTGAGCTATCGTAGAAGAAAGAGATGGCGATAGCATGCAATGCATGCATTACGTAAAGGTTGGTGTGTGTGTGTGTGTGTGTGTGTGTGTGTGTGTGTGTGTGTGTTGTGCGTATATATTTATATATACGTTAGAGTGAGAGCTTAGAAAGAAAAGAAAAAAGGAAAGCTAGGGGTTGAGGTGTGCGGAGATGTTAGTTGGGTTGTCTTGCCAAAGCTTGGATTATCGAGGTGAGTGGTCTAGGTAATGTGTTACAACTATTCTTATTTTTTGATAAACGGAAACCATGAGATATCATGAGATTTATCTATATTCAAATATCTCTCTATTTCAAGTCAAGCATGTTGGAATTTGTGGAAATGCTTTCAGAACTATTAATATAGTGATATGTGAGTAATTGGAATTGTTCATGGAGCGTGAAAATTTTAGTGTTACATTAATCCGAAGGATAAATGTAAACTGCACACAGGGACATTAGGGCATGATGGCCAGTAGGGGTCACGTGGTGAGTTACAATTTATGAAGGATATAATGAACACATAAAGGGATGATGTGATATGGAATTACATGGCTAAAGCTTTGATATTATTATCCTATTTTATAGTACATTTAAAATGGCATTGCCTAATTGGCATATTTCATATTCTACTCACTGAGCGACGATGGTTGTTGCTCACCCCTCACCTATTATTTTACAGAAGAGTTATTTGGCAAGACAAGTGTTATTTGGCAAGACAGGTGATAGACGAGCTAAGGTTGTTTTAGATAAGGGTTTTAAGCATTTTAATTTATTACTTTTGTAAACCCTATAAAGATTTTGGAGTTATTTTAATAAGAAGAGTTTATTTTCCAACCCGTTCCAATTTCCTTTTAATTATGTAGCTTTTCACTCACGTTTCGGATTCGGGTTTGAATTTGTATTACCGAGCTGAGTCCGGGGCGTGACAGACCGGTATCAAAGCCCAGTTATTAGATACCCTTGGAATGTTGTGGAGCCAGTTAGATAGGTTGAATTGAATTGAGCTAGTGATATAGAACTTTAAGAGTAGACTCGAAGGTCTAGGAAATTTCGAGGACGAAATTTCTTTAAGGAGGTTAGATTGTGAGATCCCGTATTTTAAAATTAAGATAAATATTTATTTAGAGTTTTAGATGCCAATTTTATAGGTAATTAATGGTGCAACATGGAACCTGGAGGTGGCAGGTGTGGATATGTTTAAGTGCTTAGTCACTTATATTTCTTACTTGTGTGATTATAGGTTTGATGAAAAAGCAATATAGGTTGCTTAGTCTTCATCAAAAAGTGGCTGCATGGAAAGATTTTAGGACACTAGTTTATCATTACCTTTGAGACTGCCAAAACCATCCAATTGCAACTAAGTTGTTGCCGGTTTCCCTAACCTATAAATAGGAGCCTCGCTCCATTGTTTTTGGAAAGGAGGCGGTGTGTAGCTTGAGAGCTCTCGTAGGAAAGAGAGATGGAGATAGCATGCAATGCATGCATTACATAGAGGTTGGTGTGTGTGTGCGTGCACGCACGCGCATTGTGTACATTCATACATACTTGTATATATATATATATGTTGTGCGTATATATTTATATAGACGTTAAAGTGAGAGCTTAGAAAGAAAAGAAAAGGGAAAGTTAGGGTTTGAGGTGTGCGGAGATGTTACTTGGGTTGTCTTGCCAAAGCTTGGATTATCGAGGTGAGTGGTTTATGTAATGTGTTTCAAAATATTCTTATTTTCTGATAAACGAAAAACACGAGCTATCGTGGGTTTTGATCTATTTACAAATATCTCTCTATTTCAAGTCAAGCATGTTGGAATTTGTAGAAATGCTTTCGGAATTATTAATATAGTGATATGTGAGTAATTGGAATTGTTCATGGAGCTTTAGTGTTGCATTAATCTGAGGGAAAAATGTAAACTGCACACGGGCACATTAGGGTAGGATGCCCAGTAGGGGTCACGTGGTGAGTTACAATTTATGAAGGATATAATGAACACATAAAGGGATGATGTGACAAGGAATTACGTGGCTAAAGCTTTGATATTATTATCCTATTTTATAGTACGTTAAAATGGCATCGCTTGACTGGCATATTTCATATTCTACTCACTGAGCGATGGTGGTTGTTGCTCACCCCTCACCTATTATTTTACAGATGAGTTATTTGGCAAGACAGGTGATGGATGAGCTGAGGTTGTGTTAGATAAGAGTTTTAAGGATTTTAATTTATTACTTTTGTACACCCTGTAAGGATTTTGGAGTTATTTTAATAAGAGGACTTTAGTTTCCAACCCGTTCCAATTTCCTTTTAATTATGTAACTTTAAACTCATGCAGGATTCGGGTTTGAGTTTTTATTACCGAGTCGGGTCTGGGGTGTGACACAAGGGCAGCCGAAAATTCTACTGCCTCAGCAGAGGCAAATTCAAAAAGAAGTTGACAGGCTCCTGACTGAATGATTGCGTAATTTCTCGCGCAACAAGGCTACTGACGATGCGCTTCGATGAGACATGACCAACATAAGCATGTCATCATTCACGGATGAGATCGAGCGGACAGATCCCCCTCACGAATTCACTATGCCTTACTTCACTTTGTATAAGAGAGACGAAGATCCGAATCTACATCTTAAGCACTACTGCAGTACCATGATCATCTTCAGGAACGATGATGCGCTTATGTGCAAAATTTGGGCCACAACTCTACAAGGCGAGGCACAAGACTGGTTTCACACCCTACCTCCACAGTCAATCCGCAGTTTCAACGAACTTTCCTTAGTTTCACTAAGGAGTATTCGTCTAATCGCTCAATCAAAAGGATATCCGACCATCTCTTCAACATCATAAAAGACCCTTGGGAACCAATTCACGACTATGTCAAGAGGTTCAAAGTGGAGAAGGCCAAGATTGTTGGCTGCAACGAAGACATAGCAATGACAGCATTCAGAAATGGGTTTCCCACCGAACACCCTTTATTCGGAAAATCGATCATGGGAGAAAAACTGACCCTAGCAACTTCGTATGCTTTGGCGGAGAAGCACGCGCTATAGGACGAGGCCAAGTAGTCTAACAAAAACGAGTCGGAAAAGTAACGCATGGAATGTTCCCCGACCAAAGAATACTCCACGCTTAAAACATTCACCAAGTTCTTAGTTCCAATCGGCCAAATTCTCCATAAGTTCAAGAAGGAACCTTGGTTTAAGCTGCCGCCACCTATAAAAACGATCTTACCAGGCTGGATCAGACAAAGTATTGTGCATTCCATTAACGACCAGGCCACACTACCAACGGCTGCCAGACGTGAAAGCAATACCTTGAGAAGCTAAGAAATGAGGGTCAGTGTGATAAGTATCTTGACAGGTTAGCGACACGGCCTATATAAGCAGGGGAAATCTTCATCACCCCCTGAACCCTGTCAAAGCTTTTCCAAATAAGTTCGAAGTCTCAAACAGCTCTACAAACAAGACCTTACAAGCCGAGGATTATCTAGTTTGTTATGCAATTTCTACCTTCCAGCACAATTGATCCATTTATGTGTTCTTAATGAAGATTCAAGAAGTTATTCATAAGCCAGGCTTAACTATTGTCTACAACGACTGCTCAAACCCCCATCTGGGTAAGCTCTTCAGTGCGAGAAGGTAAACTAATTGTTTTCCAGTGCGAGAGGGTAAACTAATTGTTCTTCAGTACAAGAGGGTAAACTAATTCCCCAACACCCATCCGAGTCTGCTCTCTAGTGCGAAAAGGTAAACTAATTCCCCGACACATATCCGGGTTTGCTCTCCAGTGCGAGAGAATAAACTAATTGCTCTCCAGTGCGATAGGGTAAACTAATTCCCTGACAACCATCCAAGTCTACTCCCCAGTCTGAGAAATAATTTATCTCCAGTGCGAGAGGGTAAACTAATTCCCTGACACCCATCCAGGTCTGCTCTCCAATGCAAAAGGATAAACTAGTTGCTCTCCAGTGCGAGAGGGTAAACTAATTCCCTGACACCCATCCAAGTCTGCTATCCAATGCGAAAGGATAAACTAGTTGCTCTTCAGTGCGAGAGGGTAAACTAATTGCTCTCCAGTGCGATAAGGTATACTAATTCTCCGACACCCATCCGGGTTTGCTCTCTAGTGCGAGAAGATAAACTAATTGCTCTTCAGTGCGAAAGGGTAAACTAATTACTCTCCAGTGAAATAGGGTAAACTAATTGCTCTCCAATGCGATAGGGTAAACCAATTGCTCTTAAGTGTGAGAGGGTAAACTAATTACTCTCTAGTATGATAGAGTAAACTAATTCCTCAACACCCATCTGGGTAAGCTCTCCAGTGCGAGAAGGCCACATAGCTCAAAAGATCGAATGCTTGAAGACCAACTAGACAGCGAATGGTCAGGGAGCAGCAGCCATTTTGCACTCAACAGTTCACTCATCCGACTGCTCCATCTACAGCAGCTGAGAAATCAAACTCAAGCAGTTTCCTTATATTTGGCAAGCAGCCCACCTCCTAGGCCCATGCCAAGACGACTATTGACCCTTGCCGACCAACGTGCCGCACCACCCTGACGGCTGCCCCACGACAGCACCACCTAAGAAGAAGATAATGAGAACTAAGTTTTTCTTACATCGATGCTGCACGAAGAAGACAAAGAAATCAATGGAAGATTGTTCTTTACACGGATAAGCAAAGAAGAGTGCTAGGGGAGGGGGAATAAATATTCTCTAGTTTTCTCTCTTTCTTGTAAGGATAAATAATTGCCCTCCGAAGTTGATTTAACCCCTATTTAAGGTAGGCTTAAATAGGTTTTGGAGGCGATTTATTTCCCTTTCCTAGAAGAATCTAATTCCAAGTCCAAGTGAGAATCTACACCTGCTGCCCTTTAGCAGCCCAGTAAGTGTGAGGGCATTTGTAGAGCAAAAAATAATCAAGAAAAATATGGAGGCGGCACGTGGATTCTATGGTTAAAAGGACAAAATTACCCTCAATGAATACTGGAATTCCTACGCACGGGCAGTGGGCAATCATCCCATAATCAAGTCAAAAGTGCCCAAAATAGGTATTTATTCAAAACATATTTCATCCATCCTCATCAAATCTTCTCCACAAGGTAACCCCTAAAACATTCATTTCAAATTATATTAATTAGCTAATTAACTAATTTATTACCTAACTAATCTATTAATTGGCTAATTAACTACAAATTACACCCAAAACTGCCAAAAATGCCACAAAGGACTGGTCACCATCTCGCCAAAGGAGACTGGCCATGCCCTATACATACTACCCCATTTTCTCTAAAAAAACGAAGTTTTACACCTTTGCTAAATTCTCCAAATTCTCCAAACACTTTTTGCTCAAAATTATAACTTTGGCATCGGAGATTCTTCGGCCAAAGCCCCCCCCCCCCAAATTCATCGTGGGCGCATGAGACTCTTGGCCTTGACCTAAAGTGTTGTTTGTTTTGTAGGTGCAATTTTGTCCAAAAACAAAGAGGAAAAAATTTGCATCCACATCCTCTACCACTATGATAGAGGACCACTTGTGCCATGAGACATTTTTTCACATGCTTATAAGATGAACTAGGCTTGACAATGTCTCTAAAAAATACCTAAAAATTAAAATGTAATTAGCAGAGTTATGAAGAGATTAAGTACTCACCATATGGATAGGCCATCCACAGAAACTTCTGCATTCTTGAGATACCCAGCAAAGAGAATCAGTGCCATGAAGTACCATACTTCTAAACTGCACAAGATTTAAAAAAACATAAAATCAAATGAGCTTGTTCTGGAAATTCATTTGATCATTCGGGATTTCTATGAAACCAATAGATATAATATAAAATTAGAATTTAACAGAATCTATAATATTGTAAATAATTGTTATTCGCATTTCACAAAACTAATAACGAACAACTAATTTAAAACTTGTTTGATAATTTCTTTATTAAGTTTTTAAAATTTGACCTTATTTAGATTTTTTACCGTTACCAATATAAAAATATTTACTAAAAATAATTATCAAAGATATCCTAAACTGGTTAACTTAGTAAGTGCGGTGTGGTGTGGGCTACTTGTTTGGTAGCAAAAGCCGAAAAGCATAAGAAAAAGTAAACATAAAATCATATGTTAGGGAGCAAAAGGCCGACCAATAGAAGAAACGGCAATTATAAATCATGTTGAAGAATAAGACATAAAGCTTTCAGCCGGTCCGACCTATGTGGAGATTATTGTTATCCACACATAAAGACACGGTGGTGCTTGTTAGCTGGTGTGATCGCAAAGTTGCGTTTCTACTTGTATTTAAAGCTGAGCATTTTTAGTACGTACTTTGACTATCTTCGTGGTTCCAATCTTTCATTTGTCATGGCCCAAGGCACAGTTGTAAAGTTGAATCCACCTCTATAAAATTGAAATGGGTATGACAACTATTTGTTTTGGGATGTGCTATCCACGGATCCTTTTTTACTTCTTTTACACCCTTAGTTAATTTTTGTACATTGATCTTCTTCAATTCATCCAATCCGACGATCAAAAATTAAAAAGGTGTGAGAGAAGTAAAAAGGGATGTGTGGATATCACACCCTTATGTGATTGTTTGATACAACCATATTTGGGATATCTGTCTGTCATATCTTATGTGCATCGCACTGGGTGGATATTCACCAGATCTTCTTTGTGAGATCCTCATCAAATCTTCTATGAGGATGAATGTCAGATGCTATTTATATTTAATTTTAAATAAAAAAAATCTACAAAGATTTTTTATTGCACGATGTACGATAAATAAATGTGATTGAAGGCTTCTCAAGATCCTCATAGAGAGGATTTGGCGAGGATCCTCATTCATATATATATATATATATATATATATATATATATATATATATCAATATCATGTTCATGGAATACGATGAATTTTTAAGATGTCTCGGTAGTGAAATAGTAGACACGCGAGACTCAAAATCTAAGTTTGGCATCGGATTACGAAATTTTACTCAACTAAAATCCACGAGAATTTTGAAATGAAGTTAGTTCTCATTTCTATTTCAATTTAAAAATAAATATTTTATTTGAAACAAGGAAATTTTAATAAATAATAAGATTCTAAAAAACGTTAGGCGCTAGTCGGGCGGTTAGACGGAGTCTAGACGGACGGCTAGGCAGCCTAGGCGGATTTAGGTAAATTTCTTGTACATCTTGTAAGTAAGTGCATATTGACCATTACAAAAAAATTATACTTATATAAAATTAATAAATACAATAATAAATAAAAAATGATAAGATGCAAAACTAGTATCCAAAGTTCAAAATTTAAAAACACTAATATATGTCATATTAGTTAAGATATTTTGAATGATTATATCTAATTTTTATAAAAATAAAAATAAAAATCCCACTTGTGTCAGTTTGTGGTGTGATGTGAAGAGGTGCATGCATCTTCCCAAATTTCAAAAAGCACCACGTGGGTGGTCATGTGTGACTCTTACCTTTAATCCCTAGTCCCCATCCCTCACACATCAATCAAGAGACTCCTTTTTGATGTGAAAACCGAAAACTTTTATTCATTTTATTTCTTTCATTTTTCTCATCGGCTTCATCTTGTTTCTTTTCCACTTCTTCTTTCTTTTTCTTTCCGTTTTCCTTCTATACATTCTCCTTTTTTTTCTTGTTTCCTCTTTTTCTGTTTTGAATTGTAAATTTCTCTTCTTCTGGATTTCAGAGAGAGGGAGTCGCAACAGGTAAGAAGGTGGTGGTGCACAAAGAAAGGGAGCCAAAGCGGTGGAATTTCTTCTCAGGAAACCTCCACTCCGCCTAGACCGCCCAGGTCGCCTAAGAGCGCCTAGGCGAGTGCCTAATAGCTCTCCGATTTTTCTTAACGATTCAGACCTAATCGCATCAACACCACCACGCCCAGCACCTAGGCGGCTGCCTAGGCTGTTTTTTAGAACACTGATAAATAAAAACTTCGCCAAGTGATCTATTAAAGAAAGTGATATTGTTTAGTTTCTAAACTCATCCACTCTTATTATAATACATGAAATAACACACCATGTGTTTTGTGTTTTCAGTACTTATAAACATTTATTTTTGTGGTCACATCAGTTTATTTATGTTATAATGAGTTGGTTTATTTACTAAGACTACCGTATTATTGTAATTGAATTAGTAGTACTACGTGACAATGTAACCACTAAAAGTTCTGTTATTTTAGCATTTAAAATTTTTACTTATTTATTTTCAATAAAAGAAGGATAGTGTTATGCACACATTTCTTTTTACCTTACATACACTTTTTATTAATTTATGTTCATTAATTATTTTTAATTCATTCGATGAAATGGTCGAAAATTAAATAGAAATTGTGAAAGATAAAAAACAAAAGAATTCAAAGGGCCGGAACAAGAAAACAAAAGAAAGATGCGTGAAAGGGGTTTTAATTACCAGAGCATGATTGCGGAAGCGAGAGACAACTTAACAAAAGCCCAAAGATTATGAAACGCCTTCCATGAGAATCCAACCCAAGCTTGACCACATGTCCCAGAAAATATATAACCCAGCTGAGCTAAAACTATGAACCACCAGGACGCGTTGAGCACGACCGCCGCACCGACCAGTCCCCACCCGACCTTCAATATCAAAATCCAGCTGAACAGCGTATGCAGGATCAAAGCCACTGCCGATATCACCGCCATGACCATCATCTTTCTCTGCGACTGCAAAAACTTGGCTATCGGGAAATTCATGGCGTACGCGAACAACTGCGGTATCATCCATATCGCGAACACTCCCGCCGCCTTCGATATGTCGGCGGTCTGCCCTATCGCTTTGAGCAGTGGCTGAGCAAAGATGTAGAGAAAGGAGAGGAGTACGGCAGTGGAGTTGAGGATCACCCACGACCTCTGCATGTAGATTCCTAACATGTCCAGCTGCCCTGCTCCAAATGCTTGCCCACATAGCGTCTCGAGAGCACTCCCCATTCCAAGCTTCAAACATATTATCAATTAATATGTGAGATTCAAACTCAGTGGGTCTTTGTCACAGTTAAAAAACTGACAATAGCTACTGACATTAATATTAGTAACTATTGCCAGTTCTTGTAGTGAGTGTTGAGCGTGGAACAAAATCCACATATATGGATATTCATATTTTTTATATTTGATTGAAGGGTATGGGAGAGGGGGAGATATACGTACCATAACGCCGAAGGAGAAGCCGGCGATGACAGAGTTTTCAATGGAGACGGCGGCAAGGTCTAAGGTGCCAACTTGGCCGGCGAAGACTTGAGTGATTGCGCCGAGGGAATACTTGCATAGGGAGGTGAAGATGGCGGGGCCGGCGAGAAGCCATAGCCTTTTGGTTTCTTTGAAGAACTCGCGGAAGAAGTCGCGGACGCTGACGATGGGAGAGATGTCGTCTGCATCGGGAGTGAAGGAAGCGGTGGAAGTAAAAGATGGGTTTGCCGGCGGAGCCAGGGACTCTAGGTGGTCGTGCAGGTGATGATGATCAAACTCGTCTGTCGGCGGCAGAAGCGGCTGCTTGTTATCCGCCATACATTAAAGAGAGGGAGAGAGTTTGCGATTGCGTTTGCGTAGGTGTCGAGAAATTTTCAACTGAAACGTGCGTGGAAGCCTAAGTCAGTGTATGGAAAATGGGCGAGGATCCCTTTTGCCACGTATGCTGGAGAAATTTTTAGTTGTGACGAGAACGCGGATAGTAAATCACGTGTTTTTATACAAGTTGTAAAAAAATTTAATTTTTAAGTTATTAATCTTTTAACACACATAATCCATCATTTATATAGAAACACGTAATATATCATTTCGTGTGTGATGATCACATGGAAAAATCCCTCCATGTGCTGCACGAGAAATTTTTGCAGGTTACCATCACTCCAACACAGATTGACAGCTGGTGTTCTAGACGAATTAAACTTCGACACCTACCCTTTGTTCGTTTTAAATGACTTGACAGGCTTTTGGTCTAATTATGGTTAATTGTAATTAAAAAAGGAAAAATTTGAAATAGGTCTAATTTTATAGACTACCTTTTGAAATATGTCCAATTTTTAGTGACTTTTGACTTTTGAAATAGGTTCAATTTTTAGTTACTTTGGACCCATTTCAAAAAACCCCATTAAAAAATGCTGAAGTAAATTTAAGTTGTTAAATTTCAACCGTAAGATTGATCCAGATATGGGGTTTAGGATTTATTTACACTTTTTATAAGCTCTTGGATTTATTTACATTTGACGCTTCTAATTAAAAGTTAAGATGACTACTAAATAATGTGGCAATGACATGGAAATAAAAATAAATTTTAAATAAATATTTTGATAAAGGAATATTGTGAAGTTAAAATAGATCCAGCTTTCTTCCTAATCTTTTTGCCGTTTAAGTCTGCAACTCTCCAACAACAACAACAACAAAAAGGTTTGCAATATGACAGTGACGAAATTCATCATTGTCTTTGATGCAGTGAATGCTTCTTCATGGCTATATAATACTATTTTTTTGCCATGAAAATAAAAAAGGAAATCTAAACAAGAATGATGTCATTCCAAAAAATTCTTCTATCTGCATGAAAATATGATTTGTCTTCCTCATTCAATTACAATTTCCTCATGAAATTTTAATATCCAACCATCTTTGTTCATGTTTGCAGAGTTTACCACTTTAGTTTTCCTCCCAGTTTTAACTTTTTGCAACCATTAAATAGCAAACAATAAACTACTCAACATTGTACAGTTAATCACATCGTTGGAATTCAAGGAAATCTCCATCCCCCAATCTCCACAGATGTAGTAAGGCTTTGGATACGAGTTCACAAGAGTCAAATAGGCTTCTAGGGTTTTTACCTTTTTAGCGAAATTCCCAGTTTTATTCATTTTAAGTTTTAATCTTTATTTATTTATTTATTATATTAGTTAATAATCCACTTCATCAACTATATTATTTAATGACTAAAAGTCTCCACATCACTCTTAATTAGGACCATTGGATGTTATAAAATTTGAAGGCTCATAAGAAATGTAAAAATATTTGTTAAAATGTTTGTCTCTTGATTCTATCCCTATATATAATTTTCCCAACAACTGCTTTTATATATTATAATGTGACATGGCATGTTTAGCTTTACAAATAGACTTGTCGTACACTTTATGTTTTTAATATTATTTGTGAGTATAAACTTGTGGCATGACATCCTTGCATTTTATTGGCTCATTATTACATGTTTGTACAGTGTCTCTTAGTTATTTGTACTGTCCTGGATCATGGACCAGCTTCACTTGTAGTTCACATGCACCGTTTACATTCACTTTGGATCCAGAGTTAGGTGTCAGCCTATGTTTTTGTGTAATGTTTTGGACACGTATGTGATGTGACTAGTACAGCTCACGTGATGTAGTACTAGAATGTAAAACCTACACCCAGTATATTCCATTGTCTAAATATCTATGCAGTGGACTTGTGTGCTTACATAAGTTAATGAGCATTGATTTCTTATAATAACGGTTTGAGATTTAACGTTGAGATACCTTGTTGTTGTACCCTGCATCTTTGACATACTTCTGCTGCAGGGTACCTACTATATACTATTATTATGATATTTTTGAGAAACCATATACTTGTTTTACATCTAGGGATTACACTTTTCGAAAAGGTTTTACAAAACTTTATTTTCGAACCCACTTACCCTTATTTTTCGCCCCTCCAGGATTTTAGTGGCAGAGGTTTTGTGACGACAAGGATTGTTGGTAAAAGCTATTACATAGGAGACTTCTCCTTTCGGTATAAATATTCTTACTCTTCTTTTATTGCAATTTATCTATACTCTAACATCACTTGTGTGATATGGATTCAGTTCCGCTCACATGCATGTACACTCTAAATTAGTCACTTTTATGTTTTAATTTATTCACATTTTCCACATCACTACATTTTATCGCTTCGTCACCTTCCAGGGGATGGCCAACACATCCAGATTTGGGTGTCTAGATGGACATTTTGGGTCGGGGTGTGTCAATTTAAAATTCCTAAATTGTAGGAAATTAGTTGTAAGCTAGCTTAAGTATAGATATATTAAATAGAAAAATGCTAAGTTGGCAATTGATCAAAGTATCTGAATCGAATTTTGTAAAGTAACAAATGTTTAGTCTAAACAAGTTGGAAAAACTATAAGGGATTCTAGTTACTCGTATATATGTATTTATTTATTTTGATATAATGACCTAAAAGGAATGTAAAAATATTTGTCCATATCCTAACCCATATAATATTGAATATAATGATGTATTGGGGCCATATATATTTACCCTAAGCCACCCAATGAGTGTTGTATATACGAAACTAAACTTAAAATCTCTCACTTAAAAATAAAAATATTTACCCTAAGCCACCCAATGAGTGTTGTATATACAAAACTAAACTTAAAACTTCTCATTTACAAATAAAAATTAAGTAACATTACTAAACTATAGTGCTAAATGGCACGTGACAACATGCTGGTTTTAACATTTTGTTTTTGGTCAACAAGCTAATTTTAATATTTAGGATTAAGTCAATTAACATTTTGTTTTTTTAAAGAGATGTCAATACCTTAAAAAAACAAAAAAAGCAAGCTAGCATTACAATCATCTTAGTTGGACTAGTTTATTATATTTTTATCGTTACCGTATTGATCAGGTTGATCCAAAACTCTTCTTTATTTTGAGAAATTAGCTAAAATAATCATAAATTGAATTTCAATTGTTGATGGAAACAAAATTAAATAAGGCGACATATTAATCAACTATTAAAAACTCAACATTTCAACATTTTAAATTACCACGAGATGGTTTCGAGGCTGTAGACGAATTTTAGGCTTGTATTCCACACAATACGTCTTATGTTTGATTCCTGACGCTAGTGAATCGCACGATAGCGACGAAGAGGAGGCTGAAATGCCTCTGTGACTCTTCCCAGTCCCCAAAAGGGTGAACTGACGCAATGAAGCCACTAGCTGCTCCATATATATATATATATATTAAAAAAAAATCCATTTCAAAATTTAAATTTGAAAAATAATCATTTTGATCAATTTCCCCATTTTAAAACTACTTTGTGAATATTGAACAAGTGATCTTCAGCCTTATTTGTTCGCTTAAAAAAAAAAAGCACATGGGATGTATCCTCCGCCGTGTAGCCTGCTAGTTGTTACTAAAGAGTTGTACATGCACGTAAAAACAATAAGATGGCATTTTGCTAGACATATATTTGGATATCAAAACTCTTTCCTCATAATTAATTTTGGCCAAATTGTGGACGTTGATCAATCTTCTGGATTCAATTTTCCATCCTCTTTTGAATTTGCTGCCCCTCCCCATTTCTTTATCCTGTCTTCAGCTTTGGATGCCTGCATAAATTACATCGGTCTCTTTTAGCCAATAACTAAAAAGTGCAACTTCGATATGCTTTTTTGTGTATATCTCTCTTTCCACATCACACATCACATGATTTCGAGAGATGAACACAGAGAGTATATGCTATGTTGCACAGGAAATGGGAGTAAATTGAAACCCTTACCTCCTTGTTCCAGTTGGTTTTATAAACCATTATGAAAAGGACACAAGTCTGAAGGATTGTCCCTAACAACATTCCAATCCAAATGCCCTGAAAATGATGTATAAATGTTAATTTTTAACAATTGGAGTGCTAATAACATCTCTCGATATAAAAACTAAAACCAATGTCACGTTGAGAGGTGGGATTATGAGAACTTACCTTAACACCCCAATCAAGCTTGTAACCGAAAATTAGGCCCAATGGCACCCCAATGACATAGTAACAAGCTATGTTCACATAAGCTACTGCAGCCTGCCATCCTGCTCCAATTGCAACCCCAGAAAGAACTGGTTGAATGTTGTTAATAACAATGCAGGTTGCCAGCAATGGTGTAAGCTGCTTCACAAGAGCTTTAACCTCCGAATCGCTTGAGAACAAGGCTGGATATTTGTCCCGGGTGATGATGAGGATGAGCGAGAGGATAGCGCCGATCAAAAAGGAAGTTATTACCGCTACTACTAGTGAGAACTTTGCTGTTCTTGGGTGAGCTGCTCCTAGTTCATTTGACACTCTCACACTACAAAATGTTTGATTTAATTAAGACAAACATTTTTGTGTGTTCTAATGTTTGTGGACTTTGATATGAATTGAAAGCTGACCTTATTGCTGCGTTCATGCCCATAGCTACCATGACAGTCCATCCCAGTATGTTCATGCTGCAAATTCGGCGTGAATAAGTCACTTAATACTACATTCTAGTGATATTTCTCTTCACTTGTAAGTTTAAAAACAATATCGTTTGTTCAAAAACAATACATATAAAAAACTAGTCAATTAAATACAGTTTTTCATAAACCAGAAGAAAAATTAATTTATAACGTCTATATTGATAGTATTCAAAAGCTGTATAATGAGCTCGTTTGGAAGTGCTTTTAAAATGACTGAAAGCGCTTTTGGTGAAATTTATTTTGAGTTCCAAAAACACTTTAGAAAAAGTACCAGATATGTGATTCTCTATCATTCTCTCCCTCTCTCCTTCTATTTCAAAAACAAACATAATAAATTTTCTCACACACTTTGTGTGTGCCCATATGTGAGTATGCTATAAAAACTGTTATTGACACTTTAAAAATTTTATTTTACATTCTTCACAAATATATATTTTTTTAAATATAAAAAGTTTGGTGCATAATAAAAAATTTAAAATGCTAATAATAATTTTCTATGCTAAAAAATTAAATTTGACAGAAAGAAGCTTTTCCATTTCGTGAGTCCAAAAGTATGAAAAAAAAAAAAGCAAAAATGATTTTATCTTTTCTTTATGTAGACCTGCAAAATGGAATAAAATATTGGTAATCATAAAAAGTTCTATACCTATACACACACACACACCTTTTATGCAAAGGGTTTCTCCTTTTTTCCAAAAAATAGGGATTATATATGAGGCCCACGAACTTTAATGATCCGAACCGTCTATTTTGTAAGTCTCGATTCCTAGATCATCTTTACAAAAATTCAATTCAATCCAAAATCATTTGTCCATTTAATTATCAAGATAAAATTTCATTGTTTCTTATATAACAAAGTATTCGTTAATTTTGTCTTAAATATTTCCAATTTGGCTAATATTTTGCAAGGATGATCTATGAGATGCAACTTGAAAAATAGATGGTTTGGATCGTTAAAATTCGATGTCGTGTGGACCCTACAACTAATCCTCATTTTTATGAAAAATGAAGATCCCTTCCTTTAAAGGCTTCCTCTCTCTCTCTCTCTCTCTCTCTCTCTCTCTCTATATATATATATATATATATTATGCAATCAGGCAATTTGAGATTAAAGGGACGGTTTCATAATCATGTCACTAGAGGGGTGAGGGAACGGGCTAAGTCTTACAATAGGCTAACAATAATGTGATTCAAATTCGCCTTTGGCGAGAATCAAACCTAAGACCTCTCACTTACCAGTGAAAATGAATACTTCTAGACCGTAGTACTGAGTGGCAAATTTCATGTTTAATATGAAGTGTGGTCTATGCTCAAAAAAAAAAAAAGAAAAGAAAAAGTGTGGTCCAATTCCTTATTTGTCCTTATAATGTTTGGTAAACTTCCGTTGTGAGATATTTTTTTCCTTTTTTGTCGAACAATAGATTTGTTAGGTTAAATGTTAGATTAGGAAATCGACGGAATTCGAACTCATGTCGTAGTGCAAGAGCAATACTCTTCTCTACTATTGTAATAGAGGGCGGCTTGCACCGTGAGACATTTTTTCACACGCTTAGAAGATGAATTAGGCTTGATAATGTCTCTAAAAAATACATATTAAAATGTAATCAGCAGAGATTTGAAGAGATTAAGTACTCACCATATGGATAGGCCATCCACAGAAACTTCTGCATTCTTGAGATAGCCAGCAAAGAGAATCAGTGCCATGAAGTACCATACTTCTAAACTGCACATGATTTTAAAAAATAAAAATCAAATGAGCTTGTTCTGGAAATTCGTTTGATCATTTGGGATCTCTATTAAACCAATAGATATAATATAAAATTCAAATTAAACAGAATCTATAATATTGTAAATAGTTGTTATTCGCATTCCACAAAATTAATTTAGAACTTGTTTGATAATTTCTTTATTAAGTTTTTAAAATTTGACTTGATTTCAATTTTTCGTAGTTACCAATCTATAAAAAGTTACAAAAAATAAAATACTTTTTTTTAGCACTGCACAAAATGTTGAATGCATCATACATTAAAATTTAATATTAAATAACTTAAGTAATGACAAGTTCGACCTTATTATTTAAAAAAAATACTAAGAAATTTCTAAAAACATTCTAAATCACTTTTAACGTATTATTTACCTTCTTCAACTATTAAAACCCCTCACCCTTCATTATTGAACAAAACCCTAACCAAGCTATGTGCATTATTTAAGCTATCTGCATTATTTTATTCCCTGATTTTGATCTCAAAGGGGATTAGTCCCAAATATCTGCTTGGGATTTCCCAAGAAACTATACTACCCAAGCCCTATTATTGATTGATTTAAGCCTAATATTTATTTATCATTCCCAGAAAACCATATTACCTAAATGCTTCTCTCTCCGGAACTTCTCTAATAATATGTCTTTTTTTTTTTTTTTCCTTTGTGCTATCAAGTTTAACCTCTAACCTTATAACAATTCTTCGGTCCTTTTAGTAATTGGTGACTCACTGTTTTCAGTGGTGAATTACTACAATATATAACTCATTCAATTTACCCATTTCATTCAATTGGCACCTCTCAAGTGTATTTTCTTCTCTCCACATCAAGCAAGCAGGATGTTAGGGTTTTTTCCTTAAAAAAAAAAAGATTTGAAGAATGTGGGGTGTATAGGAAATGTAAGGCGTATGTTAAGAATATGGGGTGTGAGGATATTGTAGGGAAGTATGTGATGTGTATTACAATAATTTTTAATTAAAAAAAAACAAATATAAGGTGTATTAAGTATGTAGAGTTCATTCAACAATATATGAGTGTTAATATAATAAGGCAAATAAAATAGCTATTAAACGAGCCTAAATTAGTTAACTTTGCAAGTGTGGCGTGGCGTGAGCTACTTGTTAGCAAAAGCAAAAAAGCATAAGAATAGGTAATACAAATCATATGTTAAGTAGCAAAAGGCAGATGATTAGAAGACGAGGAATTATGAATCATATTAAAGAACAAAGGCACAAAGCTTTCCGCCGATCCGACCTAGGTTTTTCTATATCTACACATAAAGGCACGACTGTGCTTATTAGTTACTGTTATTTGTAAAGTTGTGTTTCTACTTGTATCGAAGGATGAGAGCATTTTGCATGTTATCTAATATTCTAATAGATAAAATATTAGTTTTTCTAATCATGTTTTTTGAGTTCGAAACTTTTTCATCACTTAAATTATTATAGTACTTTTGAACTCTACTTCTTCCTCTAATAATAGTAAATTTTAAATAAATAAATAAAAGATGAGACCATTTTTATTATGTATTTGGATTTATCTTCATGGTCCCAATATTCCATTTGGCATGACCTAAGGTATAGTTGTGCATGTAAAAGTCGTAAAGTTGAATCCACTTCTATAAATTTGACATGTATACGAAGCAATGATATGTTTTTCGATGTGGATTGTTTGGTAAAGCCATTTTTTGAATATTTATAATATGGTATAATTTTCATCCACTCTTGTCATAACATGTAAAATAGTGTTCTACGCGTTTTGTGTTTCCAATACTTATAAACATTTTTTTTGTGATTTATCATTTTATTCATGTTATTGTACTTTGCTTATTTACTGAGACTACCATAAGTTTGCAATATATTGGCTATATCATCCACATTATTTTAAGGATAATCCTAGGAAGATCAAATTTTTAAAACAAATTTACAAACCAAATGATGTGTCAACAATAAAAAATAAACACGTTAAACAATATTTGAGTAATAATTCAATCAATCCACATCATTTCATTTGTAAAACTTGGTATAAAAATTGTTCTCCCTAAAATTACTCTTTAAGTAATTGAATTAGTAGTAATACGTGTAAATGTGACCACATAAAGCTACTTATTGTAGCATTTACATTATTTCAATAAAAGAATTCAAAGGGCCAGAAGAAAAGAAAACAGAGAAAGATGGGTGAAGGGGGTTTTAATTACCAGAGCATGATTGCGGAAGCGAGAGACAACTTAACAAAAGCCCAAAGATTCTGAAACGCCTTCCATGAGAATCCAACCCAAGCTTGACCACATGTCCCAGAAAATATATAACCCAGCTGAGCTAAAACCATGAACCACCAGGACGCGTTGAGCACGACTGCGGCACCCACCAGTCCCCACCCGACCTTCAACATCAAAAGCCAGCTGAACAACGTATGCAGGACCAAAGCCACCGCCGATATCACCGCCATGACCATCATCTTGCTCTGCGACTGCAAGAACTTGGCTATCGGGAAATTCATGGCGTACGCGAACAACTGCGGTATCATCCATATCGCGAACACTCCTGCCGCCTTCGATATGTCGGTGGTCTGCCCTATCGCTTTGAGAAGTGGCTGAGCGAAGATATAGAGAAAGGAGAGGAGTACGGCAGTGGAGTTGAGGATCACCCACGACCTCTGCATGTAGATTCCTAACATGTCCAGCTGCCCTGCTCCAAATGCTTGCCCACATAGCGTCTCGAGAGCACTCCCCATTCCAAGCTTCAAACGTATCAATTACTATGTGAGATTCAAACTCAGGACATCTTTGTCACAGTTCTTGTAGTGAGCGTACAGCGTGGAGCAGAGTCCACATATGGATATTCATATTTATATTTGACTGAAGGGTACGGAAGAGGAGGAGATATACGTACCATAACGCCGAAGGAGAAGCCGGCGATGACAGAGTTTTCAATGGAGACGGCGGCAAGGTCTAAGGTGCCGACTTGGCCGGCGAAGACTTGAGTGATTGCGCCGAGGGAATACTGGCATATGGAGGTGAAGATGGCGGGGCCGGCGAGAAACCATAGCTTTTTGGCTTCTTTGAAGAACTCGAGGAAGAAGTCGCGGACGCTGACGATGGGAGAGATGTCGTCGGCATCGGGAGTGAAAGAGGCGGTGGAAGTAAAAGAAGGGTTTGCCGGCGGAGGGAGGGACTCTAGGTGGTCGTGCAGGTGCTGATGATGATCAAACTCGTCCGTCGGCGGCAGAAGCGGCTGCTTGTTATCCGCCATATATTAAAGAGAGGGAGAGAGTTTGCGTAGGTGTCGAGAAATTTACAACTGAAACGTGCGTGGAAGCCAAAGTTTGGAAAAGGCATCCGCATCCAGTGGTACATATATGTTCAGCGGTCCATTTTGTAGTTTCATTTAGTACTATTATAATAAACATAATGTTTTTGTCGTCGGGGAAAAAAGACACGTAACGAGGTAAAGTCGCGTTTTGATTCCAAAGTTTGCACTGCAAATCTGCACCTACATGTCAACGGCACACCTTAGTAATAATTTGTCAAATTAATTATAATTACTTATTGGCCATCTTTGTTTCTTCCTGCGTTTAACGAGCTAAATAGGTATTAACAAGAGCTGGCCAATCATTAATTCTAATTCCAAACACGATAACCATGTAACGTTGCTATTTATTCAAAGGGTAATGATAGGGAAATTAAAAACTAAATGATGTGTTACCCATAAGAGTGAACACATTTATCAACGTTTAAGTAATAAACCAATCATCAACTTACATGTCTTTTAGTATTCAAAACTTTGTTTCCAAATTTAGTCTTCTTAGAATTACCCTTATTCAAATTATCACATATGTGCACGGCTTGTGTTCTAAAAAAATAATAAAATGAAATGTTAGGGAGATCATCATTTTAGACCATATTAGTAGAGCACGTGATGTGATTGTTAATGTTGATTTTCTTTTTTAGTGATCTAAAAAGAAGAAATATAATTATCAACCGATACATTATGTGGTTTGCAATACATGATCTAAAAAATAATCTCTCTCACATTACTCCATTATAAAATTTTCTCGCATTTAAGAATATCTTCTTAAAATGGAAAGTTCCATGCGTAATTTATGACGAATCAGCCACAAGGAAACCTAGTTGAGCTGCATAAATGGGATGTCAACAAATTTATTCAGAACTCTATCCCAAGAACACAAACTAGGTATATTACTCATATGTTTTCATATCCATCTGATTAAGGCTTGCGTTGCGTCTCCCTATAAGTTATAAGTGCAATGCGAACTTTCGGAAATATTGCAGGCTATGCCCAATCGAGGATCATGGGTTCGCAACCAAACGGACAGATAGCATTATAAATGCGTGATCATAGTATGTGTATGGTTGTGATCATCATGCCCTTTGTTTGGTATGCCTCACATTCTTCCTTTTTCTCAGTGAGGAAGGGAAGACACGCTTCCAGTAAAAGATAAATTATTACAGTTCGGTCAAGTTTTCTATGTATTACCCATGCAGTAATATAATAAGCATATTTGACCATAAATTAAGGAGATCAAGAAAAAATGATCTTGTCAGAAGAATATTTGCTTGCATGAAGAAGTGATATACATAGATATTATTAATTTTGTTATAGCTGACAACATGCAGCAACAGTACTAGTATTGAAATCTACACCAATCTTGGCATTGCTAACTTAATTTTTTGGGATGATCAGGCGAAGATGATATATACGTTCAAGAAGATAAGTGTCGATCCACTTACATATATATCAATATATGCATGAAGATCGCTGTTTTCTTGGGAGGTGGTGCATGCTGTTTTCTCCACGTTATGTCCGCAGTCCCACACCGTATGTATTTTTAGATGCTCTGCCTTTCCAATTAGCTGTTGTATTTTTTAAGACAATATTTGGACGAGGGACTTTAAAATCTTAAATATGAAGTCAAGTTAGTAATAAGAATTGAATTGCAAAATTTCATATGGAGACAGATAGAATTTCACTATTTATGAGTATCAGAAAGACATGCAAGAGAGAGTTAGAGACCGTATGTGGAATGAGTCTTTAACAAATCTCTTATACGTACACGTTTCGGTGTGTGATTATATAATGTATATCTAATTCCCTTTTCTAATATATTTCTTCTTCAGTTATTTGCCTGTATGAAATAACTGAAATTCACTGTTTGTCGGTCCTCCCACACATAAATCAACCACCACAATTAACTAGATTCTGTTGAGGGTGAATCTTAAATTGATGAAAAAATGAATTTTGTATATGTATATAAACAGTTGGGCTACTCTTCATATTACCAATTGATTGTACAACTTCTTCATATTCTAGTCAAGTCATGTACAAATTTTTATTTTTGAAACCAACGGCATCATTCATCAGAACAACAGGATTTGGAACAAAGGAAGTAGGGATTTTATTTTATTTTTATTTTTATTTTTTTTTTGAAACAAAACCGGGAGTGGGATTTGGAACAAGTTTTAGTCATGTCAACATTTTATATTCATATTCCTTTTTGTCTTATTATCTCTATAAAAAAATCAATATAAAATATTGACGTGACTTAACAATGACCACACAATATAAGAGGGGATGGAAAGAGCATTATAAGGAGAGGGCAGACAATCTACCTCCCTTGAAATGACTCCAAGATTGGATCATCAATTTATCATCCATTCTGTATAATTGGATCATCAATTTATCATCCATCCTATATGCATTTGTGGAGCATATAGTGCAGAAGATCAGATGCTCTACTGAATCTATCAGGGCCAAGTGTTTTTCCAAACAAACAATCTATTTGTTTGTATGACCACCAAAAATTTCCCAAGTGCCGCGGTTTTCCTGCAGCCATTCAGAAGTGTGAGATTGATAATAATCCACCTGAATTATATGGTGCTTATCATTTTCCTTCAAATTAACCAACATTCATTCAATTAGCATCCAAAAGAACAAATAATGAGTCGGGATGACGCATCCGATACTAAATATTATGAACGACTCATTGTGGTATGTATGGCTTTGTCAAAATCTCTCACGTGTTAGTGTAAATATATCAGCATTATATTAAAAAAAAAAACTTAGCAACTAACTAATTCAATTTGTTAGTGCACCAAACTAATAATTTTTATGAGAGTTTATCTTCAAACTCTTTTCTAACTTTACATACTTTTTATTTATTTAATAATTAGATTAAAATAATCAAGAATCATAGTTGAGGAAGAGAGCAGAAAATTAAAAAATCATTCCCCCATTTATAAATTTCGGCTCTCATAGACCGTTAGGTAATGCATTTTGACTGGTTAAAATATGAATGTGCCTGCAGTTGGTCTTTTATTTTGTCCCAACAAACTAATTTAGAATTAAGTGGGTAAGACAACAAGGAGATAATTCAACGGCTTTCTATTCCTTTGGTTTGATTAATTTGGCTGCTTTCGAACAGTGATTTAACTCGTAAAGCATTTTCTGGCAGTTTATTCCTCGACAAATAAACTTTTTCCGACTGCACTTTCACATGACCTACCGTATTTGTTAGTCAAATTAGATCATGTATCTTGTTTTGGTCGCCTAATTATAATATAATCTCATCCACCAGTCAACCGGTATTTAATTGCTCTCTATACTTTCAAGAACGGCTGTTAACAATCAATCATATCTCAGAAGACTTAGTTACTCACCTCCCACGTCAAAAGAGAATTACCTATATGAAAAGTGTTCATCGTCATTCCTGGTGTTCTAATAGTAATAGGAATTTTAACGAAAAGTTTCTGGTACTGTTCATTTTAACGAGAAACTATATTTTTACACTAAAATATTAATCTTAGTATTATTCACTTTACCTTTTATTTTGTCCTTATCGTTAAAACTCAAAGTTTTTAAACTTCTTTCATTAGTTTTCCTAATAGTAGTAAAACGGAGCATCAAAGGCAGAGTCATGAGGTCACATAATTATCATGCAAAATTCTCATTAATTCACTATGAGAGAAGGTTGCTGATTGATGAAAATAGGTAGAAATAAATTTATTTCTACATAATATTGTACTATTAGCTAGTAACTCATTCAATATAAGTTAATTTGTCACGAAGAGCAATATGAGAGGATTTATATGATATGAAAACACCAATGTTATGACATCTGATTTTGATAATATGATAGTATATAAAAGATTTCTTTACATAATAATATATAAAATGCCATAACTATAACGGTGTATCGGTAATTATAAATTAAATTCGCTTGGCAAATCGAAAGCCAAATTTGATACGTATGTTGAAAGTTGTAAAGGCTAATTAGGCCAGTTTATGACAAAACCTTCTGTTGAACCACTTCTTTGTTTGTTTGTTTTCACCATCCTTATGTGCGATCCCAATTGGATTCATGCACCACAGACTTGTGGGTGGATCGTCTCTCTTTTCATGTCCACCCAGCCACACACACACACACATAAAGCCTCATCTCCTTTTGCCTGTCCATTCTTTCTCGTCTTATGCCTCAAGCAGAATGTCAGTCCCTCACCTCTTGCCCCCAATCATTATCCGATTAAAAAAATCAGAATAATATGCATACATAGATATACTACAAAACATATTTATTTTAATAATTGCCCCCAGTCATTGTCCGATTAAAAATTTAAAATAATATGCATACATACATATACTACAAAACACATATTTATTATAAGGTTAAATAGCCAAAATGATCCATGAGATTTGCATAATCAATATAAATGGTTCCGAAAATCGTCCACCATCCATGATTTTGGTCCTTCCGTTAAAAACTCTTTGGACAATTTTCAAAGCTTCGTAACTCAATTGTTTCTTAACCAAATTCGACTCATAATATATCAAAATAAAGATAGGAAAGTGTAGAACAAGATTATACCTATTTGGAAGCCAATGGTTGCCGGTGATGGTCTGAAAATAGCCTAAAAGGTGACTAGTCGACAGGAAAACTGAAAAACTCGCCGGAAACAGGATAAATTTAAACATTCATAACTTCTTCAATACTAACGAAATCGAGTGATTCAAAAACGAAAATCATACTTCTCGACGTACCTTTCTAGATCCCTAACTCGCCATGGTTTGGTCGAAAAATGGCTCGAAAGTGACAAACCATTTTCAAGTTAGCCACTTTTGAGCCCAAATGATTAACCAATTAAAATTCAGAATAATAAAATGTGATCATGATAGATTTATACATATTGCAAAGGGCGCGGTAATCCAGTGGTTAAGAGAGCAGTCATCCCTTCATGAGTGCACTATCCAGCTCGACAGGTATATAGACAAACACAAATGTATTGCTTCAATAACCTTCGTGGAATGTTGAATAAAATGGATGTCTTCGAGTTTAGGATATTAGGCCAGTTTGAGATTTTATTTTTTTTTCAATAAAAAAAAAACTACTTATACAATGTTTTAAGAATAATCACTTGCAAAATAAAACGGTTGACCGCTTGATAAACTGTTTTTTAAAAAAGGAAAACGAATGAAAATAACTTGAAAACTTTGAGTTTTAACGAATAGTATCAGGAGCTTTTCGTTAAAGTTCCCTTTTTAAAAGTGTTGTGAGTATGAAAAGTAGTGTAAAAGCGTTTTGTAAATGTTAATGCAAAAGTGATACAATAATAGATAATGACAAAATTGGATGGGCTAGCTGAAATTAGTACCACAAAATTATATGTTCATTTTTTTAGCCTATATAAAATCATATAATAATCGACATGAAACAACAAAGATAAAATGTAAATTTTTCTCAAAATCATCATCTAAACGACAAATCCAAGGACAATATAAATAATTAACCTACTAATTAAAGCAAGAATAGTAAATAAAGAGATTAAGAACGTATCAAGTGTGACTTTCATAGGAAAGTCTCAACGGAAAGTAAGGAAATTGCGGATCGCGGGGTTTAATAGTTGAATAATTTTTTTTTGTTTCTTGAGCAAAAAGCACAATGGCAAGATTGCATAGAGTAAAAAGCCTTTTTTTTCTTTTTTTTTCTTTTTTTTTTGTCACATGATTTGTTAAATTAGGGAGCTGACGGGTTTCGAACTCACGTCGTGGTATAAGGACAACTCTCCTCTCCACCATTGTAAAAGGAGGGGATATAGAGAGAGAGAACTTATTTTATTTTTAGCATATAGAGTATTATTTGTTACCTATCATGCACTAAGTATACATTAAATATTAATTTGTATTAAAATTGAGTGGGCTATATAGATTACATGCATTAACATAAGTAATTAAAGCATGAATTTACAAAAAACCTCACTAGGCTACATCCCACCTAAGCCTTGTGGGTGGCTCTGCCGACAACAATAGTGACGAGGGCAATGGTTGTGATAGTGTTGGTGCTGGTGCCAGTAAAGAAGTGTGGTGGTTAGGCTGAAGAGGTTACAATGGTGGTAAGGGCATCGATAGTGGTGGTAGTGGAGGTGGTTGTGTTTATGGTAGTGGTGGTGGCGGCAATGATGGTAGTGGTAGTGGTAGTTGTCGTTGTGGTGGTAGTGGTGGCGAGTATGGTTATGGTGGTGGCGGCACGATTGTGGTATGGTGTTGGTAATGACAATGGTGGTATAAGAGGTTAAGGTCTATATTGGTGGATTTTGGTGATCACTTTGTTCTCCAATGATAAAAAATTGTCTAAAATGATAAAGACTGTCATTTTTAAAAAAATTAATAAGTGTATTTCGCTTCCCTAACTAGATAGAAAGGGGAGGGAGAAACAAACTCTAACTAGAGATTCCTTGGGAATGAATCATTCAACTACAAATATAGGTCAAGAACCTTAAAGAGAGGATCCACGGTCCCCCAGGTAACACATAGAGCCAAAGAAACCCATAAAGCATCACTATGCAACCTTAGTATTTTCCATGACCTCACTTTGAGTATACCAATCATCGTAAGCATTGTTGCCACCCTGGGAAACCCAAATTATCCAATAGAAAACACCATACAATCACCCAAGCTCTCTCTCTTTCTCAACATACTAAACTGATGAACTTCTAGCTTCCGCACCATGTCTCACTTAAGCAAGTCATTATTTGTTTAATCATGCTATCTTCGAGTCATTGATCCAACCGGAATATTTTCTAAAACATGCTAATTCTTTCGAGATATTTCGGAACTTGGCATATAACCAAACCAAAAGAGACAAGAGGACGTTCTCAAAGCCCAAATCTACCTTGACCTAAAAGTCCCCAACACCTATCACAACCAAATCTTTAAAAATTGCAAAGTTGCAGCCCAAACCCAGTGAGGAGCAAAGCTTGGACCTCGTCTTTAACTAACATGTGCTCACGGGCCCGATCCGTTTAGTTCATGTCTTAAGAGGGCATTAGTAGGCTTGGCCTACAACTGTAACGAACTGACCTGCTAAAAGTTTGTTGGGCCTAACCGATTCCATTTAGAAGACCGCTTGGCATTTGGACGCATAATATCTTTCCAACTTCCCAAATGGGGCAAACAAGCGTAAAAAATTGGTTAAAAATGGAGTAAGATTATATCCTCTTCTATTCTCTTTACTTTCCCTCCTCTTCTCTTATGTCTTCTATTTTATCTTTCTCTTTATAAAAAATTAATATTAAATGTTGACGTGATTTAATTGTTACTGTTCAAATAGGTGAGGAGGAAAAGAGAGAAAAAAATGAGAGAAAATCCTATTCCGTTGAAATGATTCATTCTCAATTGGTCAAGTCATAAATTAACGATATATTAATTAAATACCAAAATTATCAGTAGCAATTTAGATTTGAAATTCAATTTTTGGAAAAATTATGTATGCAAAAATTGAAATTGTACCCCCAGCTTTCTTATTAATGGTTTAGACTTTGAAGTAAGTTGAGATTCCACCATAAAATTAATTGATTGTGGGAGGTGTAGCTCAACACCTTTTAAGACATACAAAATTTCTAAACTTTCCTATGTGGGATTCACACTCGTAACACACCCCATTATGTATGGGACCGTTTAAGTTTAATACGTGGGCAACCCATTTTGCATGATGTGGGAACAAGCTTGTTGTTGGCTCCCCGTTAATTCATGAAAAAAATGTTGAAATTCATCTACAAAACCAATGAAATGTATAAAAAATAACTAAACTTTTTATAAACACATGCAAATGCTCGCTATTTCTTTATGTGTGATTTATATTCTGAACACGCTGTTAATTTTTCCGAAAAGAAAAATACGGTAGTTATGGACACTAGGTATATTACATACCATTTAGGATGAATACCAACCCACTTGGATTTTAAAACCTATCAACCTAATAATACCAAATAATGCAACCCTAACTACCTAATACTTAATCTCAAGTAGTCACCTGTACAATTGACCTAATAACGTGTGGGTGTGCCTATAAAGAAATGCTTGGATCTGAACGTTCATATGCGTGCACTAGGCACAAAGAGGTGGTGGGATCAAAGTACAAGAAGTCTAGTGTTTTTGAACACATCCACTAGGCCATGTCGTCCATTTCACCATTCAGCTCAATCAAATCAAAATAACATAAAATAATGGCATCTAACCTTCGTACCTATAATTTAATTTTTGCCATTTTTATGTGTCAGAAGAGAAGAAGGATATGTATATTGATTTGGTATACTCTAAAGACATAATTATTGAAGTTTCCACTTAAATTCAATCTCAGTGAATTTTTTACATTAAGTTATTTTATTAAGTGATTCGTTAGCTGATGACAAGAATGAGTTTTGCCTTACTCAAACACGTCATCAATTAATAGGAAAATTAACGAGCAAGCTAATGGAAGTATGAAAATGGTAGAAAAAACTAATGTACGAAAATGGTAGAAAAAACCAATGTTTGAGGCACTATGATACAAAAAGTTGAAAACTAAAAAACTTGAAGATAATAATATGAAAATTGCCTTTTTATTTGTTTTTATATACATACTTCCATTGCTTTATTCAAGGGAAATTTTTATCTTCTGTTTCTATTGATGTTATGGACGAAAAATAAAAGTTATGTAAAAGAATATGAAAGTCACTAACCACGCATTTAAATCTTTCCTTGACAACAATTTAATCTTATGAATGATAAGTTGATAACAAAAACTTGTGCAGAAAATAAAGCTAAAATTACAATAAGTCTTGTTAAAAAAAAAATTACAATGTCATTTCTCATTAATCACAAATCATCTTAAAAATTAGAATATATGATAATTATTCACGTCATCAATATATTTATTGAATACGTGATAACTATCTAACAAACAAATGATATATTATTTAATACATAACAATCATTCATGTCATCAGTAATGTCACCAAAAACAGTATGCTAATTGCCAACTTGCAACTTGCAGAACTTCTCTATCATGATGTTCTTGTTGATAAGAGGGTCCAAATCAATCCTCCTCTTTGATTAATTAAGGGAGAGAGAAAATGAAAATGATCACATAAAAGGGTATGTAATATTTAATTTCGGTAGATTTTTCGGCGAGATAAGAATACAATTCGATATATTAAATGCTATAAAATAAATGGTATAAGAGGTCGGATACCGAACTATGTCGGTCGCACTGAAAAAGTTTCTTATTTAATTTTGAGCGTTACGGAGTTGGATTGGAGGAGGAGTGACGTGGCAGTAAAGGACCCCACCCCAGCCCACAGTTTTGAGATATCAGCAGAACGACGTTTCTTACAAGTGCAAGCTCCTATCGCTCCACTCCATACCTCCTTTGTCCTTATTCTAACCTCTGTTCCCTTCGCCCACCGGCTTTTTATTTTCCCGGAAAAATCAACTGGCCGAGGAAGTGCGAGAAAGTTTCGTTTCGTTTCAATCTCTGTGCCTGTGGGGTTGCTGAGAGTGAGACGACGCAGTGCTGTATGTCAGTGGAATACTACTCCAGTGACTGTTACTACGGCGGATTCGGCGAGCTCGATAACCCTTCCCAATGGCCACAACTCAGGAAAAAGCGACGCCTCGTGACGCTGCATCCGCCGAATCCTCGGCTCTGCTCCGCAAGGCCGGCAAGCCGGTTCGCGATTGGACCGGTTCGGCCACCGATCTGGACTCGGATCCGATCCGCACCAGACCGTCCGTGCCGACCTTGATCCGACCCATGGAGTCCCTTCCTGCTCCTTCTACTAACACAGCTGCCACCAAAGGTACTCAGAAATTTACCGTCCTATTTATATTTTACAGCTTATATTTGCTGATCGTGATTTTGACTTTATAAGACAAGGAAGTGATTATTTTTTGGTGTTTGGTTGCTGAGAATATGAAGGAAAATAAAAGAAAATGTTGAGCTGCTTTTGAGTTTCTACGTGTACTGGTTAGTTGGTCTATTGAATTCCGCCTTTCCAGTCTTCTGGGGTCCAAAATCTTACACGCAGGAAAATTTTGTTTCCTCTTTTATTTTTTTTAAATGTTTCCTTTTCTTTTCCCCTTTAAAAAAAAGTTACCTTTAGATTTAACTGCTCTTTGCTTCCTCCAATTGCTGAAGAGGAAAAGGAAAAGCAAGAAATTTTCTTTCAGATTTTGAAAACTGAATGCTACCCATTTGGGCCGGAATAGGATCGGAGATAAGTTTCTTATGATTCTTGTTTATTTGAATAGGCATTCCAGTAATGTTGAGGGCTCAGAGCAGCCACCCTTTGGAGCCTTTATCTGCTGCTGAAATCTCAGTGGCAGTGGCCACTGTCAGGGCAGCTGGAGCAACTCCTGAGGTTAGTTACAATTCGATTATCGGTTATGTTTTAGCCGAAAATATGGGTTGGATTCTGTTTACCCAGAATTCAGTTTGGATGATTGATTTGATCATTTAAGGATCATAGGAATTGATTTTATTGTTTTCTGCAGGTGAGAGATAGCATGCGCTTTGTTGAAGTGGCTTTGGTAGAACCAGATAAACGTGTCGTAGCACTGGCAGATGCGTATTTCTTCCCACCCTTCCAGCCGTCATTGCTTCCCAGAACCAAGGGTGGACCTATGATTCCTAGTAAACTTCCTCCGAGGCAAGCGAGACTTGTGGTTTATAATAAAAAGTCAAATGAGACGAGCATCTGGATTGTTGAACTATCGGAGGTGCATGCGGCAACTCGAGGTGGTCACCATAGGGGTAAAGTCATTTCATCCGAAGTTGTTCCAGATGTTCAGCCCCCCATGGTATATAAACCCAGCTACCAGTTGTAGTTTCTAAATTGTTATTTATGTGTTTTCTATTAAATAAAAAAGAGAATTTCATCATTGGTACTGAAAATACAGGATGCTGTTGAATATGCTGAATGTGAAGCTGTTGTGAAGGACTTTCCTCCATTTAGGGAAGCAATGAAGAAGCGGGGTATTGAGGATATGGACCTCGTGATGGTGGATCCCTGGTAAGTTTCTAAATTTAGATTCTCTCAAATAAATACACTGGGAGAAATGATTTCACTCTATGTTATTTCTCTGTATAATGTTGCGGAGTGTGTCTCTTCTTATCAGGTGTACTGGATATCACAGTGGTGCTGATGCTCCTAGCCGCAGGCTTGCTAAACCCCTTATCTTCTGTCGAACTGAGAGTGACTGCCCTCTGGAAAATGGTTATGCTCGTCCAGTTGAAGGAATCCATGTGCTTGTGGATATGCAAAATATGGTGGTTCTTGAGTTTGAAGACCGTAAACTTGTTCCCCTACCTCCTGCTGATCCACTGAGAAATTATACTCCAGGTGAAACACGAGGAGGTGTTGATCGAAGTGATGTGAAACCCCTACAGATAATTCAGCCTGAAGGACCCAGTTTTCGTGTTAATGGGCACTTTGTTGAATGGCAGAAGGTTCTTGATTATTTTATGGAACTGTACCATTGGATTGTCTCACATCAGCATGTATTGATTCTTATTCTCTTTTTATTTTTCTGGTTGGCAGTGGAATTTCCGTGTTGGTTTTACCTCCAAGGAAGGCTTGGTTATCTATTCTGTAGCATATATTGATGGTAGTCGAGGCCGGAGGCCTGTGGCTCATAGGTTAAGTTTTGTTGAGATGGTTGTTCCTTACGGAGATCCAAATGATCCACACTACAGGAAGAATGCATTTGATGCAGGGGAAGATGGGCTGGGTAAAAATGCACATTCTCTTAAAAAGGTCGGGATACTTTCTTGTACCCTTTTCCACTTCATATCTCTTTGTTTTTTGTATTAAGGACACTTTGTGATGTGGTTTTGTTGTTGCAGGGTTGTGATTGTTTAGGCTATATCAAGTACTTTGATGCGAACTTTACAAATTTCACCGGGGGTGTTGAAACAATTGAAAATTGTGTTTGCTTGCATGAGGAGGATCATGGAATCTTATGGAAGCATCAGGATTGGAGGACAGGTTTAGCAGAAGTTAGACGATCTAGAAGGTTGACAGTGTCTTTTATTTGCACCGTCGCCAACTATGAGTACGGATTTTACTGGCATTTTTATCAGGCAAGCTGTCATCAGCCTTAATTTCACTGGGGGTTTAATTTTCTTGTGTTTCCTTGATAACAATCAGCTGCTCCATCATGTTACTTATAAGTTACAAATGGCCAGTACTGTAATGGGGCTGGGCTACCATCTTGTTGGCATCATTTGAATTCACTTACCATAATTAATATCTGTGTGCTTCTTATCCATTTGACCTACCTGCTCCCTTTCTTTTGGGTATGATTTTGTTGTTTGAGGTGAGCAATTAAAGTGACGGTGACACTTATCAACCTTCGCTTTTTGTAGGATGGGCATATTGAAGCTGAGGTGAAACTTACAGGAATACTAAGCTTAGGTGCACTGCAACCAGGAGAAACCCGAAAGTATGGTACAACTATTGCACCTGGACTATATGCACCTGTGCATCAGCACTTCTTTGTAGCTCGTATGGACATGGCAGTTGATAGTAAGCCTGGTGAAACCTTCAATCAGGTCATACCAGTGTTCTTGGGATCCTTTCTTTGATATACTACAGTAGTTCGTTATATAGGTTTTAAAAACAAAAGTGACATCCAAGTTCATTTTCACAAGTCAAGTCTTTATATCGATAACCATTTCAAGTCATTTGAAGAACCAAGTAGCCTTGTCTTGCTGTGATTCGATGTCCAGTGTTTGTTCTCTTAAGACTTCTACGATTATGATTCATTATTCATGTCCTGTATTGGTTTGTTGTTCAAGTGTTTCATGGGTCAATTGATTTATTGACTCAATAAAGCTGAGCTTCCGTTGGGTATTGATGTTGCCTTATCTAAGAAAATGTTAGCTTTGCCCTCTCCACAAATGAATTGTGGGAAAAATCTACTCATGCATATGAAATCTGAAAGTTAGCCCAAACCCCAGTAATTAGGAGCCAGTATGAACCCATATGAAGTTCTTGGGATAAACTTTTATGATGTTGGTGCTATATGTGAGATTCTGAAGCTTGGTTTTCTGTTATCCCGTGGTTATTAGGTTCCTAGATTTTCTGAAATTGATGCCAATGCTTTATGAAATGATGGGAAAATTAGTTTCGTATCATTCATAATTTAAAATTTCAAGACTAGAATTCTAATTCACATTGCTTACGTTATTATTGCCTCTGGGTCAACTTTTTCCTCTCTCTCTTTGAATATATTGATAACCAGCCCTATTTATTTCACTTTGTTTGCTGTTTTCCCTCAGGTGGTTGAAGTAAATGTCAAAGTTGAAGAGCCAGGAAAGAATAATGTTCATAACAATGCATTTTATGCCGAGGAGAAATTGCTGAAATCAGAACTGCAAGCAATGCGCGATTGTAATCCTCTATCTGCTCGCCATTGGATTGTAAGACAACATTCCTTGATTGCTTCAGAAATGAGTCAATTATTTTCTTTACAACTGAAGTATGTTATTGCTTAAATGCCACATGCTATTTTGTTATTTTAGGTCAGAAACACCAGAAACGTCAACCGCACTGGGCAGCTGACAGGTTACAAGCTAGTACCTGGCTCAAATTGTTTACCATTAGCTGGTTCTGAGGCAAAATTTCTGAGAAGAGCTGCATTTTTAAAGCATAATCTTTGGGTCACATCTCATGCACGTGATGAAATGTATCCTGGAGGAGAATTTCCTAATCAAAACCCACGTATTGGGGAGGGATTGGCCACTTGGGTTCAGAAAAATCGGTCGCTGGAAGAAGCTGACATTGTCCTTTGGTGAGTGGGCTTGCATTATCTAATACACTAAGTTGTTACTGTGCGTGTGTGCAGTTGTGCACGTAGTCACATTAAAAATTAGACGTATCCTAAACTCTGACCATTACTAGGCTGGGAACAGTAATCGTAATTTTTAGGGTACGATGTTAGAACTAGGAGGGTATAAATGGTCTCCGAAAACTAACTGTAAGTGAATACCGAATAAAGAGGTTCACGATCTGATCAATGTCCGATTGTTACAGGTATGTATTTGGAGTGACACACATTCCTCGACTGGAAGACTGGCCGGTTATGCCTGTGGAACGTATTGGTTTTACGCTCATGGTACGCAACATATTGTTCAACTTCTTCGTAACTGTTCACTTGTCCATAAAATTAGTTGCATTATACCTCTTTCCTAGGACAGTTATATTCAACGTGTGATGCTTTCGACACATGTAAAATTTGAAATCAGTACTTCATGGGATCAAATGTATATAGATTTAACACGAATTTGCACCTCTGATACTTGTGGGCTGCTAGCTCCCAAGTGCACACATAGATTTGATAAAAAGATTCATGATTCTGGTTCACCTTATTATTTGTAACGCAGCCGCACGGGTTCTTTAATTGCTCACCGGCGGTGGACGTCCCTCCGAGCACGTGCGAGTTGGACCTCAAGGACAACGGGATGGCTGCAAAACCTATTCAGAACGGGTTACTCGCCAAGCTCTGAAAGGATGACGTACCTACCTACGAATCACAGGGAGAGATTGTACGTATCCATCTCCATATACCAATTGAAAATAACGCGGCGTGCTTCTGAGAACCTAATTATTTTTAAGGTAGACGATGAACTGCTAATCATGTTATAATAAAAACATCTGGTGCTCAAACGTCAGCCCTTTGAATACATAGTGACAATGTGGTGCTCCGAATGGGGCTGACTATTTTTTTTTTTTTTTTTTAATTTATATACTATAATATCTGAAATAAATGGATATCATTTTAAACATGTTTTTAATATTTGTTATCATATAATTCTTCCGCCCACAGGCTCTCTCAATCCTGGGTTCATTTGTTAATTAATATTATATATTTTATTAGGTTAAATTATAGGAATTGGATCTTCTCCTGAGCAGGAGATCAAGATCCTCCTGACCGACTAACACAGGCCGTTAGATTTTGTTCTAACGGCTACAAGCTGGGGGTCCCTCTAAAAGTTATAATAATTGTAGCCGTTGGATCAAAATTTAACGGTTCATGTTAGTATGTTAGTGGGTCAGGAGGATCCTGATTTCTTGCTTAGGAGAGGATCCAATTCCTAAATTATAAACGTCAACTTTTGAAAACAAAGACAGTAATCACAGTAAGTAAACTCAGTTTTGTTCACAGAAGCTGATGGTGTTGTGCATGGGAATATGATAGGCTTTGCTCACTTTGCCTTTCTTGTGTTTTGCTAGGGGTTTAATTAATAGAAAACTAGATTTTAATTCTTAAATAAGATCAATTTTAGATTAATGTATGTACAAGATTTTTTTTTTTTTAAACATTATTATTTACACTAACGGGGAGGGAGATGAGCTTAGCCTCACAATGGTTTAGCAATAATGTGATTCAAATTCTCCTTTGGTGAGAATTAAATTTAAGATTTCTTACTTATAAGTGAAAAGTAATACCACTAAACTGTAATATTAAATGATAATGTACGTACAAGATTTAAAATTGAATTTAGTCTCTTGGTTCTATTTAAATGTGAGCATTTATATTTCATGACATTTTATTTCTTCTTTATTTTTGGTAATTTCATGATTTTTCTTTTAATTTTTATTTTTTTTCAAATTTACACTAATTCATTATAATATTTTTTGGTACATTAATATAGTTCGTTATAGATCAAAGTTTTTAATAAAAAACAATTGTATTCTGAAAATTGTGGTTTTAAAGGAGGTGGATTGTTTGGCCTTCCATTTACATACCCTCCTGTGATGTGTGATCACGGTTAAGTCACATCAACATTTTATATTAATTTTTTATATACATAATAAAACAAAATGTAATAGGAATATAAAATGTTGACGTAACTTAACCGTGACCATACAAATAGGAGGGTATGAGGAGAGTATGAAAATGGAAGGGCAGACAATCCACCTCTGATTTGAATGGGGGGAGAAAATTGAGAAATGGAAAATTCCAATCAAAACAGTTGGTCCTTTTGGCAACGACCATATTTTCCTTGTGCACCAAGGCACAGAGTATTTCTTTTTTTCGGAAATATCCCCTCATCCACGCTCCAATTCCGCGTTTACTAAAAACTCCCACTCCAACTGGACCCCACGCCCTTCCTTAAAAACGTCGAAACTAAAAAAAATACAGGGAGGTTAGAAAGTCAGTCTGAACACGAAGTACCTTAAAAACGGTTACAGAGAAGACTAATTGGCTCGTCTCCCCACTAATTTCTGAGAAATTATAGTAAAGTAATGTAGTACCACGTCAGCCGTCGTACTTCCATTCAAATTTATTCATGTGTCATTATTTATAGGAAATTTTAACGAAAAACTCACGACACTGTTCATTCAGGACACGAATCCGTCTGTTCCCTTAACATTAAATTTATTCATGTGTCATTAAATGAGATTAGATTCATCCCTGTCATTCAATCTCTCCCTCCTCAATTTCTCACGACAAGCTTTTGCCCTTGATCCTCCAGAGCACGAATATGTCCGTCCCCTTAACACCACCAATCAAACAGTCAATTTCGTGACAAAAAGTTTGGAGCTTTCGTGACTTAGAAAGCATTACATTTCTCTATATTTCAGATTTCATCTAAAATGGAATAGGAGGAAATAACTCTTGTTGGGGCACTCTTTTTCCTGTGACTGTGAGGCTGAGGAAGCGGCGGCAGCCGGAACATCAACGGCGGAGAATTCGAAATCACCGAAAGGAGTGTCGTTGGGCCGAAGGAAATCGGTGGGTTGGGTTTCGTTGATGTAGTCAAGACACTCTATCCATTCCCCCATTAGAGATTACAAGAGAGACTTGAGTCCTCTGCTATTAATATGATTCTCTGGACTTTTGATGTAAATTTAAATTTGGTTATTTTTGAAAAAAATTAAAGCAATCATACAAAAAAAAAAAAAACAACAACAATTTAAATTTTGTTTATGATATCGAAAGTTGTTTATTTTGTTTTATGAATAACTAGCCTCTTATCACATCGATACGCTTCTGACAATAGATTTTTTTTTTATTGTTTTACTTCTTTTTTTTTTAATTTTGCTTATGTTAGATATATTGTTTTTTTATGGAAATACATTTTGAAAAACAATGAACGTAATCACTCACATTTTCACTACATGCGTATTATGAAAACAAAGGTGGTTTCTGGTGGGTTTATCCTAATTAAATTTCATTTCATTTGGGATAGGTGGTTTCTGGAATTGAAAAAGGTTTTCTTCGGTTTCACAATTTTTAAATTTTAATTATTTAAATTAAAAAAGTAAAACCAGTTCATTTCCAACCGTACATAATGGGAGCACATGTCAGATTTTAAGTGGGAGTACCATAAGTGACGTGGAATTACTGTACCACACTATAATTTGTCCTTATTTCCAATCCACGTGCCCTTTCCGGGAGTGACTTAATTTCTAAAGCAATCATACAAAAAAAAAAAAAAAAAAAGTTAATCTCAATTTACTACTCTTAAGTTTCATGATTTTCAACATTTAGTACGTGAAATTTTTTTTGGTCCCAGTGTCATACTTAAAGTGTTAATTTTGGAACAATCTCATACGTCCGTTAGTTTGGCTGTTCTGTTAACTGATGACGTGACGTCTACATGAACAATGATTGGGCGCTACGTGTCAATAAGGTCCTACGTGGATATTAAAAATTAAACATTAAAAAATTGGAAAAAAAAAAATTTGGGCATCCTTTTTTTTTGGTTATGGAGGGTCGGGGGTTTGAGGAAGAAGGCACCTATTTTTTTGTTGTAATTTTGTAATGTTTAATTTTTAATATTCATGTGGAACTCTTATTGACGAAAAAATCTTGTGTGGAGTTTGGCTTGTCACTATACTTCGCTGAGTGGCACTACAATCCACTCAAAACTCGCCACATGATAAGTCTTAAATATAATCTTTTATCATTCTTTTATATTTAGAATTTTCATAATTATTTTTTCTACTAAATAATATATATTAACCTAATGTTTCCTTCTTTTTTTTCTTTTCTTCTTCTTCTTTCCCCCTTTTTTTTTCTTTCCAAATTCCCCTCCACTTTGTTTTGCCGTAGGTCTTCAATACTCTCTCCCAGTTTTGTTTCTTACTTTCCTTAAAATAAAAATTCAACACCCACTCCAATTTTATCATGAAAAGCAACCAATAATCTGTAAGTTTCTTTTCGTTTTTTATAAATAGTTGCTTTGATCATGTGAACTTGACATGAATAACCCACATATATATGCGTATTAGGATTATTTTTTCTTAATTATATTTGGTAGAGATGTACTTTCTTGAAAATAGAAAACTACTACAATCAAAACAAAGTGAAAGATAACAAATAGGTTGTGAAAAAAATTAACTTAATAATCTGGAGTGTGCACTTTTGTATTTATAGAGAGGAGAGAAACAGTGGGGGGGAAGAAAGGTTTGTATTTGGAGAGAGGAGAGAAACAGTGGGAGGGAAAGCAAGCAAAGAAATCTTATGAAGAAAAAAAGTGTAGAATTTCATAAAAAGCAAGAACCACACCTGGGAGAGACAGAGAGAGAAAGAAGTGGGAAGAGAACGACAAAAAAGGGAGAAAGAAGGGCAAAAAAAGAAAAAGGAAACATTAATTTTGTACAAAAATAATGATGAGAATTTTAAATATAAAAGAATGATAGAAAATTATATTTAAGATTTGCCATATGACGAGTTTTGAGTGGATTGCAGTGCCACTTAGCGAAGTCCAGTGGCAAGCCAAGCTCCACATAAGTTTTTCTCCCCATTGACACGTGATGCCCAGTCATTGTCTGCGTGGGCGTCATGTTATCAGTTAACGGAAGACTTAACAACCAGACTAACTGATGTATGAGACTGTCCCAAAATTAATACTTTAGATATGACCTTGGGACGAAAATTTATGTACTAAATGTTGAAAACCATGAAACTTGAAGGTAGTAAACTGAGATTAACACCCCCCCCCCAAAAAAAAACAACAATTTAAATTTTGTTATGATATAGAAAGTTGTTTATTTTTGTTTTATAACTAACTAACTTCTTATCACACCGTTACGCTTCTGACAATTTATTATTTTTTATTGTTTTACTTTTTTAAAATGTTTGCTTATGTTAGATATTGTTTTTTTATGGAAATACATTTTGAAAAACAATGAACGTAGTCACTCACACTTCCACTACATGCGTATTATGAAAACAAAGGTGGTTTCTGGTGGATTTATGTTATTTAATTTAATTTCATTTGGGATAGGTGGTTTCTGGAGTTGAGAAAGGTTTTCATCAGTTTTCACAATTTCTAATTATTTAAATTAAAAAGGTAAAGCCAGTTTATTTCCAACCGTACAAAATAGGAACACATGTCAGATTTGAAGTGGGACTACCATAAGTGACGTGGTATTACTGTACCACACTATAATTTCTCTTAATTTTCAATCCACGCGCCCTTCCTGGGAGTGAATTTAATTTTTAGATTCCCCACCAGCAAGAACAAAAGCGGAATTTCAACAGTACACAGCAGTCACCTGACACCCACGCAAACATATCGACGAGTATTAAACTGACAAAATACCCTTCCCTTGTTCTTCCCCCGCATTTTTAACTCGGCCGCTGACTCGCCATCGACTCCATTGACTCGCCCTCTGCAAAACAAAACACACAGTAGAAATTCCTGTGGGCGATGGCTTCGGAGGAGAGGCGAATAGAGGACGAACTGTCGTACCCGATTCTGCTGGCGGAGCGGGTCCGGACCGCCGTCAACGAGGCGGAGTCGTTCAAGCTGGAGTGCTCCGAGGTGGGGAAGCAGGTGGATCGTCTGTCGCAGAAGCTCCGAACCGTGGTCCGGTTGGCCACGGCAGCCTCGGTTCTGTACGAGCGCCCGATTCGGCGCATCGTCGCCGAGGTGTCGAAGAATCTGGAGCGGGCCCTGACCCTGGTCCGTAAGTGCAAGCGCCAGAGCTTCCTACGACGTGTCGTAACCATCACGAGCGCCACGGACTTCCGGAAGCTCTTCAACTTCCTCGAGTCCTCCGTCGGCGACATGAAGTGGCTGCTCAGCTTATTCGACCCGGACACCACTGGCAATAACGGAATTGAACTCTCCCTCGCCCCGATTGCCAGCAACGACCCGATTCTCTCGTGGGTCTGGTCATTCATCGCCACCGTCCAAATGGGTCAGCTGCCGTATCGTATCGAGGCCGCCAATGAGCTCGCCTCGCTGGCGCAGGACAACGACCGGAACAAGAAGATTATTGTGGACGAAGGCGGAGTCTCGCCGCTACTGAAATTGTTGAAAGAGGGCTCGTCGCCGGATGCCCAAATTGCGGCGGCGACGGCGCTCTATAATCTGGCGGGCGATCAGGAGAAGGTGAGGACTATTGTGAATGAGGTTGGGGTGCCGATTATTGTGCAGGTTCTGGGCGACTCGCCGATGAGGGTTCAGAGCCGTGTGGCGACCCTGGTGGCGCGGATGGCGGAGCATGACAGCATTGCCCAGGAGGATTTCGCCAGGGAGAATGTGATCAGGCCGCTGGTGACGCTACTGTCGTTCGAGACGTTTGGGGAGGATCATAATAATGATCAACTGGGTAAGCAAAGCATTCATTCTCTGATTCAGATTAATAAGGAAATGGAGAAGAGCACATCAGCAAAACCGCAATCGAGAGGCAGTAGCAGTAGCAGTAGCAGTGACAGTATTCATAGACCTTATTCGAATACGTATTCAAGTTCTTCGTATTCTTATTATTCGGAGGGTAGTAGCCGAGGCGGGCATTACAGGAAGGAGAGGGAGAATGAGAAACCTCATGTAAAGCTTCAGCTGAAAATTAGTTGCGGCGCGGCGTTGTGGATGCTTGCCAGGGGCAGTGTTTTGAATAGTAGGAGGATAACGGAGACCAAAGGTTTGCTTTGTTTGGCTAAGTTGGTGGAGAAGGAACAGGGTGAGTTGCAATTCAACTGTTTGATGACTATAATGGAGATTACGGCTGCGGCTGAATCCAATGCTGACCTCAGACGAGCCGCGTTTAAGACCAATTCTCCGGCTGCCAAGGCGGTTGTGGATCAGCTCTTGAGACTGATCAAAGAGGTGGACAGCCCGATACTGCAAATTCCTGCTGTAAAATCGATTGGCTCGCTTGCCAGGGCGTTCCCTGCTAGAGAGACGCGGGTCATTGATCCGCTAGTGACTCAACTTGGCCACAAAGATCTTGAAATGGGAACTGAAGCAGCAATTGCACTGGGGAAGTTTGCTTGTCCGGATAATTTTCTCTGTATGGAGCATTCGAAGAAGATAATCGAGTCCAACGCTATCCCGCCTCTGATGAAACTGCTAAGAGGAAACGAACACTCGCAGTGCCACGGATTGATTCTTCTTTGCTACCTTGCATTGCACTCTGGGAATACCTACTCTTTGGAACCGACTAGGGTATTGACAGTCCTTGAAGGGGCTGATCGCAGTGCACTCCCCCATCATCCCGAGTTGAGAGAGTTGGTGTCCAAGGCGATATATCACCTCAATCTGTACCACACCGGAGTTCATTCGCAAAGGATGACATTTGACATCTGTGCCATGAATACAAATTCTCCAAGGTAGAAGATCGAAACGTTTTTTAATGGAAGGAAACAGGGATCGTCGAAAGATAGTTGATTAATAAGATAAAAGTGCAGACAGTTACATTTCGTTTTAATCTTTTGAGTTTCGACCTGCACGGGCGATTTGGTCGCGCCCGACTCCATGTTGACCACGGTAGGGGTAGGCATGAGAGTGGCCCTGAGCATGAGTTGTCCGAGCCAAATAATCATGCCAAAGTCTCTCGTGAACAGTTAAATTGTTTGGTGAGTAGGATTCCAAAATTAGTGAATCAGCAGAGGTCGGACCAACTCCAGCTGTAGAGGCTCTCTTGTGCACTCATTATCGGCCTCATGGCCTGTCGTCCCTGTAACAAACTAGCATCATAATCAAAGAACAACTATACATTGTTTACAATTTGTTCATGGAAACTAAAATAAACTTGCACGGGAAAGTTCGAAACTGAGAACACTAACACCTGGATGCTATCCGCCCACCATGGCAAGCAATTATACAAGTTTTCTCATACAAACAAAAATCTCAACTAGCTGAGTTTCCAAAACATGCCTTGGTCACAGTAAAGACATCAAATAATGGTTTACTTGTTTGATACGGGTTAGCAGTGGACTAAATATACCTGAGGGCCAATTCACCTGTCGCTTGCTCCCCCGCTCCTTCTGCAAGGCGAATCCTGATCAACCTCAACATGTCCTGGAACCGTGAGATTGATATTGTAAATTCACTTCATACAACATGGTTGGCCATCAACAATCCCTTTACAGATACAAGCAAATGCTAAAGTAGAACTGGTATTTCAGCTACAGTATTACTTGTACATCAATCAGGCCACACTTATAGAAGAGTGCATGCACGAACCATTGTTGATAACAAAACTGTCCATATCCAATACAAGAAAGAAACTACCATCACTCATCAGAAGAGGATGACTACGCAACCTCGAATGGTCGCAGGAACCAAAGGGGTATTTACAAACCGTCAAGAAGTTGAGGACGAAGCACGCCAATTGTCGACAATACACATTACATGATCACGCGAAGTTGCTGAAAGCTGTTGAAGAATTACATTCTTGACATGAGCCGCGGCACTTTCCCCAGCTCGGGTAGCAAGTTCCAAGTACACTACAGCCTTCATCTTTTCTTGTTTCTGCAGATATTAGCATCAAAGCTTCAATCAGTCAGACTCCCACATACCATAACAAATTAAATAGTTACACATAATACTTGGAGCTAATGGAAGACTTTGGAGCAAAACTGAACGCAATAGCGTTCTATGATTCATACAGCCGACCCCACTTAGTGGGATAAGGCTTTGTTGTTGTATGACGAAAAAGATGAAAGCTGCTAGGGTGTTTGGCCATACAATCAAATCAATGGATCCAGCTAAAACAATAATTTTATGAATGCAACACATGAAACTTACAGAAAAAAGAGCGACCCCATACTCATATTGAGCTTTACTGTGACCGCAATCAGCTGCCTGCTTCATCCACTTTCTCGCTTGGCTATAACTGCGAACCAATCCTTCCCCAAATTTGTAACACAGAGATACATTATACATGGCACGCAAATAACCACCTTCTGCAGCTTTCAAATACCATCTAGCCTGTACGAACAAAAGAAAGCTTATCAAATGACAGTTCTGATTCTGAATAAGGAAGTACATCGGGCAGAAAGCGAAGCACACAGTGCCTAATGCTATCATCATACACAAATGGCTGCAACTTAATAGCTAGAAATTAAATTGGAACTGCATTTGGTTAGGATATGATGGCATACCGCCTCTTGTATGTTACGATTCACCCCGCGGCCTTGATGCAGACAAAGTGCCAGTTGGTACTGAGCTCGGGTATGGCCGTCGTAAGACGCACAATATAACCATTTTACAGCTTCCTTTGGATTTGGAGGTTCAGCTGCATTTTTCATAAGCACAATTAATGCAGCACTGATTGAAAGCAGTACAATTGCACCCAGATAGACCGTACGAGTAAATTCCAATCCCACAAAAAATTAAATTCTATCACAAATTTTCATAATTTCAATACTAAAAAAGTAGATAATTAGTAAAATTAATACCTTGCAAATACGAAATCCCCAAATTGCACTGCCCAGCAGGGTCGCCCAATTCCGCAGCTTTCTGATACAAAGCGACGGCCTTCTCCTTGAGGCCCCTCTCCCAGTATATGAGCCCGGCGTCCACCATAGCCATGGGGGAACCACAAGCCGCACCCATCAGAAACGCGTCGAGCGCCTTGTCCGTATTCCGGCTGACTCCTCCGCGGCCGTGCTTGAACCGCTTCCCCCACCGCATGTACATCATCGCCTGCCTCAGCTGCTGCAGCGCCTCGCACCACGCCTTGCACGCTAACGACGCCGCGCTCAGGCTCGGGTGGCTGAGCGTCAGCCCGATTTTCGTCACCAGTTCTACCGGCAGCGTCGAGTAATCCCGACGGTCCGTTGATGATGATCTACTAGCGGCGGTTCGATTGCCGTGCTTTGTCCGGTGAAGATCGCTGTGATTTCCACCCTTGGCGCTCCATAGCGGGAGCGCCTTGAAGCGGGAGCCGTCCGATCGACCAGGCCACGTCGTCTGCTTCATCTCCGTTTACCAGAAGATTTGCAGACTCACAGTCACACTCTCGCGGACCGACCGACAGTTCTGTTCATATGATTAAATATGGGGCCAATCCGCAGTGCACCCTGATGATTGTTGATGACTATTTGGGTTTGGGCTTTTGCTCATACAGGCCCGTTGGCCCACTTAGTCCCCAGCCCAATCCTTATTTTTTCAATTAGGGTTTTTTTTTTTGGGTATCATTGGAGCCTTTGGAGGAAGGGAAACTGAACTTGGAAATTCTTCTATAATTGTGAACATCATTGGCCCAAAATTTTCTTTGATTGAACAAGTTTAAAAGAAGAATAACAATTTGGGTTTTTTTCCCCTTCCCATTGTGGTTCTCTCCACTAATTCGACAGTTTAACGACACGATTAATGTATTCGTTCGAAATGAGAATTACCAATGCACAATCTTCCCGTTTGAATAAGCTTTAAACTTCTCGCTAACACCATTCACTTTTTTTAGACAAAGTTTGTTAGATCTCACATCGATCAGGGGAGAGGATCCTCTATGCCTTATATGTATATGCCCACCTCTATATAGCACGAGGCCTTTTGGAAGCTCACTGGTTTCGGAGTTCATCGGAACTCTAAAGTTAAGCGAGTTCGCGCGAAAGCAATCCCATAATGGATGACCCCCTTGGAAGTTATCGTGTGAGTTCCCAAAAACAAAACCGTGAGGGTGTGGCCAAGGCCCAAAGCGGAAAACATCATGCTATGGTGGAGTCGAGCCCGGAATGTGGTGGAGCCTAAGTCGGGATGTGACAAAGTTACTAAGAAAAATTTAAGTTATAAATTACAAAATAGATCAACCATAATTAAGTATTGAACTTCTTATTCATAAAAACAAATTTGTATTCAATTAGTTACAAGAAAGAAAAAAAGTATTACTAAATCCTAATATTGGTGCTAAAACCTACAATCAGCCGCTTTAATTTCCTTTAGACCATCTCCAATCCTTGGGCTAAAATCTAAAATTTTTAGCCCAGAAACAATTTTTCTCCTCCAATCATTCTGGCCTAAATTTTTTAGCCTGACATTATTAAAGAATAAATTTAGGCTTATTTTTTCTTTTAAAGTAATTTAAAAAAAAATATGTACACTATCATAATTTAATTTTATGAACATTTTAACCTAAAATTATTTAAATTCCGATAAATATTAAAAAATCATTAAATTTAGATGAATTTTGAGTTAAATAATATTTTTAATTATTTTAGCCGTTGGATTCAATAAATCCTGGGAAACATGCCCATGTGGATGGAGTCCTGCTGGTGGTGCCCGTACCATTTTCTAGGCTAAATCCTGAGGGGAATTCGGCTTTTATTTAACTTTTAGCTTTTAGCCCACACATTTAGCATGGGTTGAGTTGTGTATAAACGAGGAATAAAACCTAAAAAATAGCATTTAACCCAATGTTGAATTTGACCTTAAGAACATGGTTAAAATATTTGTCTCAAACATTACACGTGAGCTCCAACATAATAACATTTATTGACTCATAATATTCAAACTAGGATCAAAGACTACATGGGGGAGTAGAGTCAAACTTGGCGGTGGAGGAACTGTCACGACCATTGCTTGTTTTGTACGGTGGTGGCTCCCAAAAAACCCCACTACCAAGTCGTTGCTAACTTTTTGAAGCATGAAATTTCAACCTGTAAAATCCACACCCCACCCCCAAAACCGTCAGCAAAATGGAGCCCCACATCCACATGCCGCCCAATGACTGATAAGTTCTCTTTCTATACGTAAAAGATTGATAATGTTACGGAGACTATAATTAAATCCTATATTGTAGACTACATAAAGAAATGATAAGAATATTTCTTCAAAAGTGAGATCCTTTATAAATTTTCTGACATTTTATGTTTTTGGCACAATGTATCATAATGTTAGCACGAGAATTGATATTAAACTATGAGATGACTGAAAGTTCATGTAGAGTCCCACTTTAACAGAATTTCTTTAGCATTTCTCAACTATATAACATGGTTATTAATGATTTAATTATTATTTAAATATTAATTAACGTGCTTATTTTTTATTACAATATGATTTGAAATTTTAATTTATATAGCTTTACTCTTTATGTAAATGTTAAAACGTCGCATGTTAATCGGACTTCACTCGTCACAAAACTAGTTGTAAATTTCGAGGAAAAAGATTGCTTGCACTATACACATGTTGCCCCCACAAGAAAATAAAACAAGATTTCGATCTTTCCAGTTCATTGTTTATGGAGTGAAGGCCACAAGGACATAACAGCTGTATATATAGAGAAGAATTTACAAGAAACTATGGAATTGTTAAAACGTTAATGCAGTGGTACTTTAATTACGAGATATTTTTTTTTCCTGTTCTTATTTCATCACGTGTCAATTGTTATTAGGTGTACAATGCACTTTTTGAAGTGCCAACATTTGTTGAATAGTAATGTCATTAAGAGTCTAAGATTGAATCTTGATTAAGTATATGAAAGAATTTCTCTTTAGTTATAGTATTCAATTGTCATTACGTAAGTAAATTAAAACACATGACAGATGGCTTGATATAAATTTAAGATAGCGTCGCCTTCGTATTCGGATTGCATGTTAGTTTCACCGCTTGTCTACGAAACTTTTAATTGTTAAATAATTTGTCTATAAGTCAAAACTTGGTGAGGACGACGGGTAAAACTTTGATATGCAACTGGAGTGGTTAGTTGACTGGGATTTTGTATTCTTTGAAATCGTGATTAGTTGAGTGTATTAACAATTCTTAATCACTTTGTGGTTTAAGTAGTGGTACAAAGACTACATCCAAATCCGTATTTGGTGGTGATATGACATATTCTAGCATAATCACGGTTTAAAAGTTCTTTCTTCCCTTGTCGTTTTCTAATGTGGTTTAGCAAAATAATATGCAATGTAATCCAATATGAAATATGAACCTTAGCAAATATCCAATATCCTAGTTGATATGTTGTTGAGTTTTTACACATGTTTTTCGGCTTCGAAACTCCCTCCTTTCATAAACTATTGTAATAGTTTCGAACTCTCTTTACCTTTCTAATAATAATAAAATTTACAAATAAAAATAGCCATAGCATGCCAAAAATCCTTGCTAAATACAAGAGATTTTGCAATGTGCTTAGAACATAGGTGGTACACCTAAGTGCAAATGGAAGTAAGGACCAAGGTTGTCCTAGGACCATCTGAGTCTGAAAAATACACATGTGAAGGTCTTCTGAGGACCCTCCGAATGTTTGGTACAGTCCCTTTTGTACTTACTAAATATTTGATGTAATGTATATCTCGACATGTTGCGTTGATAGCATTCGACAAGTTCTCTATATATCACTCATTAGATTGCTTCAGCGTATGTCGACATGTGCATAACAAGCCCACCAAGTAAATAAACTGAATTTTTTTTTTTTTTGCATGCTTCGCGTTTTGTTTCTATCTAAAGAAACTTATATTTAACACTGGGACCCCCAAGGTTCAAATTCTGGATCCGCTACTAGATACATCACATGGTATTATACAAGTGATGAAAAATCTTATTTTTCAAGTGTCCCACCACTTATATAACGACATGTGGTGTAACAATTGGTATTCTGAGCACACTAAAAATTTCTCGCAAAAAACCATTTGCTTTCTCTACCAAACGTTGTACGATAGCTGCTCTGAAATCTTGCATTATTAGGTCGACTAACAGAACCATAAAAGCTCCCCTTCACTTATTGTTTTAGCATACATTTATAGATTCTCTATGCAAGACTTATGAAGACGAGAACAAGTTATATTAAATGAGTTTATTATTATTGTGGTTTCTTGATTGGATAAAGTAACATTCTGAGAAGAAAAAGTTATATGTTACATTGTATTATTGAACAAAAAAGTTATGTTGACGATGAATTCATATTATGTAAATCTTCTTTTGAAGACAAGATGTTTAAAGAAAAACTTATTGCTACTTAGTTTTTGTAAACGTTGATAGAGTTTACTTTTGTTTATCGATAGGTTGAGTATTTAAAGTATCGAATGGTCCTTTAGAGCTTTCGGTACTTGAAACCTAAAATTAAAGTGAGTAACAAGTAAGAACTAGAAACTTAGGATTCTCTCATTTCCTATTCTCCTCTTATCCTCTCACGCTTTCATTTTTGTCTTTCTCTCTCTATCAAAAAATCAATACAAGATGTAGATGTGTCTTAATCGTAACTGCTTAAATATGAGGGGAGAGAATGGGAGGGAGATTAAGATGAGAGAGAATCATTCTCCTTAAACTCCAAGCTTTAAATGATTATACACCTGGCAACAATTTACATATTAATAAACCATTTCAAAGATAAAGAAAAGGTAGTGCTAACCACACATTTTTTTACCTTTCATACACCTCTGTTAATTTTTTGTCTATTGATCTTCTTCAATTTATTAGATCCAACAACCATAAATTGAGAGGGGTGTGAGAGGTCAAAAATGGGTATGTGGATAGCACCACAAAGAAAAATTGAACAAAAGTAAATTTTCTCAACACACCGTGCCTTTAAAAATGTAGGGTAATGCTATTCACACATCTCTTTTTACCTCTCATAAACTCTTGTTAATTTTTGTTCATTGATCTTCTTCAATTCATTCGATTTAACGGTCATAAATTACAGAGATGTGCGAGAGGTAAATATGGGTGTGTAGATAGCACCACCCAAAAACAATTGAACAAAAGTAAATTTTCTCAACACATCATGACTGTAAGAATTATTGTTCAGAGTCATATGGCTTATAGGGTAGCACTATTCACGCATCCTTATTAATTTATGTCCGTTGATTTTCTCTAATTTATCCGATTCGACGATCAAAAAATGAAAAAAGCATGTGAGAAATAAAATAAGTGTGGTAATAACACCACCTTTATAAATAATATACAAACCCTGCCATCAGCATAAAACCAATTGGGTTTCAAGCCCCTTCCATGAGCATTCCATATTCTATTGCAAAATGGAAACTTTAATCAAATTAAACTACAATTTTCAGAGATAAGTGGGATCCTCAATTATTGGTGTGCAAAAACTTAAAAGCTTGGAAGTGCAAAATAAGGGCCATTCAAACTCACATAGGATTCTAATCCTTCCCTCCCACCCCACTTGTGATCTGTCCTTTTCAATTAGGGCATGACGTGAGCTATGACTCTATGACCATGTATCAATCTATCACAATTCACAACAGCTGAATATTAGTCCAAGGTGGGTGAGTGGGAGGTCGTCGCTCATGGCGTATGGGACTCTATCACCAGACTCTTTAAGTCTTAACAGGATGATGATGGCAGAACTGCACAGCTTTCTCAGCCACCTGGGTCCATGGCTCAAGGGTTCTGTGGCCTGTGGGGCTTCCTCGGCCGGTCAGGACACTAAGATAACGATGTTACATACCAATTATATAAAGGAGGTTTAACAAAACACTTCTGGTACTGTTCATTTTTAACGAAAAACCACATTTATACATTTCCCTGATACTATTTACTATACCTTTAAAAATGACTTTTCATTAAAAGGGAAGTTTTTTTGGACTTTTTGTTAGTTTTCCTATTATATAATGCTATGTAACAAAGTTAAAACAATATGGAAATGCATGATAATTTTAGAACACTAGTATGTCAACATGAGATAAATACGTTAAGATGATGGCTAGTTTGTGAGTAAAAACACATAATAACTCGTGATAAGTTTAAGACGCTATCATCTCATCTTTGTGTCGCATCTACTAAGTCTCAATCAGGCCCGCCTTGAAGGTAGCCCAAGTAGGCGCCCGCCTAGGGCCCCCACTTCGGAAGGGCCCTCAAAAAAATTTTATATCCTGTAATTAACATATAAATACAAAAAAAAAAAAAAGTAAGAAATATCATAATTCATTTGTTAGTGCAGTGGAAATGTTAGCTTCATTTTTCTTTGGGGTGTTGAGTTTGAAACACGAAGCTGTTTTTTAGTCACTAGATTTTTCTTGTTTTTCAAATTTACTCTCAATCCATCTGTCCAAATGCATATAAAGTTATAAAACTCAAGTCTCTGCAATTTTTTTTCTTTCAACTTCTCATTCTCTCTATTTCTATCGAATGTTTAAACTAACTTCTCATTCTCTCCATTTCTAATGAACGTTTAAACCAACTATCATATGGCCTTAAAGATTGTACTTTAAGGTAATCAAAACTTTGAATTTTATATTTTTCTTTTCAATAACTTTTTATTCAATAGATTATTTTAATATTTAATTCATTAGTGTGATGTTGATTTTAGAAGGAAAAAAAAAACACAAGATAAACAATTTGCGTTGAATTTATTATACTCGTCAATCAAGTTTTATTGTTATTTACTCTCTTGACTATTGTTCTTCACTCTCAACCTTAAACTCTTGACTGCAAATATTTAATACATTTGTGTCTAAAAACGTGAATCGTGTAATGTTTAAATAATGTTTGTATATTTATTTTCTTTTAATTTTTAATGATATTTGATATGAAAAAATTTTTACGTAATTGGCGATTTTTTTTTTATACAAATCAATATACAAAAAACCGAAGATGACTGAATTTTAAGACCCCACTTCAAAGGCTCTCCTATGTCTCTAAATTCTCAAGATCGGTCCTAGTCTGAATGCTATGGTCCTACTGAGGAACAGTCTCACCTTATCTTGTAACCCATTGAAGGGGACTTCTTACCCTATAGACTCACAGTTTGACAACTTTTTTGGATGCTTACCAAGATTTGACTTGGAGTTTGTTAGTCTCCATGCCTAAGCATGATCATGAACAAGAACTCTTGAAGAAAAGCGATCGCATTTGGACTAGGAACCAGAAAAAACCATTTCCACGTGAGTTAGGTCGGTTGATAAGCACTGTGTCCTTCCTTTTGAACCGAGTTTGATTCGAACAGATTAGAGTAATTTAAAACCTCGCCGTGTTCAAAAAACCAAAAACCAGAAAAGGAGCAAGAGGCAAGAAATGTCAGCAATCTCACTGAGCAGTGAGCAGAAACAGAGCAAAAATTCATGAAGCAATTAAGCTAAGATCTGGAATTTTATTTATTTATAGTAATTACCCTTTACATAATCATCTCCTAGCTACCTTCCCAATACGAAGATCCTAAAGATTATCAATTCAGACTAAAAAAGCAACAAAAACTAAAAAAAAGCAAAGAAATTGGAGCCAAAAGTGCATCTAAAAACCGAAACTTTCAAAAGTCAATTGGCCCTCTCAACATGGCGTCGTATAAACACGGTTTCTAAATCTGGAGGAGTGAAGAACTCCCTAACACCATTAAATTTGCACTTTGAAGCAGCCGCCTCTTTTCGTTTTCTGGGAGCCGGCGGACACGTCAGACTCGCCGGAATCCTGGACTCTTCCGCCGTGGGAGTCGTCGAGCACTCTTCCCCGTCATCTTGCTCTACCGGGTTTGTATACAACGGCTTTAACGGCGCACGTAGTGGGATTCCGGCGACGACCCATGTTTTTTTAGGGTCGGAATCGAAACCCATGTGATCCAGCGGCTGAGATTTCCCGGAAAATCCCATTTCTCTCTGGGAAGTTGTAGCGGAATCGGTGAGATATATATAGCAGGGAATAAAGGGTGGAATAAAAAAAAGATGGGTTCTTTTTTTGAAAAACGAAAGATGGGTTCTTTTTCCTTCCCTTTTTGCGATGAAAACAGAGGAGGCAGGGAATAAATGGAAACCAGTGGGAAAGTGAGAGGGAAAAGATGAAAGGGACGAGAGGGAGAGAGATGGAAAGGTCGTTTGGATTTGGGTGGTCTGATATCAGTGACAGGGAAAAGGGGGGAGGGAAGAGGGAGAGGGAAAGATTGCGCTTTAAATGTGGGAAGAGTTTTCAGAGTTAATGTTCCGTTTATACCAATCAGTCAGAGAGACTTCAGCGATGGGAGTCACAGAAACAGGGGGAGAGAGAGAGAGAAAGAGAACCCGAGGAAACTCTCGTGACATAAGCAAAGTAAGAGATAAAATAAAGAGAGAGAAATAAATAATAGCATAGGGTTGGGAGGGGTGCCCGGGGAAATAGCTGAACCGGTCCGCGGACGGACAAATGTTTCGAGGATGGTGTCATATTGCTGAGATTAATGTATATAAAAGTTTATACATAAGATGATATTATTGGATTGAGATGTCGTAATAACAGTGAATTTGATTCATATAAATTGTTTTTGATATCGTCACGCAATGTAACTTAAAAAGTTGATGTTATACACAAAATTAGTTGGTGTAATAGGAAAGGTAACTCAATTCTTTTTAAGTTTTTACGAAGTTTGTTTACAATTGACTTTTAGAATTGCTACATTTGTCTTCTAGAAACTCAAAGTTAGTCGACAAATACAAAAAATTCAAAAGTACTATTGGTTTATTGAAACACTCTTTCAAGTGTTTAGATTCAATTACTTATAGCAAAAACGTTTATGAATCTAGATAAACAATCTCAAATCGTCTCTTAATTTTTCAATTTGAGACATTCTTTAAGGGAAGTGTTATTGGTACTCCAAAAATCTTATTCTACACTCATCACAAGTGTATTTTTCTTTCCTACTATAGAAAGTTTGGAATGTAGAATGAGATTTTTGAAGTGCTAATAACAATTCCCTTCTTTAATTCCTTGCAATTACTAATTTACATATTATCACTATAGTGGGATTGATACATCATGGACATATGATAATTTTCATAAATAAACCCACATTCTATGACATGGGGGAATCAAGAATATTACGTAGCTGCATAACAATTATACTAAAAAAATGTTGGGAAATGAACACAAATTCTTTTAGCCTCTTGCACACCCTTGTTTAATACTGGTCGTTAATTTTGCTTGACTTATTAAATATAATGGTTAGAAATCAAGATGAATGTGTGTGAAACTAAAAAGAGTGAAAATTACCCTCCAAAAAAGTTTTTTAGCGTGGTAAACCGCAACTCACATGTAGCTTGGCAAACCAATCATTTGTCGTTTTCGCATCATACCCGTTATCTTAACGAGTCGTGTCGTGTTAATCCCGTTATCTTAACGGGTGACCCAATAACGAACCGATTCATTAACGGGGTCAAGTTGTTTGGTGTCGGATTATCATGTCATGCAAGAAATTGTCATTCTAATATCTAGATCTGGCAAACGATATCTTATCGGTTATTAACAAGTGACTCGATAATGTCCCAACACATTAACGAGTTACCCAATAACGTCTCGACTCGTTCACAGGTTGATCCGAAACCCATTATTTTTGTATCAAGTTTAACGGTCATGTAAAAAATTGTCAAGCCTGCTTACATGGGTGGGGGGGTCCACGGCAGGATTGCAGCCGAGAGCGGCGTAGAACGGGGCCAGGGGAGGGAGGAGGGAGATTGACTTGGATTTTGGCGCCAAGATTTGGGGCCTAGGGATCGGCAACAGTACTCAAATATTCCCTTCTCTTTACGGATGCCCGCTCTTTTTCCCATTTATATTTTGATCTTTCGTTGCGTCACTCTGCGTGCCCTTTTCCCCTTCCTTTTTTCTTCTTTAATTCCTGTGCCTTTATTATATATCTTTTATTTTCTCATATTTCTTTGATTGGGATCAAAGCAATACTATTATCAAATCAAATTAAGCATCATATAAAGAAAAACAAACAAATTAAACAATAATCGTCGTGGTGTACTCGTAAATAGAATGAAATGTCAAAGCGATATTGATTTTCAAATTTAGTGTCTGAAGTAAAAAATCGTGTTTTTTTCTCTTGTTTGATAAAGTGCAAGATCGAACTATAATGTGGAGTTACACGAGGTATTTATATAATATTAAAGGGTAAACACATTGCACTTTTGATCTATGATTCGATTCCCATCCATTCTACTTACCCATGCAGAGCATTTTTTTTTGTTAGAGCTAGGCACCAAATCGATCAAACCGACCGATCCAAACTATATTAGTTGGCTTGGTTTGGTTTTGACTAAGGAAAAAGGTCAAACAATTTAAAAAATTTTACCAAACTGATCTACTTTTGGTTTGGTTCGGTTTTGATACTTTTGAAACCAAACTGAATCAAACCGATTATTAATACTTTGGTTTGGTTCAGTTTCAATGGTTGTATTAGTCAAAATCTAACCAAACTAAACCTTTGAATACTGGTTAATTCAGTTATATTTTTTAATGTCAAACCAAATTAACCGATCCGCACTCACACTAGATTTTTATGATAATGAAAAGAAGTTTGAGCATCTAAATGATTGTTTATAGGAAAAAGAAGAAAAGCAAAAAGAGGAGAAGAAACAAGTACTTTGACATCCAAAATCAACCTTTTCCATGTTCCAAATTCGATGCTCATTAGACTTGTTCATTAGGGTTGTAGGGACAGATCAAGTTCTGCGTAACCAGATCATGCAGATGTCAGAACCTTCCCATTCCTCCATGCTTTTAACAGTCTGGCCACATTGCCCATTGATTTCTTCACACAAACACAAAACACCACTCACTCCCACGCAAGAAAAGTATAAAAGCCATGTTTCTCAAAGTGGTATTACAACTTGGCAAGACTTTCCCTCAAAATAGTGAGTCTTATGTTATCGAAGATGTATCTCATCTAGCGATAAAATAATGTTTTGTTACGTGATAAATAAGATACAATTATGCTAATGAGTGAAATAAGGTAATTCGCTGACTAAACCTAAAAACAACATGCATTGTGCCAAATTCCTATTAAGTATGAAGAGAAAACATACGAAGACTCATTTGGATTACCTATGACGATAACTTATCTAATCCAATCCTCATAAATTGTCGGATATCATCACCTTATAACTTGTCCATTCTACTTCCCCACAAAGTGAAAAACCCTTCACCTTTGCTCTCATTTCTTACTTCAATATTTCTAGAATCCTTTGATTCAATCCAGTTCTATCAATCCAATCTCAAGCACCAAACAAGTCATTCCTAAAAGAGCAATTTGTATGAAACGAGTTCATCCGACGTGACATCCCGTGCAATAATCAAATATCATGTGAATAAAAACTTACACATAACATAATGTTATTGAATTGAGACGTCATCGTCGTGGCAAACCATGTAAGTTCTCTTTCCAAAGCTAAAAGAAAAGGGTAGGACAAAGTTAATGGACCAGAATGAGCAGTATAGTAAGGCTTTAATGAAGTCTCCCATCACTATTGGTCCCCATATAGCTTAAAGTTGGAATTTAGTGCTCTGCAATTTTACATCAGAAGCTGGAAAGCAGAATTATAAATACATACAATATTTAATATGTAAGAGGTGAAAGTAATTTTGGACAGAAGGAGGAAGTTTACAATTTATGCAGCGTAATGTGAAAAGTAGACAGGTTTGCAATACTAGCTTTGCATAAGCTGGAGGTTATAAGAAACCTTTTGATTTTCCGGATCTTTACATCCTCGAATAGCCTCTCTGACCTTCGTATTGATCCATGAACTCGTCGTTGAACTTCTTGAAGCTATCCATGATGGCCGGCATGTCTTCCTCAGCTGGTAAGATGGTTGTCCTCAAGTGGAAAACCCTACATGGAGAAGTAAAAATGAAACAATCAGAAACTGTTGTTTGATAGTGCAGCTAGTGTAAACAGAATTTACGGTGTCCCTCTAATACTTCTGTGCAACTTATTACACTAGGCTCAGTAATGCGCATCCTAAGATTTGTGTCGCACGCTAAAACTGAAGATTGCTAAAAGTTATTACCCTTCTTTCTGTCCGAACCCTGATCCAGGGACGGTGGAAATGCCAGTGGCTTCCAAAAGCTTGAGACAGTAGAAAACGTCGGGAACTTTTCCAGCCCGTTTAGCAGCCTCTATCGCTCTTGGTGGCAAGCGTATTTGTGGGAATGAATACATTGCACCTAAAACCAATTTTCTTAACCGTTAACATAAACTGCCATTATTTCTATGAGGCAAACTTGAACGAGTTGTAAGGACCTGTAATACTTATTTAAAGCAACTTTTTACCTTCTGTGAAATTGCAAACGACATTTCTGCAGCTGTTAAATCCATCGGTCATAATATGTGCTCTTCTCCTCAAAGATTCAAGGACCCCCTTGCTGCAAATCAATAATTCAAATCCATCATTATTTGTCGCTTCAGGAAGGCATCTCTTGATACCACTCATCACCAACGTTCCAAATCTCATATCATATTGTGAATTTCAGATAAACAAGAAATACCTATGGTTACCATTTTTGAAGGTTTTCATGTACATCAAATCGTTTACATGAAAAGATGGTAAAAGCGGAGTCAAAGTTAGACCTATCTAAGCAGCGACTTTGATGAACCATGGAAAAGCAGAACGGCTTTTGCCATTTAGTTTCCATTTAATAATAGGAGCAGAAACATTCACGTATACTTTTATAGGGCATACCTTTCCCTAATAAACTGCTCATATGAAATGTCTCCAGGTTTCGGAGGGTTGACCATCATCCCCATCTGCAAATAGACCAAGTAATTTCCTAATTTAGATAAACAGTTTCGGACAGAAAGATGAGTTCTATAAAGAATAGCACATCGACATATTTAGTTTTCACTCACAAATATTTGTGCAGGAACATTTGGACTGAGTGCTATTGATACCACCTTATATATCTCATCAACTGTCTGCAACATGATATCATGAAAACAAACACATCAATGAGCGTCGGAGCTTATATACTGAATTTAAGAATGCTTGAATTTATTCCATTCTACGAGAAGATGGCCTGATTGATTCAACATGCAAGCATCAAACACTAATTTATCAAGGTATGAAATAAAAGCTTAACTTGTTCCAGTATTAACTGACATGTAACATGAAAGTTAGGAGGCTTCTAGTTGATCAAATCTTAAACTTGTTTATAATCCCCTTCGTTTAAAACTCGAGTTATGCGATGCCAAAAGACAAAATAATGGAGGCACAAACCTTTGGAGGGATGTTTGTCATCTCAAAGTATCCACCCCGCTGTCCACATTCACCCCAATATCCTTTGGAGACGGTGTGGAAAGAGACAAGCTGGACTTCCTTGCTTACAGGTAGCCCCATACCCATCAACACCTACAAGTATTATCAGAATTAAAGAATTACTTACCGATTGGAGCTGAAACTACAAGGAAAGGCACATGCAGTTAACTCTGATGGCTAAAAGTATTTACCTTTCTAGCACTAATAAAGGGGCGCTCGTCCTGGTATACATTCTGCTGATAAACTTCATCCCCAAGCAAGACTAGGCTTTCATGGTAACAGAAGTTCAATATTTCTCTTAAATTAGCTTCACTAAGACACTGACCAGTGGGGTTTCCAGGGTTTATAATCACCATCGCTCTTACCTGATTGTATTGCACTAAATATTTAGTTGGTAATAAAAAGCATGACAGAAAGCCAACATTGATTGCAACCATAAGAAGAAATTGACATTTAACCCTATATTCAAAAGGGCTTAGATATTAATCCAGGAGGCAAAAGGAGAACATTGGAAAGGAAATTTCTCCAAAAGCATGCGGAAACAACTCTATACTTTGGGAAATCCTTATTGAAAATCAATCAGCCAACGTATTAAAGTGCCTGCTAAATGTCAAATCAGATTGCAGGTTGCTCCTATTCATCCATTCATCTAGTTTACTCTGAGTTTGAAAACACATATCCTGCAATCTTCCATAAACGAGCCAAAGAAAAAGATACTAACAGTGATTCCATTCGCGCGAGCCTGTGCAACTGACTGGCGAAGATTATTAACATCAAGACCCCAATTTGCTGTTTCCTCTAGGTAATACGGAACAAGAGAACCGCCAAACAGAGATATTGTAGCCGAATAGAGTGGGTATTGTGGGACTGGAACCAGAATCTACCAGCATTCAAAATAAGATTATGTTTGGAGAGTATTGAGGTGAAAGCCCGAAAAAGGAGAACATTTATATAATCTGTTATCTATTGTCATTTAGGATGATAATTACCCCATCCCCTTCACCACGGATAATAGCATTCAAGATCTGCATCACACCTTTGCTGGCACCATCGGTGAGATATATGAGCTCTGGGTCACTGTCATTGGGGCACACCAAAAAATTAACAACTTCAGAACCAAATTAACAACTTTATCGCCTCTGGGAAGAAAAAGTAGAGTAAAAGGATTGATATCTAGCAATCATCACCTAGGATACCCATCACGTTTCTCAATGAACTCTGCCACTTCCTTCCTAACTCCTGGAATACCTCGGGAATCACTATAAGCACCTACATATACAACGTGAAGGGAAATATTCGTTTCAAGTTAATAAAAGGCGCTCTTAAACTTTGGCGGCCCCAGAAACAACTTCTCAGCTATGTTTATTGCAGATAATGGGGATGAAGCAATTTCATGTTTATAATAACCGGCAATAGCAAGTTAGAAGGTAGGAAGAAATTATTGGAGATATAACATAATAATTACACCAACTATTGACAAGATAAGATGTTTCTCTAGCTTTCAAAATACAAGAGAAAAGTTCCAATTAACATGATTCAGTCAGATACTGAGAAAATTTGATCATCACAACATGAACATGACATCGACTGGTTATCACTAGGGCAGATCATTGAGGAGAAAGGAAAGGAAGATCTTATAAAATATGCTAAATTTTGAAATAAAAGAACATGTCTTTCAAAAAGTTAAGATTGGCAGCACCAGTTAAACTATTTACCAGTTGTGCGAGTGTGTGTAATAAGGTTTTGGGAGTTTAATACACGAAAAATCATTCTTCAGTGAATTGGATATAGTCAAGTTCTTTCATCATGATAACATCACATGAAAGGCAGGTAGGGGAAAACTGATACCTAGACCACCCGAAGTAATTGAAAGATAGTGTTTAGCTCTTGAAATTGCATCAGCAGGAAAGAGCAGCCCTACATTAGGGTCATCTAACAGAAATGGAGCTTGGCATAGAGCAACCACCTGCAACAAAAGATTACTTGATCAGAACAAGTTTTACAGACAATTCAAGTTAGCAACTCAAACAATTCAAACTAAAAAAAGTAATAGCTTAGCAACGAAAAAAACTATATGAGAATATGAAGGACCTGGCGAGGGAAAGTCAGTGGCTTCTGTCCTAGAGCGTGAGGATTCCCAACATTTGTGAAAATAATCTGCAGACAAGAAACTGAAATAATGAGACAGCGCGAAAATTTGATATAATTGTCATTGGGACAATTAATCCACTTAAACTCTGTTCTGTTGCCATATATATGTTAAGTTGATTGCAGTTAACAAGACACGCATGCCAATTTTACAAGAGTGAAAGCCAAGAAAAACCGCATTGCCGAAAAACAAAAAAAGAAAAAAAAGTGGCATCTGTACCTTCTTTCCTTCCTTCTGAAGCTCAGAAGCTCGAAGATACAGCTCACCTCTAACAGCATACTGAGCCTTTTTCACGTTCTCATTCAGTGACTCATAGTCCAATGCCTTAAGGGGCATGATGATAGTTTTACGTTCTTAAAAGTTTTACTCCAAAGCAATGAGAAGGCAAAGCAGCCAATTTATGCACTCACTCCCTAACCTGCAGATTTTCGGAGTAAGTTATTATAGTAACAAGAACAAAAACAAAAACGATCATATGGAAAAATAAAAGGGTTCTTCACAAATAATTCCTTGAAAAGTCAAAACTCCATTCCATAGTTAAGAACACTATTTTAAAGAAGAACGAACCCTGGACCGCGCCGTTATTGCACCAGATTGTTATTACACAACAGGTGAGGGTTTTTTTTCCTATCAGTTATCAGGAAGACTACACTCATTGAGTGAAACATAGCACGAAAGGCGAAAACAAACATATATGTTGTGAAGATGGCAGCTTGAATACCTACCCAGTCACCAGCTAACTTAAATCGCAGAACTCATTATTTATTCACCTAAATTCTGTATGGCCTGCAGTTTTTTCAGTGTCACCATGTAAGGTGACTATGACTGGGGCAACTAAACCAAAAATTAAAATTTCACATTTGTTGATGCACAAAATCGGCGAGGACTTTGGTACAACAAAAAGTGTCAAGTTTGTAACCTTCGCTAGGTTGTTCTGGTTATTAGTGTGGATAAGTATGTAAATGAATATAGACAGGGAAGTAAATAACACAAGATGTACGTGGTTCACTCAGATTGGCTACGTCCACAGAGTAGAGGAGTTCTCATTAGTTGTGAAGGGTTTACACAAATACATAGATTCAAGCTCTTTTTTTGTGAGTTTTAGTGAATAGTTTAGTACAAATGACATTAGGGATTATTGTGGGAGAATGATCCCCTTTTATAGAAGAAAGTTTCTAGTTTTGTTGTGACATTGACACGTGTCATGTTGTGATTGGTCTCTGATATCGACACGTGTTGCGCTGTGATTGGCCTCTGATACCGACATGTGTCGCGTTGTGATTGGCCTCCTAGTTGGAGGAAAAGTCTTGTGGGTCCTTGACGGTATGCTGTTGACCGGTGCTTAGTAGTTTCGGGATTGATCAAGTATGGTACAAACAACATTAATAATAAACTAATTCACTGAATGGACTAATCATCCTGATTAACAAACTAAAATTAAGAGAAAGCAAAACCACACCAGCATTAATAAGAGCAACCGCAACCACAACTATCGAACCCAAAGCCTAAACAATTATATCACAAATCATGAATCCTATAAAACTTGGAAAAGATGTAATATTGTGTTCAGAATCACCAGAAACAGGACACCCCAAACGCGGAAAACCAAAAAAGAAACGACTGGAGTTGGCAAATGGTAAAACTACAGATGAACCAATGAGGCACCGATCACATATCTTGACCAAAAACCAAAACTTTAAGTTAAACACCAACCAAAAAGTAAACCCCTTCGGCAGATTGACACAGAGATAATAACCGAATTCACCAAAAAGCTCGAGGAAAAAAAAATAGAGAGAGAGAAACTCAGAAAGGTACCTGCGAACTTCTGGGTTGGCGGCGAAGTCTGCGGAAGTTGCAGGGAAAACCCAGGTGGGTAGTGTTCTTCTGGCAGGGGAGATGGGTGCACAAGTTCACTAGTGTGCTCTGACGTATAAAAAATGAAGGGTTTATTATTATTGTATGGGGGAAAGGATCAGAGAGAGAAAGGTACGAACATTAGTGTGTGGTAAATGACGTGAAGCAGCAGAGCCACTGAAAATATTTAAACGGATTATTGGTATAATTCTGCCGAGGGAGAGGATAAATCTCTTGCGATAAATGTGGTGCAGCTTTAACACTCTCTCGGTCCTTCTTTGCCAGATAACGAGAGCGTTTTGGCCTTCTTCTTCCTTTTTCACACAATGTGATTGAGATGCCATTGTCGCTCTCACCATCAGACTTATTCACCCAGAATAATTTAGTGGTTGATATTTTCCATCTCTGTCTGTATAGCTGCAGTCAACACCACTTGAAGTGTTTGAGTTGATTTGTAACTCCATTTTTTTTATCCAATATTTGTAACTTATCTTTACAGAAGTTGGCTAAGTGGGAATTGGATCCTCTCCGAGGCAATGCCTTCGGATCCTGTTGTTCGGACAATATAGACCGTTAGATTTTGATCCAACGGTTACAAAAAGAGAGTTCCTCTAAAAGTTTGTTAAAAAAAAATCTAAAATTTGAATCATATTATTGCTAGACAATTGTGAGGCTTAACGCACTCCTCCAGTCCCTTAATGTATATAGTATGTTAAAAAAATAGGAATTAACTTGGTTTCTTAATGGATAAATAGGAGTTCCTCCTTAATTCACTACGTAGCTAATTTACAGATTATACTTATGATTAGAATAATTCATATTATAACACACTTCGTAAAGATCATCCTTACAAAAAATTCAATAAAATATGAGATTGTTTAGTCATTGAATTGTATAAAAACAAATGGACGGATTCGGTGAAAGCATTAAGAATTGCCTATCTATTTACCATAATTGATTGAATAAACAACCTTATTTGTAATTGTATTATAACCCGATCATGCCACATCAGTCAACTTAACATATGACAGTCCTTTCGAAGCCCAAAAGGCCCATAAACTATAGCTTTTGATGGTCCAGCTGCCTAAGCCCAGGCCCATACTCAGTTAACACTTGCAGAACAACTGTCGCTATCAGCTCACAACATAGAGCTCTGAAAACCCCAGCGAGGGTTTAAGAAGTTCGAGTGGTTCCTTCCGCTCTCTTCCTCTCATCTTCCGATGACGACGACGACGGAGACCGTGAGGCTTCGGGTGGCATTCAAGGAGCGCCACATTCTGAGCAAGTCGCAGAGGACACAAGGACTCCGGCGGAGCTGGATTCTACTCAAACCTCACCTCCGCATCATCTCCGACCTTGCCGCCCATCTCCTCCACGCTTTCGACCTCCACCGTTCTTGCCCCGATGGCCTCCTCATCTCCGTAAGAATCCCCTCCCCATAACCTAATTCCCCAAAAAAATTTGAAATTTTAACACGCAATTTTGATTTTTTTTCGCAGATGGATGGGTTTGTGCTTCCGCCTTTTGAGTCGACCTCCATTTTCAAGGATAAAGATATTATCAGGTCAGTTTATGCTTGTGTTATCGGAAAATGTGGGGTTTTTTTTATTGGGTTTGTATTTTGATTTGTGATTTGAACAGTGTGAAAAGGAAAGAGGGCGCATTGTCTGAAATTGCATTGATTGATGATGGAATAAACGCTATTGGGGTGGAGGAAATTGTGGAGAGGCAACCAATTAATGGAGGCATGAAGCTTCTGGCTAATGAGGAATTCGAAAAGGAGACCGGAGGATATGATAGTGATTCGGAAGAGGATGAACCTGACCAATTGGAGGATATACTTCCTGTTGAAAATTCACCCTACACCGGGTCAAACAGACGGTCCAAGAAAAGGAAGCTTTCAGACAAACCTCAGAGCTCTAAGTATGTAGTTTACTCGATTTTCTGGTTATTTGCGACGGCATGCAACAAATGTATCATTTGTATGGTTGGTATACACGTTTATTCCGGGCAAAGGATATCATCACAAGAAATTTGTTTTAATTGTTGACTTGTGTTTTAATTGGAACTAAAATGAAATAGTTATTTCTTCCTCATCCAGTCGAGGTTTCTTAAAATAAAGAAGTAGTTATATATATTTCCTTACCACATCTGTCAGCGATACTTTGGCGTTCTAACTGCATTCCTGTATATTATTATGTAAGTGTTTAAGGTGTTTATGATATGATGCACGTTTGATGAGGCACCTGACTTGCATTTATATATTTCAGGAGGAAGAGAATTAAATCTGCTGCTACCGCAGAATGTTCAGGTTTACCTGAAGACCTTCAGAATGATGTCCGTGCGGAGAAGAAAGAAAGTTCTCCTCAGTCTCGTGTTCTTACCAAAAAGAGTCGTTCCAAGAAGGAAAAGTCGTTTAGTGTAGAGGATGGACCGGATAATTCAAGAACTCCTAAAACTGACAAAAGAACCAATGGAATAAGTCAATCACTGCTCAATGGAAAGAGGTAGCTTTCTGGCCTTTTTATATATGATGATGATGATGAAATGCAAAAAGTATTGTTCCCATAGTCACCATTTTTGCTAGCTAAACCCTATAGAGCTAGGTTTTTAGAATTTTATGTTACCAAATTTCTGTAAGACTGTAAACATCTCGTACTCACCATTTTTGCTCGTTTTTTCATTTCCCCAATTTTGTTTGATAGGTCCTGTCAGCTTCAAGAGAATGAAAAAAAGGGTGTGGTTTCATCTGATATGCCTAATGAAATTAAAAAGGTAGTAGTTATCACTATAATCTGAGATGTACGTGCTGTATATCTGCTATAAGTTTAAATTTGTCAACTCTTTTTATCTTTTTTTGTCCTAGATTCCTAGTAGAAGTGCTCGACGTAAAAAGGCCAAAAGGCAATGGTTGAGGGAAAAAATGAAAGCTGAGAAGGAAGAGGTAATGCGGTGTTTAAGATGATAAATAGATAAAGATTCCTCTTTCACACACTTACACCCACAAGTGCACATGTCTGCACACATGTGGGAGTATTTCGTCCTTCAGCTTAAGTTGATTTTCTGAAGTAAATATATCTACTTTTTACAAGAGGGACTACTTTTTTCTCCCGAAATAAAATTATCTATAGTGTTCCAATTTGCAGTTACATCAGACGCAATTGCTCAAAACAAATAATCAGCAATCAACTGGTAAAGATAGACGTCAACAACCAAACACAAACAATGAAGGAGAGGATGAACAATCAGACACAGATAGTGACGGAAAGGATGAGCAAATGAAAACAGATAACAATGAAGTGGATGAGCAACAAAACACGGATAAGGATAAGGAGGAGGATATTGTTCCTGTAGTAATTAGGCCAGGACATATTCGCTTTGAACCCCTCGGAAAAGGTATGTATGGGTCATATCTTTGGATAGACAATTACTTATGGCATTTGAGTTCAGCAATATTTTTTATGATTTCATACTTGAATTATGGATAATTTGTTACTCCAATTATCTGATGTGTATACTTGTTCCAGTGGACGGAGATCAGCCTATTCAGCAGAATAGAAATCCAGTGGTATGTTTCTCTTCTTTAGATCATTATAGACTTTTCTTCTTCTGTAGGGGCTACTGAAACTACTCAAAAAAATTTCTTTCTTGAAAAGTAAGTTATAGGGTCTTGGAGGCTTGAAAAGAGTTCTTGATTGGCTTAATCTATTGAGATATGTGATTTCTTCATAATTGTATGTCCTGCCTGCTTCAGGAAAATTTTCAGTGGAATGGAATAACCAGCAAGAAGAGGGGTCAAAAATGGGGTATGGAGAACACCCCACATTCAAGAAGTGACCATGAAGACCTGAATCAAGAGTCGCCTGAAATACCGGGTAACGAAAAAGATCTTCCCGTAAATGACCACATGGACTTTGATAAGCTTGAGCTCTGTACCTCTTTACCTAAGGTTGGTAGCTTTCCTGCTTTCCGTTTTGTTTGCATGGATATTTGTTTCCCTCATCTAAGAAAAGATGTTAGAAAAATAAGAGTTATTGGCAGTTGGCTTTGTACAATCGCACCTTTTAGCTGCTTGAAACTTTCTTATGTCTTTTGCACATTTAGCTAATGCTCTGGACCACTTTTGAGTGAATAAATTGATATAAAGCCAGATGATACTGTAAATTGTTTTCCATATCAAAGTCACTCTTGTCCTTTATATTCCATTTGTTTTAGTATTAAGGAAATAAGTATTAATTTGCATTTTATTGTGTTGCAGGAAGGTGATCAAATTGCATATCGCTTGATTGAATTAACATCATGCTGGACTCCTGAAGTTTCCTCATACCGAGTATGACTCTTTCTTCTCTTAAATATCTATTGACTGTTATGAACATAAATCTTTACCATCAAAGATTTACTTGTCCTGTAGGTTGGAGAAGTGTCACGGTATGACCTTCAATCAAATAAGATTATGCTAGTACAGGTTCCAGAATATCCCATTGTTTTTGCGGAGACAGATGAGGCATCTGATGTGGTACCAGATACATCCCTTTACAGGGAAGATCGCTCTCTAGAGGTATTTGAACTACCGCCTTTCGTAGTGTTGCGAAGTGTGATACATTCATTTACTGTTGTACTACCCTTTTTTGATGATCAATATTTGTGTGATCAAGTTATAGTGATGACTAGTACCGTCATCCTACGACCCTTTTTGTAGTTATATGCACTCATCTTTTATTTGCCTATCAGTGGCTGTGATTTACTGCTTCATAGTCTTTGATTGCTAGCATCTGACAAGTATTGATCCTTTTGCAGGTGGATTATTCTTCCCTTATTGATGTCCGCATTGTTAAGCATGGCAACCTCAACACAGCCAAAGCAGTCCATGGAGATAAAAATGCGGCATCAGGTTCCAGGCAGCTCGACAAAGACAAGGAAACTCGTGCTGCTGCAAAAGGTACTAATTGGATTTCCACATTTCGTATCTGTTTCTGCGTACCGGATGTGAAGGCTCAGTTGAAGCGTTAGACATATGAAGAATCTGAATATGATTGGTTGTTGTTGTTTACATATGTAGAAAATGGAAAAGCAAGTGCATGGGATGAAATCAGCAAGGCATTGAACGCAAAGAAGGCAGAACTGTCGCAGGAGGAGAATGGTTGGAGTAAAAACGATGGTTCAGTTAGGAGCTCGTGGTCATATAGGGGCTTGAGAGGTAGCGCATTAGGTCCAACAGTGGCTCGTTTGAGAGCTCAAGGGCTATGAAGACCTAATAGTGGTACGTTGCCTCCGAGGTAACTGCAGTCCTTCGTTTTGTGAACTTTCACAGAAGAAATAGAATACGACTTTCGCCTAAAAAATGGTACTTCCGGGGTTTGTAATGTGCAGTCGTTGGTGCAATTCAAGGCCATTTTGTTGTATATTGTGTTGTCTACTTACATTGGAATGTTTTGAATGGTCCAACGCTGCAAGAACAGAAACAATTACCTTATCAAGCCTGTTCTCTCGATCTTGCCGGAACTGAAGGTTGCGAGCAGAACTTGAGGAGCAATTCGAAATATGAGTTTGATTATCATTTCAACTTAAATGGCAACACCTTCGGTGCTTTACAGGGGAAAAATATATTCTTGATTCACTTATTTCAATCGATACTATTTTATCTGCCGTAAAAACAAAACTTATAATTTCTATCAGCCTAACGCCGACTTGTTCTCTGTACATGTTTCTGTACCACTCCAGACATCACTCAAGCCGGTAAGAGGCCCGGGATGCCAACTCCCCTCTCATGACCTGCAACTGTTCTGTCCCGACATCCCCTTAGCTTGGAAGACCACGAATCCACAACCTTCATAAAACCTGATTCTTCCAATTCTTCCGAGTCGCGATTATGTTTTCTGTATTGATATACGGCTGAGATGGATCAGGAACTGTTCTGGCTCCTCACCTTCTCTTATTATCTGCATAAATAGGCATTCCGAGGCAAAGATTAGATATGCTAATGTGCATTAATCAGATATTGATTAGAAATTACAGAAGCAATTAAGCAATAATTAAAAACAGAGAAACAATGTATGGTAATTACCTGTACAGGGGAATTCATAGGCAAACCCACGCGATCGAGGAAGTTGTGTCCTATGGCCTCCCAGTGAAGATGTCTATCCTCACATGTCGGACCTTGCCCTTCCTCGTGCAATACTTCGAGTCCCAACCAGACAAATAAGATACCAGGATTACTTGTGCCTGCACTCGTATCTGGAGCTAGCAAAAGATAAGCTGATCCAGTATGAAGTTTGTGAGATTGGTGTGCCTCCACTTTATTCAAAGAAGGCCACTGGTACAAAACAGGGTTGATCACTTCCGCTGCTTGCGTGATCCTTTCAGATTTCAATTCGTTTCCATGGTGACTAACGTTCACATCTAACATTAGGTCTTCTCTGTTGCTCACAGTTTCAGATTGGTTGCAAACAGTGTCCATTGCATCATCAGCCATGTCGGGTAAGGAGAAGGACCATGACCGTACCAGATTCCTCGGAACTTTTGGTGTTTCATCAACCAAAGGCACCAACATTCGAGGTGGAGGATTACTCCCTCTACGCTCCGCAATAGAGGGGGAAATCCCCTTACATGGCAAACCTGTATTTGCCATTTCCAAAGTACAGTCAGGAGAAAATGCTTCTGTAGGCGACGAGGGAGATTTTTTGAAAAGCAAGCTTGAGTTATCTGCCAAAGAGATATTCTTAACATTAAATGGATCTGTGGAATCCAAGCCAGAAGGTGAAGGCAGTCGAGAAGACAAATACGACAAGTCCGACCAATTGGAAGATGAGGGTGAAAAGGTAAATGAACTGGAGTTTTCAGAGGTTGAAGGGGAGAGTGTTGGGGATTTGGAGCTGAACTTAGGACTTCTGTCAGGAAAACAAGAAAATGAGTCTGGTGAACCACAAAGACTTGTAGGTAACAGTAACTTATCGGTCAGAGGAACAAAGCGTTCTACCTCACTAAGAGTATCCGTTACCCTACGTGGGCTTTTATTTGGATAGCATTCAAAGGAATCTGGTGAACCACAAAAGTGACGTGATGCTGATAATGGCGATGAAGGCTCAATTGGGGAGACAGAGTCTTCTGCTTCTTTATGAGTTTCCACAACCATATCCGATTCATCAGTGGATGCGGTAGGGCTTCGGTTCACCTCAGAAGATGTGACCAATTCTCTCATAATTCCGCTAGCAAACTTTTGCCGCAATCTACCCCATCCATTTTCTCTGGCTGGAAGGCAAGTTTCTGATTCGGTATTTGACACTGAAAATGGTGGAACAACCCCACCTGCAAGTACCTTATGAAAAATTTCGAAATCCAAATCATATTCAGCAACCTTCCTTCCACCAACCTGACCCCACATCCCTGCAGAAACCTTGTCACATGCGGAAGAAAAAGTTTCTACCTTTTTGGCATCTGCCTTGCTGGAATCTTCTGCTAAGAGTCCGTTGGAAAGAGCATCCCAGAACTCCAACGGTTCTTCACCTTCATTGATGTCCACAATCGGGCCCTTTGCCCTCTCATACTGGATGACCTGAAAGGCAGCTGCCTTGGCATTATCTGACATCATTGTGTTGCAATCCTTTCCAATCCAGACGTAAATAGCAGATGGAACATGCACAATGAAGGCCCCACGAGAGTCGAGTCCTTGTGCACCTGGATGTCCTAACGTCTTTGGCACCAGATGAAGAGGATCATATGATGAATGCGGGGCCATCCGATACATCCTTAACATGGAATTTGGGCTTGCAGGCACAGCATGTACCCTCTTCTGGCACTGAAGGAGTTGACAAGCAAAACCCATATTCGGGTTGGTCACCCCTCTCGCTGCCTTCACATACTGGAACGCATCTTCGAAGCTGTGGCCCTCCCTCCACATTAGGTATGCAATGACCAGAGAGGTGGACCGAGACACTCCCTGACAACAATGCACGAAAACTCGCCCGCCTTGCTTTCGAACATCTTCAAAATAATCAAACACATCATACAGTATACTCGTAATGTCCTCCGATGGGCTATCTCGCAACCAAAGCGTCTTGTACACAAGATCATTTCTGAAATACTCGGGAGAAACAAACCCAACACAGTTCAGCACATGAGTGATCCCATTCTGCCTCAAAACCTCGCGGTTCTTAGCCACGGCATCACTTCCTAAGAATATATGATCAGCAATTCTCGAGCATTCTTTGTCGAAAAACGCAAGCATATCCTTCTTAAACTCAAACTCTCTCCCAGGTTCTTCTGGGTTCGAATTCGGAAGCGGTTTAGCCGAACCTCTCGGGGTCTGCGGTTGAGGCCAGACCCCGAGATCATCAGACCCCGCCCGCGGCCACTCCTTAACGGTATTTCTGGCTATTGAAAGGGGCTGAAGAGGAGGAAGGCAAGACCTCGCTTTACTAACCAGCTGTGGCCTCGGATATGGAATGTTAGGCTTATAGGGTGACCGGTCAGACCACGAAACCGACCGCAAGTAGGTTTTCCGGGAAGTACTTCCGGCGAGCCGGTTTTTCTCTTCTTCCCCTAACATCTCAAAGTTTTTGACAAAAATTCTAAAAACTAATCGATACCCATTGAAGGATACTTCCAGGAAATAACATAGAACCCATCAAGTTGAAAATTTTGGCATAAATAGTTGGTATTGAAATTTCAAACCCTCTCTCTCTCTCTCCTCCTTTTCTCACCTAAAACCCTTGACCCTCTCTCTCTCCTCACTTTCTCTCTCTAAAGATTAGAGCTTTTCAATCTAGGCAGTTGATTAAGAAGCAAAATTCAAACACGAAAACGACTGAGTAAAACCCTAAACCAATAGAGACGAGCAGAAAGTTGGAACGAAGGAAAAAGTTAATTGGGATTTTTATTTAATTAACTAAATTACTTGGAAAGAAGGAAAAAGTCAGGTATTTTTTAAGAGAGACTCACTTGGAAATTGGAAAAATGGGCAACAATCTTTCCAGCTGAAGAATCGCTTGGTATGTGTGACAGACTTTGAAATCCGGGGGAGAAGAAGGGAGAAGAAGGGGAGGAGGCTGAGTTTTGGGACAACGAGTTGGACTGAGTCACTTGGGGTTTGGAACTTTGGAGTGTTGTTAATGGTGGGGTGGTTTTAGACAGGAGGGGGAATGGGTCAAACTGCCACGTCGTACATGATCTAACATGCAAAGCATGTCGAGTCTTGTGATGTCATTTACGCATATATGTCGAGTCTTGCGGAGGAATAGCACTCAAATTACGTGATTCGTAAGACAGTTTTCATCATTTAAAAAAAAAAAAAAAAAAAACTAGAGGTTTTGTCATGAAAGTTTATTTTTTCGGCGATTGAGAAGACTTACAGAAGAATTTTAATATTCTTCTAGCCATCATCGTGTGATTCATCAACAATAAAAACCGAATTCATGACTTGCCGTGTGAAATAAAACCTAAAATTCGTCTTCAACCATTGAATCACCATGTTGTAGTTTTGTACAATTTTATAAAGGTACGAGATTTTATGTGTTTGATAATTTAATGTGGATTTCATTTTTGAGATTTGAGAGATATCAGTTAGACAACTTGTTGAAGTTTTTTTTTTTACTTAATCGAGATTTTTGGATACATAAATTAACTTGCACATTGAGGAGGAGAGTATCTCCTCATGATAAATTATATCATGTTATATTTATGTCTCTTATTACGTGACTTGAGCTAAAATTGTTTCGAGAAGGGCATGGAAATGGGTAACATGTGTTCTCAATTTCAAAGCAAGTAAAAGATCAAATGTTGAACTATAGTGAGGGTCAAGTTCTACACACTACCATCGTGATATAAAATTCAATTTTCTTTAACTATGAGTACACCCCTTAGAATTCAATTTTCTTTAACTAAAACCCATCATGGTAAGTTTCTCTAACAAAAACCCAATGACTAGGCTCCAACTAAGCAATATCCATAATTAAGTTTGACTTGGCAAAATTTGTATTTGTTGATGTCTAAATTACCCTTAATAACACTTACTTTGGGTCTCTCACTTATTATCTAAATTTTATTTTACATTATTTCATTCAATTAAATGTCTTCAAATACCTTATGGAGATTTGGAAAAAAATTTAAATGTCATGATTCATATGCATTTAATAACAAAAATTTACATGATACCAATGTTCCTTATATATTTGTTTTCACATGATGCTAACAAGTAAATTAGTATATCCTACAACTATCAAAAAGTTTTTTTATTCAAAATTATCAATATTTTAAATATAAAATAGGTAAATTATTTTGCACAACATATATATAATAACAATATAAGTTCCTAGTAAATTATGTAATGATACATGCAAAATAATTTACCTACAAAATAAATAAATATTTTTTATTCAAAATTAATTAAATACCAATATTTTGCATATATATATATATATACACACACACACACACACACACAACAATTTGCCTACATGCAAAATAATTTACCTACAAAATAAAAGAATGTAGATTGATTGCACACTCTATATAATAATAACAAAATGTGGCTAGTATATATGTATTATCACATGAAAAATAAGTTACCTACAAAATAAATAAATGTTTTTAGCCAATTGATTCAAAATTAATTAATTACATATTATTAAAAATATAGATAAATTATTTGCACGCATATATATAATTTTAACAAAGTACCTAATACATACATGCAAAATAATTTACCTACAATGATTGTCAAACAAATAAACGAAATGAAACATATGATGGTAAGAGAAGTATAAAGTAGATAATTTTATAATAATAAGGCACTTAATTCCCACAACTATGGTGGATAATTAAATTCATTAACATAATTAGAGTGTTGTGGCACAATTGTAAATAGTTTGAAAATAATAGGTATTTAATTGTTTACATGGCAGTCTACTTCAAATTTGGGTTTTATTTGGATGTTTAAAATGAGATGGGTTTTTGTCGAGGAAATAAGTGTTGCATGGACTTATATCTGAGGGACCCTAAAATAAATAATGTATTTGACTAGTTTTGGGAATGAGGGACACCAGAATGTAAGTACCAAACCAATATTATATTATATAAAACCCTAATTCATGGTCATGCGTTCTGGTAGTTTTGATCAGTGTTTGAACCTCCTAGTAAAGAATGTCAGAAACTAAACATGGTTCGTCGATCTTTGAGGAAGTGTTTTCTTGGTCCTGCCATTTCTGGAAGGCCTCTCCTCAGACTGTTCAAAGTTCTGAAACCCTAATACTTAACGAGGAAGACAAACTGTCAACCGATCAGAGCGGCAGTGACGATTGAGTCCAACATTCTATTTCCCGGTTTTTTTTTATTTTTTATTTTTTCCAATCAGAATCGAGCAGCCAACAAGCATAACACCCCAAAACTCCATTAATAGAAGTTGAATGGAGGTGCCAAAGTGGTAATTATTAATGTTTTAAAAGACGATAGACGCTAGTTGGGCGGCTGATTGGCGCCTAAGCAAACTAGACGAATTTAAGTAAATTAATTATATATTGTATAGATAAGTGACTATTTATACTTAAAAAAACGTATAATTGTATTGGCATACATAAATTGCAAAATAAAATGTTATATAGATTATAAAGTATTAGAACATATTGAAAACACTAGAAACAAACATTTAATAAGTGTTCATCTAAGTATTTAGCAAGTCTCTTACATTTTATTGGTAAAATAAAATGCAAAAAGAAAGTTTTTGATTTTCTGTCTAAGTGAGAGTCGCGACCTAAGCGGATGCTAATGCGGTTTTAGACGGGCTATACGGACGTCTAAGCAAGTCTACACACATTTTCTTAATTTTCAAACGCCTAGGAACTAATCGGAGCAATGACCAACAACTTAGCACCTAGGCGACGGTAAACGGGACTTAGACGGCGTTAAGCAAGAATTTTTATAACCATGGTAATCATCATGACAATTCGTATTGCAAATCATAGCTCCAATTAAACAAGTGACAAGAACAAAAACAAAAATATGTGACCAGGAATTGACAAAATTGCCTTCTTGTTAAAGGACGATTGTTCAAACTTCCAAACTGATGGGATGGACAAGCGGTTGAAATTTGACCAACAAATATAGAATAACTTGCATGCATAATCCATGCTTAGATTTTAGGTAACTTTAACGAAAAATTTCTGGTACTGTTCACTTTAACGAAAAATCATATTTTTACATTAAAAAGTCAATTCTGGTACTATTCACTTTACCCTTTATTTTGTCATTTTCGTTAAAATTCAAAGTTTTCAAGCCATTTTCATTAATTTTCCTTAAGATTTTATGCACTAATAAGTTAAGGCAAAATTACATTTTAAATTTACAAATTTCGCCTACATAGAATAAGTCCCTTGACTATAACATGAAGTTATATTATATGTTTGTTTATTTAATTTAAAATGGTATAAATGGTCGATTTTTTATTTTTATTTTTGGAATTAAATTGATAAATTATATAATATTGTTAATAAAAAAATAAGAACATTAATCTACACATAATTAATAATTTAATCATCAACTTTCAGTCATTATTATTACACTAAACCTTTTCAGTGTAGTCCACATGAGTTGCACCAAAAGAAAAGAAGAAAATAAATTATCATAGCAGAAATAGAAAGGATTGGTCAAGAAAGGTGGCCAAGAAAGAAAGAATCAAATTGCTATTTTTATCCGGTCACCTACCCAACACAGACTTGTCTTATATTGCATGTCATGCTTTTATATTTTTATTTTTATTATTTTTTAACAGAGTGATAGTATTAGTAAATTAGAAGTTAATTGTTCATGAGGATCAAACCTTCACCAAAATACGTAGGCTTAATGTTTTCCACCACGGTGGTAAGACGTCATCTGCATGTCATACTAGTTTATTATTAACAAGTTCGGATGCAAATAAGATTGGGCCAACACAACCTGTCTTCAAAACTCAAAGCCCAACTCAAACCCAAAAGAAACATACTTAACTTCCAATTCAGGCCAGCCCAAATACACAGCCCAACAGAAAATCTTTAAACCCAACAAACCCAAACCCAAATCCAAATCCCAATCCAAATCCACCCACCCTCCCCTGGCCCGCGCCGCATTGAGTCCATCACCACCATTGTTGAAACCAGGTAGCCTTGGCAGCTGCTGCAGCTATACCTCCTATCGAATGGCTTCGGGAACCGACGTCGTTTCACCTGCAGCTACACCTAAACCCGCTCTTCCCTCCGCCGTCTCCATTTCCGGGGCTGTAGTCCCCCGTTTTCCTCTCCGCCGGATGCCATACATTCCGACGCATTAAGCTCCTTGACTGTCTCTGCTATGCATTCACTCTGATATGTATCGTAGTCTTGGCGTTCACCGCCTCATATACCGGAGCCGCATAGTGTACTACGTAAAGACTGGCCTCATCGATCAAGCACTACAGGTGTTCGACGAAATGACCCACTCGGACTGCCGGGTCTTCAGCGTCGACTACAACCGCTTCATCGGCGTACTCGTCAAGCACTCGCGGTACGATCTCGCCGAGCACTACTACTACGAAATGGTGCCGAAGGGGTTCTCATTGGACCCCTTTACTTACTCAAGGTTCATTTCTGGCTTGTGCAAGATTAGAAATTTCACCCTCATTGAGAAGCTGCTTCGGGACATGGATAGGATTGGGGCATTGCCTGACATCTGGGCTTTCAATATATATTTGAATCTTCTGTGCCAAGAAGACAGGATGGATTTCGCTTTGGAATTGCTTCAAAGGATGGTTGACAAAGGAAGAGAGCCGGATGTTGTATCGTATACTATAATTATTGGTGGGTTGTGTAAAGCTGGACAATTTGATATGGCAGTTGATATTTGGAATGGTATGATTAAGAAAGGGCTCAGGCCCGATAACATTGCGTGCACGGCGCTGGTTGTTGGGTTGTGCAAGGGTGGGAAGGTTGATTTGGCTTATGACCTTGTCATTGATGAAATGAAGGGTAGTGTTAATTTTAGTAGTTTGATTTATAATGCGTTGATTAGTGGGTTTTGTCGTGCCAGTAGGATTGATAAGGCACAAGCAATCAAGTCATTTATGAAGAGAAATGGTTGCGAGCCGGATTTGGTTACTCACAATGTGTTGTTGAATTATTCTTGTAATCAGTTCATGTTGGAGGGGGTTGAGAAGTTGATGAAGAAAATGGAGAGGGGTGGGATGGAACCGGATGTGTATAGTTATAATCAGCTTCTCATGGGCCTTTGTAAAGCTAATAGACCGGATAAGGCGTATTTGTTGATGAGAACTAGGATGGAGCCAAAAGGGTTGTGTAATGTTGTGTCGTACAATACCATCATTACAGCATTTTGCAAGGCAAGCCGTACCCGAAGTGCATACAAACTGTTTGAGGAAATGCGTCACAAGGGCACTGTGCCAGATTTGGTTACATTCACTATTCTTATAAATGCCTTTTTAAGAGAAGGTAGTTCAGAGATAGCCAAGAAGCTTCTTGATCAGACAACAGCGATGGGTCTGTTGCTTGACCGTATATTTTACACTACAATAGTTGATCACCTATGCAAGAATGGGAAGATTGAAATGGCTTATAGTGTTTTCAGTGAATTGTTTGAGAAGGGAATCACCCCTGATGTGATTTCGTATAATGCTCTCATTAACGGGCTGCTCAAGGCTTCTAAAGTGAGCGACGCTATGCATCTCTATGAGGAAATGCAGACTAGAGGGTGTAGTGCCGACGGGGTAACTTTTAAATTGATAATTGGAGGTCTCATAAGGGAGAATAAGCTTTCAGTCGCTTGTAGGGTATGGGATCAGATGATGGAAGAGGGCTTTACTCTTGATGGAGCTTTCTCCGAGACTCTGGTTAATGCCATCAATTCAAAAGATGGTGCATGAAAATGCTAAACGGTTAGTATAGTATAAAAACCCTTGTAGTTTTTATGTTCATGTACCAATATATGTCACTGCGGTTATACTGATTTTTGTCGTTCATGTTCAGTTGTATAAATTTTTTCGGTAAGAAGTGGTGTAAGTTTTGGTGCTTATCATGGAACCTGTGATGCTATGTTATATATGGTTTAGTGGTTCTAATGATTATGCTATCGTACTGTCTGGTCTATCACAGAGTCAATAGTAAGAGGCACTTGTTAGAGAGAATTTCACCTCATCAAGCCTGGTCTTGTTACCACCTTGTGCTCTTTCTGGCAAGCTACAAACAACTCAGGTACGAGCTTGTAGGATTGATTTATGTACATAAATTGCCTTTTGATATGAAGATAAGTACAGGTATTCTGCTGTTTGTAAGTGTCGTCAAACAATATGCATGGGTGTGGATGAGGACGTGGGGGGAAGATGGACAATGGAGCCATGGATGTTTAGCCTTTACATTGTGTGCTGAATAAGTATAAAGATATCCTGGATATATTCCAGTGTTTATGACAGTATATTTTACTGTCATTAAAAATTGACAGTGGCACTATCATAGTAGAAGGATGTGAGTAATATGCTTACTGAGTTATTAAAATCTTTGGTTCATAATGCAGAATTGGGACCTTGGATTTGTTCAGCCTGAGATTCAAGAGCATGATGCTTATCCATGTATGATTTGCCTCCCTGACTTGACACATGCATTCCGCTAAAAATGCCAAAAGGTACTTTAACCTACTTTGTTCATTTCTTTGTCCTGAGGGACAATAGATAATGCAAGCGGGCTTTGCAAGAACCAGACTACTTCAAGGTAATTGCTAACCTTTCCTCTCGTTCTAGTTTTATCACCCCCAATTTGTCTAAGGAAGGTCAACTAAATGGATGCCTAATGAAGATTTCAGAACTACATATTGATTTGGTATCCCTATTAATTTCTGGACTGATGAAGTCAACCTTTATTTATGGCTGAGTTCTTGGACTTGATTATATAGTTCTGAAGCAATCTAGAGTTTTGATTCTCGGCTTTTTTTTTTTTTGAAGTAAGATGAGATGATGTAAGCAATCTAGAGTTTAGATTCTCGTTCTGTTTGTTCTTTATTTTCTTAGGGTGCACCGTGACCTTCTTGTGCTTATAGATGACATGCAGAGGCTGCAGATCATTTTTAGGAATGTTAATGTGAGAGCACTATTAGTTTGGGCATGAAAATGCTGAAGTACGGCTTCTTATTCAAAATGCAGTGAGTGTCGGACCTTCTGCCACTTATCTTTCCCTCTTTTTCTTACTTGGGTTGGATGTTATTCTAGAAGAATTAAGAATGATGCCATTTGTACTTTTCCTTCGCATGTACAGAGAGAACAACCAAAAATTTCGGCCGTGTCCTCATGAAGAAAAGCGGATTAAAGAAGCTCGGGCATCCTTGCCTTGCTGGAGTCTTGAGGATGGAAGAAAGCGACGAGAACTTCCAAGGAATCACTACACAATTACAACACACCTGCTGACCGGGACTCCGAGTCACATCACAACATCATCCGGTAACGATTAAAGATGGTCTCTGGTCATGAACAAGTTAGTGTTGAGTGGTATATTTGGCAGAGAGTGTTTATATCCAGTTGAAATTTGTATCTTCAGTAGCATTTAGCTTTAGGCAAGCTGGGTATGAGGGGGTAAATATGTAAATTGGATGCCACTAAAATACTCAGAACTCGGAAGCACATACAGAAAAAGTTGTCACGGAAGATGACTTGCCTCCCACGCTTAGCTACATTTTGATTCTTTGCCTTTTCGAAAAAAATCATCCTTGAAGTTTTCTTCAAGTCATTCTCTAACACCAGTTCCTTCCTTAACTATTTTATTCTGCATCCACTCCAACCTTCACTTGTTCATTTCTCAGTACTACTCTGTGCCGCCATGTCTCGCCGTGGTGACACCAACCCCCATTTTGTCCGGCCATATCCGTCACAATATCCAGAACAACTTCCCCAAACATCCCCACACAGTTCATCGGTGCCGCTCCCAGAGCACCACGGGCAGCACCATGAGCCGCCCAACCTCAGACCACAATGGCCTGGACCGCATCCCCCCGAACAAGAAGTTGAGCCAGGAACAAGACAATTGCAGCCAGGCCGCCGGCCCCGGTCTAAGCATCCGGCGGGTCATTTGGTGTCATTTCATCCAGTCCCTGAAGAACATCCTCCTCGGACAGACCAGCAAACCCCCCACCCTGATCATGAAGACCAACAGCCTCGGATAAAACATCCAGGCCAGAAAACCCCCCTTGGAGTTCCAATGGTGCCAGCCTCACATCATGGTCGCGAAGACGAGCAACATCGTTGGCCATACCCACAAGGGCGGCCGCATAGCCAGCATACTCGCCCACACGGCTTGCACATACCACGGCCTCAAAAAACCAATTTCTTCGCATGGTCAGGAGCCATTTGCTGTGCAATTTTTTGGGTTCTCATTATCTTAACCGGCCTAGTGGTTCTCATAGTCTATCTTGTTTTTCGTCCCCGGACTCCGAAATTCGACGTCTCTTCCGCCACACTCAACGCAGCGTATCTTGACATGGGATATCTTCTCAATGCCGACGTTACAGTGCTGGCAAACTTCACCAACCCAAACAAGAAGGTCAGCGTTGACTTTAGCAACCTGATCATTGATCTTTATTATGGAAATACCCGCGTTGCTACCCAGTACATAGAACCCTTCTCTGCATCGAGGCGTCAGTCCATGTTCGCAAATGTTCATATGGTGGCTAGCCAGGTTCGTCTCGGAGTGCTGGAAAGCATAAGGCTCAAGAAGGAGATGGAGATCGATCGGGCCAGATTTGAGGTCAAGGGGTATTTCCGAGCACGAGCTAACTTCGGAAAGATCCTCCGGTACTCGTACTGGTTGCACGGCGACTGCCAAGTCGTGCTCACTAGACCTCCTGATGGAGTTCTGGTGACCAGAAAATGCAAGACAAAACACTAAGTCATTGTTTGCTCCTTTTTTTTATTGGATTGTGTTTCAAGCATCGAATTTTCGTAAATTACTTCCCAATTACTGCACTGTAATTTCTCAAGCAGCAGAAAATAAAAGTAGACCAACTTTTTGACAATGTTCGAGACAAGAAGAATGATATTTATTGCAATACGTGAAACATGTTACAGAGTGATAGTATACTGAGAAAACATGAACAAACAAATACACAGGGCGACTGCCAAACTCGTTCAGAAAGCGCATCACACCTTATTGTATCGAAAACTTGTTACATTTCATCTTCATGGTACAAAATCGAACAAGGAGAAACTGATGAGAACAGGATATTTCCATTAGCTTTCGCGTAAATGTCAGAGTACAGAAATCCAGGGCTCCCGGCGAGCCCCTTCATGTTTGTGTATGCCAAGAAATGACAATCCGGAAAGCAAGAAAACCCCGCTCTTCAATAAGCCACTACTCCGTAATGCACTCCAAGCAAACCTACTAACAATGCAAGAATGAATTTTCCAACTGGCTAAAACCTCCGGTAATGATCCCTGGTAAAAAAGGGATGTCTAAGGGCTTCGGGAGCTGTTAGCCTGCTGGAAGGGTCAAATCTAAGGAGACCTTGCAGGAGGTCGATGAGATCACCAGCTGAATGATCGACATGCTGCATCACTATATTCTGCCAAAAATTATATAAATTGATTAACCTTAAAGGTTTTATTTGAATAAGGTGTCTGGACGTGTTCCAAAACAAGTGTGTAAAAGTGCAAGATTCTATATACCTGGAGGCGATGTAGCTTTAAAACAGCTTTAATACTTTCTCGAGAAGTTGCACCTTCTGGCCAGTCCAATCTACCCCGTCTGACATACTTCTCAGCATGACGGCTGAACCAAGAATACAGAAGTAGCAAAGGAGACAGTGGTGAATATAGGCTAACTGATGTGATCTGAACCTAAGATATGAAAATTAAGATGAAATTCCTCAAGAAACCACATACTCCACTCTTTTCAACATGTGATGTGGCATTGGACCTAAAACCCTCTCCATCATAGCTAGGTGTTCCAAGTTCTCGTGTGTCTGAAACAAAGCTTCTCCCTGTAAAGAAATTCATTCTTTTTTTCTCAGAAGTTCTATACATTTTTTTCTAATCCAGAAATCTGGCAGAGACTGATGGACCAATATAATTCAGAGACATACCGAACACAACTCTACCAAGATACAACCAACACTCCATATGTCACATGGATAACTCCATCCAAGTCCTGTAAATATTAACAATCTTATGAATGTTAAGATATAAATTGATAGAAAATATTCAAAATGCAAATGATTCGCAAGATAACAGAAAGCATAGTAATAGCATACCCAGAATAACCTCAGGTGCCCGGTAGTGCCTTGTCGACACAATGTAATTGTGCTCTTGATGCTCATAGGCTGTGCTGCCAAAATCAATAACTTTGATAGCACTAGACTTTGGCAACCTTTTATAACTGGTTCCATCTTTTGGTGGCCTGGATGTAAACTGTGACAGCAAAGCAATAAAAGCAAACGACAATTTTCATTAAGTGAACGGGATTCAGATAAGAGGTACAAACAATAAGTGAACCGTGTCATCTGAAGGGGCAAAAAGGAATAAGAAAACACTAACTGCAGAACAATATAATTATGATCACAAGAAGAAATACCTTATTGTCGGGTACTTTAATGTATTCTGAGGAAACAAATAGTATGTTCTCAGGCTTCAGGTCGGTATGGATGAGACGCATATCATGCATGACTGCAAAAGTTACACACCGCAGAAAGCATAAAAACTAGTATTGTAAATTCATTGTCCAGTCCAATAAAAGATGCTCAGAAGGTATTCACACATGTCATGGAAGTAAGCTTTACTGAAAAGAAAAAAGCAGAAACTACTGGTAAATATTAAAGAAAGAAAGGTAAAAACTTATGGAATACTACAACTGCTGCTATAAACTTCGAGAGATAAGAGAAACAACAGAGGTCCAACTACACACATGCTACACATTCCAACAGTTGCCTGCCAAGTTCGCGGACAAGATCAACCGGAAATGCGTGATAATTATTTTTCCGGAGGAAATCGTATAAGCTTGGCCCAAGCATCTCAAATACCTGTTAAGACCATTTAAATTCAAAAATGTCTTAACCCCCAAAATATTGGTGAAGTTGGGGAATCATTTTATAAAAAATCAAGCATATACTTACGATACATATATGGTTACGATAGTCAAACCAGTTCCGTATTTGAACACAACTGCAAGGAATAAAGCCACTTAACAATTGACCCAAATTTCATTTTACAACTGCTAAGAAGCAAAAGAAATAACCATGACAGGAAAAGTATACTCACCGACTTCCATTTCTGTCATACTTCCCAAGCAACTGTAGCACATCAACTTCAATCATTGCCGCTTCACGGTATTTCTTGATACTCCTGACAACTTTTATAGCTACCATTTCTTTTGTTTCCCTATCCCAGCATTCCAAAACCTGACCAAAAGTTCCTACACGATACAAAGAGCAGAAATATGAGAAGACAGATCAAAGGTACAGGAACCCATCCAGATATAGGTCTAAATCCAGTTAAAACCTAACCTTCACCAATTTTTCGGTGGATCTTATCTGCAAGTACAGAAACAATAGTTTAACCAGAGAACTACAAATATTTTACAAACCAAAAATATTGACAAAAAACTATGTGTGTGTGTGTGTTAAATGAAACAAATATTCTATACTACTCGGGCTAAATTATTTTGGCACGCACACTGTAAGAAAAAGAATAAACTAAAAGGAAAAGTTCAACACTTTAGATATATACATATATTTTCAAATTCTAGAGCAACCCTAAAGTCCAAAGTAAAGGTCCTAGAACTTTTTACTTGTAAGTAGATTTTCTATGTGAATAATTTTATTGGAAATACACCATTGAGTAAAAAAATGAAAAAGTCGGAAGTACATCAGTGTGATTTATTGAGTTGTGATTGTTTAAAATACAGCATAAAAAAGACACATGAAGAATGTAAAAGAAAAAACTCTTCAATGGTGATTGAACGTAATTACAGCGAGATGTTAAATTTTCTCCGAGCGCAAACATGTAATGTCCATCTTTGTCATCATCTCGCCGCGGGGGAGAGCCTTTTTGAGTCAACCCCTTTACAAAAACACTAGGATGGTCTGGAAGTACTCTCGTATGTCCAATGCTTGTCCCATTTCCAACATCTTGCTCATAATATATTCCTGACTGAGCCTACACACAGCCATTTATTCATACTCCACTATACAAACATTAATACAAAAACTTCACCCCTTACCCATCTATCATTCATTTCTTACATTTTCCCTTATCTTTTCTAATCAACCAAACAGAAAATCAATGTATGCAAATTATAACACCCGAATAACAAACATTTCGAGCTTCGTCATGCCTCGTACACGATATATCTACCGGGTCATCAAAATACTAACAATTCAGTTATTCAATTCCAAATTATTTATCTATAAAGTTGAATTTCCTCAAAAAATATTAATTCATATCCGAGGCAATATTTTAGACAAGATCAAAATTATCTAAGAAAAGAGAACTAAGAGATCATGAAATTTGGAAAATGGAATCACTTTTATTTTCTACCCTCAAGTTATTTCCTGCCCAGTCGAATTTACCACACAAAAGAAGAAAAGTTGGGATGAATTCAAAATTGAAAAGCTAATTTAATGAAAAAATAAACAAATTAAAGCCTAAATAAAGGAAAAAAAAACCACAATTTTGAGAAATTTGATGAAATAAAGGGTGAAAATTGTACCTTTGGGTGAGGCTGAGGGGGGTCCCAAGCAAACCTGGGGCGTTTTCTTGGACGCCGATCAATGTGTGAAAGAGGGAACTCCGACACGTAATCCATCTCCATACAATTCAAAACCCTAACCCTAAATTCACCTATCCGATTAAACGAAGAGATCACGATTCACGAGAGACGGAGAAAACGCCCTAACCCCTGTTCTTCGTGAGCTACCGCAAGCCGTCGGATGTGATTGGGAGGAATAATCTGGACTGTTGGTTGGTAAGTGGAGCTGTTGTGTGGCTGGATTTGAACCCTGGTTGAGTTTGGTGTTTGGAGCATTCTCAAGAGGCTTGAGCTTTTTATGTTGGGTTATGGGCCGGAATTATACTTGGATTTTTGCTCATCAGTCCAACTAAAAGCAAAAGTGGGCCGTAGTTGGACTTGGGCCGGTTTGGAATTTATGCAAATTTGAAAGGATGCGCAAGTAGGATAATGTCGCGTTAACAATTCACAGGTTGCGGTTGTAATGCTCATAATTTATTTATCATTGGCAAAAAAGTAAACATAAAATTTTTTTAACCTCTCTTATTTAATTTAGGACTCATTTGGGAAGTATATTAAATGATTGAAATTGCTTTTAATGAAAATGTTTTCTGAAATCAATCCTTGGTAAAAATGCAAGTTAACCCTGAAAAGCTACTTAAACGGTTTCTTGCAAGAAGTACCAGCTATATGTTTCTTGTATGAAACACTTCAAGTAATTTTGAAACTCAAAAACAATTTTTTCTCAAATTACCTTCCTCATCCCAAAAAGACCATTTTCACATACTCATCCAATCCCCAATTTCCCAATTTCCAAAACCCTAAAATTCTAAAAATCCACCCAATCTCATATTTTGATTTTACTCCAATATCATAACTTAATTTGTTTCAAATTTCCCACACCACCATCATTTGGTTCAAAATTTGAATGAAGGACTATCTTCCTAATATTCAAGATGAGTTCCGAATAGCATATTTGCAAATGGGACCTTGTAGGCCTACAAAGGATTGTTGAGCGACACTTAGTTGTTTACATTGAGAGATATGTTTTTCATGTATTGGTAGTGAAACTATCATGGAACATTTCAGACTATAAAACCTTGTCATGGAAGCAAATTAGGATTTATAGCTTGTAATGCTGTTATGCTTATGATTTATGAATGAAATGTATTATAATTTAACTTTTAAATTTATTTTTATCTATAAATTTTTTGACCTTTATTATTGGGACCTCTCGAGTTTAAAATCCTAAATCCGTCGTTGCTTGCACTAGCACTTACGATAGCTAGACCCACCGGGAACACATTTATTATTGGACATGGCATCTTAATGCGTTGCAATCTAGACATTTTTTACAAAGAACATTTGATTAATAGATAATATAGATACATAACAACTAATAATCATGCACGCCCCATTTTATGTTTGTTTAGATAAGAAAAGGCTATAAAATGTCACTTAGTACGATTTAGTGATATTTATCTTCACTTGTAAGTGATTGGTTTTATGTTCGATTTTCGCCAAAGGCGAATTTAAACCACATTATTACTAGCCCATTGTGAGGCTAAGATCACCCCTCTTCTCCTTAGTTGAGATAATATCGGTTGTTAAAAATAAAATAAAAAAATAATATAAAATGTAAGAAGAAAAGCGGTAAAGTGACTTTGTTTTGAATAAAAATTAGACTTGATGACTTTTGGTCTAGCTTAATTAGCACGAAAAGGTTAAAAAGTCTCTGGAATTTTCTGTGATATGCATTTTTATTTAGCCTGTTTACGAATTCGACGACACCATATTGACTTGAGAACTTACGTGCATAATCTTCCAAGAATTTTTCTACTCCGCCAACTGACGTGCATAATCTTCCTAGAATTTTTCTACTCCACCAATGTCGGAGTCTATCGCTTCAAGTTTCATCACTGGAATTTTTCTTCTCCGACTCCACCAATGTCGGAGTCTATGGCTTCAAGTGAATTTTTCTGCTCCACCAGTGTCGGAGTCTATGGCTTCAATTGAATTTTTCTACTCCACCAATGTCGGAGTCTATGGCTTCAAGTGAATTTTTCTACCCCACCAATGTCGGAGTCTATGGCTTCAAGTTTCATCACTGGAATTGATATCTTTGACTACCTTAGCGTGATCTAGAAAACAGTTAAAGAAAAAGATAAGCAAGGCCGGATCATGATCGTTGATCATGTTCTTGGCAGGAACGTTTCGTTTAAAAAATACCAAGTATTATCCTATCAAATATAAGCAAACACCCTAATTACAGTACCATGTCGCCACCTCCAAATAAGAGCAAGTCTATCCATTTTAAAAAGGCAAGGAAAAATCAAGGGTACGTAGTGAATTGTCCTTACTATTTACTCTACATAGTAATTGTCTTTGTCAAAATTCATCTATTTGAGAAGTGGAAGGACAAGGGCAATGACGATTACTATTCATAAATATATATTTTTTATTTTTTATGCCTATAAGTGTATACTAGTAATGTCACATCCCCGCCCGGGACGGATCACTTCCCGGGCCCACTCCACCACCGTAGCACGATATTGTCCGCTTTGGGCTTACCATTCCCTCACGGTTTTGTTTTTGGGAACTCACGAGCAACTTCCCAGTGGGTCACCCATCATGGGATTGCTTTAGCCCCCTACTCGCTTAACTTCGGAGTTCCTACGGAACCCGAAGCCAGTGAGCTCCCAAAAGGCCTCGTGCTAGGTAGGATGGGAATATACATTTAAGGATCAGTCCCCTGGGCGATGTGGGATGTTACAATCCACCCCCCTTAGGGTCCCGACGTCCTCGTCGGCACATTTCCGGCCAGGGATAGGCTCTGATACCAATGTCACATCCCGACCCGGGGCGGATCACTTCCCGGGCCCGCTTCCACTACCGTAGCACGATATTGTCCGCTTTGGGCTTACCATTCCCTCACGGTTTTGTTTTTGGGAACTCACGAGCAACTTCCCAGTGGGTCACCCATCCTGGGAGTGCTCTAGCCCTCTTCTCGCTTAACTTCGGAGTTCCCATAGACAAAACCGTGAGGGAATGGTAAGCCCAAAGCAGACAATATCGTGCTACGGTAGTGGAAGCGGGCCCGGGAAGTGATCCGTCCCGGGTCGGGATGTGACATTGGTATCAGAGCCTATCCCTGGCCGGAAATGTGCCGACGATGACGTCAGGCCCATAAGGGGGGTGGATTATGACATCCCACATCGCCTAGGGAAGTGATCCTTAAATGTATATTACCATCCCTACCTAGCACGAGGCTTTTTGGGAGCTCACTGGCTTCGGGTTCCGTAGGAACTCCGAAGTTAAGCGAGAAGGGGGCTAGAGCAATCCCAGGATGGGTGACCCACTGGGAAGTTACTCGTGAGTTCCCAAAAACAAAACCGTGAGGGAATGGTAAGCCCAAAGCGGACAATATCGTGCTACGGTGGTGGAGCGGGCCAGGGGCGGATCACTTCCCGAATGTCACATTCCGGCCCGGGGCGGATCACTTCCCGGGCTCGCTCCACCACTGTAGCACGATATTGTCCGCTTTGGGCTTACCATTCCCTCACGGTTTTGTTTTTGGGAACTCACGAGCAACTTCCCAGTGGGTCACCCATCCTGGGATTGCTCTAGCCCTCTTCTCGCTTAACTTCGGAGTTCCTACGGAACCCGAAGCCAGTGAGCTCCCAAAAGGCCTCGTGCTAGGTAGGATGGGAATATACATTTAAGGATCAGTCCCCTGGGCGATGTGGGATGTTACAAGTAAGTTTGTTCTTTGAAAACAAAACTCTCTATCTAACTCCGATAATTTAATTTTAAGTATAAAGCAAAGCATAGCATTACAAACAAGTATAATTTAAAATAATAATAATAATAATTTTTTGTCAATTTTTTTACCTTTGGATTAACCCTAACTATTGATTTTGAAAAGAAAAAAAAACTAAATCATGTGCACCAGATTGTGTGATTTAGTGGACTGGAAACATAAATAGAAAGTTGTTTGCGTCTAGCAACGTGTGTGATGCTTATCCGTCAACCTATTAATATGAGTATTATCATGAATTTGTCAAAATAAGATTCATTGGAATGAAGATATAAATAGAAAATTATTTGCATCCATCCGTGGCAATATAAACAAGAGAGAGACATGATGACAATATGGATGCGATTAATTAATTAATTTGTTCTTTATTTGAGAGTTATGGCATATAAGGCAATATCTCAGTTGATTGAAGCAATTGCCTATGGCATATTAAACATATGCGTATTTTTATTTCTCATATATTTCACAAGAACAACTGTGTGGTTAATGCTTTAGTTAACATCAGTACAAATCATGCTGCATATTATTTGTGGTCAGACGATCTTTTAGGTGCAGCTTTTACTTATATTCATGATTTTTCTGTTTCTATCAACTATCTTTTAAGATGATTTTTTACAATATGTTTCTTTGTACATGGGGTTGATTTTTTGTTCCCCTACCGTATTACTTGCTCTATTTTTTTCTCAACAAGGTCTGACTTTAGGTCCCCACGTTTGCATTTCTCTTTTATTCTAATAATATCTAGGGAGCTGAACGGTGAACACTATCATCCCATTTTTTTAATTACTAAAAAAGAGGTTTCTTTTATGCAGAACCAAGTTTAAATATACTTTTTTGTAGTGCTTATTTAGAAAAGTTCTTTTATAACTGCAAAATAAAATTTGTGTAGTTTTGCGAAAAAACGGAAAAAAGAAATTTGTCGTGTGTGTGATTTTCACAACTTTTATTTTCTAGACTCACCTTTTTTTTTATGTCTTTAAGTTAGATTTAAATCGAAGGATAATAAAAAGACAAAGTAAATTACATGAGTATGCTGTGTTCACAAAGATAAAAATGGTTTGCGAAATTTATTAATTATTTTTTCATGCATCAATTTTCTATTTTGTTTTCAATTCAGTTTTCTTATTATGATGTTACAATTGTGAATCAGAATTTATTTTTAAGTGGAACAGATACGGGCGCAATTACAACGGTGTGGGCGCTGGCAGGATTAGCTAAGAACCCTAGACTGATGAAGAAAGCACAAGCAGAAGTTAAAAAATGCATCGGAAACAAAGAAAAGTCACAGAAACTGATACAAATCAGCTCCAATACCTCAAGATGGTATTAAAAGAAACCCTAAGACTGCATCCTCGAGCTCCATTGGTCTTCCGAAGGAAACCATGTCCCATTGCAAAATCCAGGGTTATGACATTGACCTCAAAACCATAGTTCTTGTTATGAGTGGGCAATCTCACGGAC